GAAGCAATGTGTTTCTCGAGGATAGGGCGATTGCTTCATGACAGTATTAAGCTTCGGACTTGTCGGCAGGAGCCTGCTTGGTTCTCTTCCAGAGACAGACAGTGCTCACGGCTGAGAAAGTGAACAGAATGCTGGGCCGTACTGTCAGAAGTGCAACAAGAATGAGACGTATTCAGCTCAAACGTACCAGAGCGCAATGCTTAACCCCCAGATTGATTTCATCTCCAGACACGTGGCTTTTGATGTTCCGATCCATTGGGAATAATTGACAACACCACTTTTGTTCAGGCTGTTGCCAAGTGCCGAAGTAAAGTCATACGCGCTCGAAGTGGCGTTCGATATTTCGTCAAGGACCGTGCAGTTGAGATAGGAAAGCGGCTTTCCTACCACGACCGAGACAACAATAAGGGCAATCAGGAAAAGAGCGTCGATGGCGGAGCTGATCAGGAAAGGAAGGATGCCATCGAAATAGAGAATGACGGTGATGGCGCAGTACAGCACGGCAATGCAGACCTGCGGAACAGTTAGTACAGGTAACACGACCGTTTCTGGAAGCGCTTACAATGCTTAGGATCGCAACCAGGACTGATGGGGGAGTTGCACCAGCGCTGACCATTTCAGAAATGAAGTTGGCCGTAATGCCAATGACAGCGATCATCGAAGCCATTTGAAGAGCTCGCGTGGCTTTGAAGGTCGCCCCGAGAACACCGTGATCGGGACCCATGGCTGAGAAATTGTTCGAAGACAGCGGCAATTATACAGTCGAAGTAAGGAACGTGGCTGCAGATTGAGGTATAGGAAAAGAACGTTGTTTATGGCGTCGTGCCGACTGATCTACAGGCTGACAACGAGGAAAGAATATGATGAAAGCAGCAGAAAGGAATGGTCAATGAATGCTTTTGCCTAAAACTCGATGCTTTGACTTGAAGGAGATTCGTTGCAGCCGGCTGAAGAGATGATGAGCTGGACAGCAACAGGACGTTGCAGCTGGCTTAAGTATTTCCGACTGTTTCATGGCATACATTGCGCTGGGAAGCATTGCTGGCTGCAAAAGCCATGTGGCCGTGGTCGTAACCAAGAAACAAAGACAGAGACTGTCTGTGCTCGGTCTCGGATGGACTGAGAGTACCTCACACCGGATGGCTGTTGTGTGCCCTCAACAAAGAGGAGGCTGTTTCGACCCGGGCGCCAAGAGCTATTTGTGGTCGACCTTCATCCACACCTGGGCGGCTATCTTCGCTAACATCGTCCGCAGCCGCCAGGCCTGACGGCCATTCCAGTCTCAGCCTCGAGATTCGCCGGCAGCGCGTCTGATCGAACAAGGCTGTGCTGCACATGCTCTGGTTGATGTTTCATTGGGTTTTTCTTCACGACCAGCTTGGTCGTCAAATTTTTCGGTGCAGGTGGAACAATGTGGAGATGGTCGCGAGACGCGCCGATGTTGTTCCACAGTCACCGTGATCTTCAACTGCCACTCGAGTTGACCATGGGTTTCTGTTGTCAAACAACCGCGTCAGTACCTAGGTATCTGTTATGCTCTACTTGTACTTCGGTCAAGCGCGTTCAGATCCAGGCCGCCTCACAGCTGAATGATGGCCTCCAACTCTGAGGAGTCTTGGGCGTCGGAGGCTGCCACCTGTTCTTGGCTCTAGCCGATGTCCGGGCGAGCTCCAAAGGAAATTGATCGGCTTGTGCCAGCCTCCTAGCCACCCAAACCACCAATGGTTAGCTCCCGGGGCCTTTGCTAGTCCTCTAACCAATAGGCGACACCGTTGCCCGCCCAATTTTTACCTGCAGTTTTCCAGCTTATCGTTATCAGAGCCTGTGCAAAGCTCGGTGGCATGAAGAGCACAATAGTATTTTTTTCCCCTACCTTATCACCTAGGTGGAGGGAAAGACTTCAAACCGTCGTGCTGCTGGTGAGCTCTTCTCCCCCCAGCCGTCACTCCTATATACAAGGTATCCGTCTGTGTCAACTCGTCATCTCCGGTCTCACTGTGACTTGACCCTCTTCTGCTGCACGAGTCACCTGTCACTCAGTTCCCCACAGCATCCCGTCATCAAAAGCACTCCGCATTTTGCTGCACAACATCCCCACTTCACCTCCGGCCCAGCCAAGTTCTGCTCGGCGCTGGAGAGACACAGGTGAAAACAACATGTCTCTCACCCGGGTGGCGTCCGTCGATGGCTTCGAGCGAGAGAGGAGAGGCTCGAATGCCTCATCGCATCGAAGAATGAGCTTCAATCCTTTCAACGACCCGATGCCGCCCAAGGACCGCAGGCCTAGCTTGGTGCCGACCGTGATGTTGTACGATGAAGTCTCGAAGCAAAGGCGGATCGGTAAGTGGTCCTCTCCCTGCTGTGTAACACAAGACGACTCGCTTACCGATGGAAAGCCCAGGTCGTCGTTGCCATCATCTACTGTCTGTTCGCGGCTGGAATAGTCTTTGGCTATGCAGCTATCAAACCCGTCTTGATCGATGAGGGAGTCTTCAAGGGCCTGTGCACCGCAGAAGAGGTGGAAAAGCAGATATCACCTTGTTACCAGCAAGAAATCCGTCTGAACTTGATGTTCACGGTTGCAGCAGTCTCGACCAATGTGGCTGCTCTGCCCATCGGCACCATCCTCGACAAATATGGCCCTCGGGTATGCGGCATCATAGGCAGCATCTTCCTCCTCATCGGCGCCCTCCTCTTCTCTTTCGCCTCACAGGTTGGCGGTGACTTGTTCACACCAGGCTACTTCTTCCTCGCTCTTGGTGGTCCTTTCGTCTTCATCTCCTCCTTCCAGCTCTCCAACACCTTCCCACAAAACTCCGGTCTCATCCTCGCCCTTCTCACAGGAGCGTTCGACTCCTCCTCGGCGCTCTTCCTCTTCTTCCGCCTCCTCTATGAATCCACCGGTGGTAGACTGAATACCCAGCGCCTCTTCCTCATCTACCTCGTCGTGCCGGTTTTCATCTTCATCGTCCAGGTTTTCATCATGCCGCGCGAATCCTACAAGACCGTGTCGGAAGTTGTCGAAGATGTCGAGGAAGAGATCAACGCGCCTACACCTCCGGAAATCAGCGCCGAAGAACAAACCGCGTACCGCGAACGCAGAGAGTCAACTATTCAAGAGATTACCGCCCTGCTGGATAAGTCGACTAACAAGAAGCGGCAGAAGAGGGAGGAGAAGAAAAACACCAAGTCCGGTGTATGGGGCGCTATGCACGGATATTCCGCATGGCAGCAAATCAAGTCCCCCTGGTTCGTACTCATCACGCTCTTCACAGTCGTACAGATGACGCGGATCAACTACTTTGTCGCCACGATCCGCCCTCAAGAGCGGTATCTCCTAGGATCGGAACGCAAGGCTAAAATCGTGAATGATTTCTTCGACGTGGCTTTGCCCGTGGGCGGGGTATTGAGTATCCCCTTTATTGGCTTGTTGTTGGACAACACGTCGACGCCGTTTGCACTGGGATTTTTGGTCGTGACGGCCACAGTCATTGGGATCTTGGGCTGTTTACCATACATGTGGGGTGCCATTGCCAACGTCTGCTTATTTGTCGTGTACCGGCCTTTCTACTACACCACCGTCAGCGACTATGCGGCCAAAGTGTTTGGATTCCAGACGTTCGGCAAGGTTTACGGCCTGATTATCTGTTTGGCGGGACTGTTCAATTTCTTGCAGTCTCCTCTCGATGCAGCCACGCACAAGGTCTTCCACAACAACCCTATACCCGTCAATGTGATTCTACTGTCCTTGGCAGTTGTGGTTGGGTTAGCCCTTGTGGGTTTTACGGCGTGGAAGGCTCGGACGATGCATAGAGATATGTTGGAGGCTGAAGCGGAGGGCGCGAGGGAGACGTTGATGCCCGATCCGAATGGGGCGTCGAATGGCTACGGCACCTCAACCTGACGCGGCCAGGTATGGAGGCTGGACGAGCATGGTATATGTACAGATTTCACAGCATCGGCACGACGTGCTGGCCAGGACTGGGGAAGGAGTTTTGGATCTAGTCGGCCACTGTACGACATGGGGATCATGAAAAAGTCAGGGATGTCTGTGTGAAGAGTCGGCTCGGGTGGCACTCCTCGGTTTTCCACGATATGGACTGCATCGTATGGCGCTACTCTGGGATGGAGTTTGATATGCATCAGTTTAAGAAACTAATTCCCATCACGTGGTGATGGAATCTTATGTGGGACGCAGGATGTAGCGGATCGTAGGAGACGACCAGCAAGAGTCACCAGCAACATTAACAAGACAACCACCGGCTCAGCAGTGAACGACTCGCGATGCCTCAAACAAAAGTTCGGGTATTGAGGCGGGCTTGTTGAATTTTGATTTGGAGCACAGCTATTAGCAGGCGTTGAGCCCTTGTTCACATTCTGCTCACAGAAGGTCGGCTTTCGGCATATTCGAGATTCCATCCCTCCAGCCCAATAAAGGTGCAGGTCATCATCAAAGGCCGACTGTACGCTCGGCGTGCGGCTTGGACGTCGCGGTTTCATGTTCCACTCTGCATGCCACGAATCTGAAATCTTCCCCGACCGAACCGGCTACGCTCAGGTCCATTCCATCAAATCGGGACAGCACAACAGCCATCTACTCCGTCCCAGTCGAGATGTTGTACATTTTCCTGTTGATACACAGACAAAGCCGTCGAACGGCCCCCGAGTCGTCCCCGCAGGCGATATGGGAAAAGCCTGCTTCGAACCGGCGCAAGGTGGAGAGGAGTTGAGGATGTGAGAAACGTAGAGCGACTAAAATCCAGGAAGGAGCATCTCGCTCCATTCTGAATTGAAGAACGCAATGGCGGCCTGCAGATGAGAAAAGTCAGCGAGAGTTTGATGCAAAGTTATCCAAATACCAGGCCAATTGACAACGCCGATCTCGTTACGTCGCGATGAACTTGACAAGGCTGCTTCCACCAAAGGTCCAGTAGACTTGAGACAAGATTCGACATTCGCCGCATTGCATTGCCTTCTGAGCCAAGCTTCAAATGGCCAGAGAATTGAAACAAAAACTCGAAGTGATGGATGTACGCAGTTAGACCTACCCCGAACATAGCAACACTGATGACCACGCTGGCGTTCTCCTCTGATGTCAAGGTGTGATATATCTGGCCGAAGTAGCCCTGAGGCTGGGCTCTGCGAGCGGGCTGAACTGCAATACGCTTGGGAGGCATTGTAGGGCGTTGATTCTGGAAGGTAGTCGAGGTATTCACGGGTAAAGGGTTGGGTATCGGTCACAGCATGAATGGGAGATATGCAATAGCCAACCATGTCAATGTCGAGCTGGGAAATTTCTGGTACGGCGAAGTCTTAAGCCAAGCAGGTGACCTGCTAGGGCGGATCATTAAATCTCTATGTGCTTCCCGATTCCAAGCGCCCGCCCGCCAGGCCTCCCTCACCTCCCTCACCTCCCTCACCTCCATCGCCTCCCAACCCAACTACTACCTCGACACTATCAATCTTTTCTTCTTCTTTCGCTGCAAAGATCAGCCTGATTCGCGCTTCTCTGTCTTTTTTCGCAACATGCCATTCGGGTGTGTGTCCTACCATCTTGTCCTTGACACCTAGACGCTCAGCATCCGCGTTGACCCAGTCAACGAGGTCCTTTACATATGCTTCTTCAGCCCCTGCCGCCTTGAGGCTGTGGAACTCCCTGCCTAACCCCTTGGCCCTCACTTTCTCGTTGTACTCTCGGCGCATCTCGTCATAGCTTGGCAGTTGAGCTTTCCCACTCAATACTCTTGCTGCGACCTGACCTTGGAACTCGAAAAGCGAGAACGTTGCGATGTGGTACGGGGCTCCGATAAAGATAAGCGACGGATCCTCGATGTAGAACATGTCCTTGTGCAGATTGTGGTTCATGTTCCCCTCTGCCGTCACGAGCACCGTCTGATTTGCCTGCTGCGCAGAGATGTCGTCGCGGTGCAAGTGCCGTAGGAAGGGATACGAGGTTATGTAACCTGTGCAGAGGATGACGGCGTGGATGTCGGACAGCGTGTCTCCGTTCTGCAAAACCACCTTTCCGGCAATGGGCTCGGAGGAGTCGTCCCGTAACCCACACTGTCTTGCCTCCAGCTCGAACGATTTGATGGCACCTACTCTGGTGACGCCTTCTGGTAAAAAGCTTGCCGGGAGGTCGAAAAGCCCACCTCGAGCACTCTGATATATGTGCCTGGCAACTCCTATGGACTCCTTCGCAATATCCGCCGCCGACACCCCGGCTCCGACCAAAAGCAAATTCTGATCCCTGCATATCTGAGGACTCCGGTATCTCTTCGAGTGCCAGACTCTGTCCGGATATGCACGTTTCCACTCGCTGAGGCCAGGATAGTCTGGTATCCGAGGCATGTGGTAATGGCCTGAGGCCACTACGACTGCATCAAAAGCCCAAAGGCGCTCTACCAGTCGCCAGCCCGGTGTCGCTGTCTGCTGCAAGCGTGTCGTACGCACTGCCCATCGGCCTTCATGTTTTCTCACTTCCTCGACACGAGTGTGATAGTGTGTGACCGCATTAACACCATGCTGCTCTGCGATACCCTGGATGTACTCCTCCAGAACGTTTTGGGTGACAAAATCCGCGGTTCTCGGCGGCCACGACGCCAGGCTGACTTTCATCTCTCTCGTCGAGACATTATTCTTGAGTCCCGCATAACATGGCCCGGGCGGCGCATGGATGATCTCCAGCTCGTCGGTAATCTCGTCTTCGGGCGGAGGGGTACTATATGCAAGCCCCGGAATTGGCTCATAGTCACCTCTCGACGGGATCTCGCTTGGATATGGCGACGGATCATGAGCCACCCGCTTGTCGAAATGCCACACTCCGCCCGCAATACCCGACCGCTCGAACACGACTACTTCCAGGCCGGCCTTGAGAAGATGTGCTGCTGCGCATACTCCGCTGATTCCTGCTCCGATCACTGCTACCCTTTTAGGAGCGTCTTTGGTCATCTGGGGCATTGTTCTCAACGGACCGACGAGCTCTTGAACTCTCCTACGCAACATTCGTAGAAAGAGAACGGGCTATACTGGCCTCTCATATCAGTCGGCTCGTCTGCGATCGATCGCATCCGGAAGCCTCAGAGCTACCGTGATTGGCTTGATGTTCGCGGCACGTATGAGCGTGGAAATCAGCAAATATCCCCGTGTAAGCACGCAATATTGGGTACATATTGCCTGCGGGATGTCACGATCTTTCACGACGTATAGCAGGTGATTCATGCATGGTTTGGATGCATTATCTCCGTTCATTTTCTGTATGGCTGGAAAATCCATGGATCTAGTGGACCGATGCAGCCTCTAATCCGTTTGATGCTTATGTGGATGTTCCCGCCTGCTCGAGACCGAGGAGTGGCATTGATGGACTTTCGTCTCCCTGGAGCTTGTTACGGCACCGCTTGTGAAGCTACGTACAAGTCAGTTTACGAGCTTGCCAGGCCTGCGCACACCATCAGAAAGCACCCCGCGGTCGAGCACCGCCAGATCTGTTTGATCGTATTCAAGCAATGGCACCCACCTTGGCCTTCTTCGCCAATTCTCTCTTCCACAGCACTCTGATCACGAGAGAGGTGATAATCATGCCAGCAGCGAGGCATGCAGAGGTTACGAAGCCCTTGTGATATCTTGGTGCGTCGATTTGCTGCCAGACCACCAACGGCAACCAGGCTTGGAACACATACGCCAGCTCGTTCATGGTTCCGACGACAATCGCCCTTTCCTCATTGTCATCCGAGCAGATCTCATGCGCCCAGGCCATGCAGAGTCCACTCAAGCCACCGCCGCACCCGGCGATGATATAGCACGCCCAGTGCCAACCCGTTGGAATATCCCAGACGGCCAGACTGGCGTAGGCGATGATGGAGACCACACCGCCGAAGACGATTGGTGGCCATCTCGCGCCCCGGAAAACGCTGTCCGATGTCCAAGCGTATGCGAGTGTACTGACGATCTGCACGGCATAGGTTGTCGTGGGATATGTGTTGATCTGACCAACGGTGTACTTTGGGTTGTCTGAATCCTTGAGATACTGTGCGAAGGTAGGTTGGCTGACTCCCGAACCCGCGTTGTTGAAAGTCATGTACAGAGTTGCCAGGGCGTAGATGTGCCAGGAGGTGAAGATCCTCTTGAACTTCGCTTTCGTATATGGCGCGCGCTGTGCCCGGCCCTCCAGTTGCATCCGCTTCTGTGCAAACAGGCGCTCTTCAGGTGTAAAGTACCAAGCCCGGGTAATCTCAGGCACGTCTGGGAGAAGGAAGAATCCTGATATGGCGATCGGCAGAGAAATGACGCCGTCCACAATGAACAGCCACTGCCATCCGCGGTAACCCCCTTTGCCTCCGAGATGGTAGACGGCCGCCATGAGGTATCCGGAAAACATCGACCCGATGGCAGACGCGGTGTGGAAGATGCATGACCGCTTCGCTAGCTCGTCACGGCGATACCACGATCCGATGATGTACTGCATTCCAGGGTAGAACGTTGACTCAGCCAGACCGATGAGAAATCGGAGGGCATATATCGAACCCGCGGAGTTGCATTTGCAGAGGCAAAACGTCAATACCGTCCATGTTAGTTCCATCGCAGGAATCCAAATGGAGGGTCGGACGCGAGTCAGGATCATATTGGCTGGAAACGACATGTCAATGCTCATTCACCAGGTGTTTTCCGGGACAAGCACTCACAAGGTACCTCCCCGATCACATAACCCACAGTCCAGCACGTTTGCATATAGTTGAGCTGATTCTTGTATAACCCCAGATCCTCCTTCATCCCCGACACGAAGGCATTGTTGATGTTGATCTGATCCAGGTACTTGATAAAGTATCCCAGCGTTGCGAAGGTAAGAACCGCCGCGTCGAGCTTGAACAGGAGGCGGCGTTCTTCAGGTGACTTGTCTAGCGTGTCCCAGATGTAGGACTGCCACTTGCGCTTCGGCTTCGCTTGAATCGGATCTGAGAGGTCTTCTTCCGACCTGGTTGTGGCTTTCACAATGCTTTGCGGTTCAGCTTCGAAGCCTTTGACGTCGACCACCTTGCTGTCCGCATGGAATGCCATCTTTCCCAACCGCAACAGGTTGGTTCCTCTTGGCTGCGATACTGATTGAATGGTCTTCCCGGCTTCTACGGGTGGCTTTTAAAGCTTCTCTCACCTGAACTCTTGACCAAGTCGGTATGACATTCTTGGATGCAACACGACAAGATGGGTTCCGCCCACTTGATCGCACCTTTTGCTTTATGATTGCGTGCTGCACATCCTTTCCTCTACCACCTCCCCTCCTAGGCGCACATGCTTGTCAATGCTTGTCAACAGCATGTTCGAACCATCCCTCCAACGTGCGCCATTAGTCACGACAGCGAGACAATCCGCCCCTTTCAGCGTCTGACCACTGAGAATCCTCGAAATAGCGGCCAATGCAGAAGTACCGCGGCATGTACCATGTTCCACGCCAGGTCCGTGAGATCCTCGACATGCCACCTGCCCATCCTGCTTGTCTTGCATGGAAATCCTACAATCATAGTTGGATGAAAGTGGACAAATAAAGGGGTACAAGCACGCCATCATGCGCATGACACGTGACTGTCGAGGCGCCCATATTGCACCACCCCTGCGATACATCAGCTTGGAATATCGGCCGAATCTCGACCACATGCGACCTCGCCAGCTGGACTGATAAGGAGCCTGTCTGAGCGGGGTAAGATGCCGAAATCGACGACAACGCGGCACCATGCTAGTATCATCTCCCCCCGGCCTGTGGTTCAGGCTCCTCGCATGGTAGGTCCATCCTGTATATGCAGCTAGGTGCTTGATATTGTGCCGACTGGACAGACTCAACAGCCTGCAAGTGCACGCAATAGAGAGGTGTGATCTCGCCATCTTACCAGCGTGGGGGAAGGAGATATGTCGACGTGGATGGGTAAGCAAGCCGTGTTCACCAAAAGGTCTCGAATGCACGCAAGGGACACGACGAGCGGCGTGTTTCGTGATTGGAAAAGTGACACAAATACTCAGCAGCCCGAACTGGTTTCTCGCCGTGACTCTTCTTCTCTACCCAGCCACTGCTACTTAGGCATCACAACAGCAGACATGGCACCTGCTCTGGTCGAACCTGCCATAACCGACTTTGTGGTCCCCAAGAAAGACACCCTGGGACTCCCCGAACCGGCGTACGACCGTTTGAAGAAAGCCGGCATCGACCTCAGCGAAGGCTACCCTTACCGTCCCAACCGCCCGCTCTACCTCCAAGACGTATACAACATTCGGAATCAAGACCGTCCGCATAACGATGCTGGCGCCCGTGCGGACAAGTCCAAATCCGCGCTGCTGAGTGCCGCGACGAAAGTCACAGATCTGACCGCCTATATTGGCACCGAGATCGAAGGACTGCAGCTGAAGGACTTGACGGACCAGCAGAAGGATGAGCTCGCACTGTTAATCGCAGAGAGGAGCGTCGTATTCTTCCGCGGTCAGGATCTTTCGCCCCAACAGCAAAAGGATCTAGGCGAATACTACGGCGAGGTGGAAATTCATGTACGACTTCACCGTCCTTCCCACGCCTCGTGTTTTCACGCCATTCTCTTCCTTCCCTGATACGTATTAACGTGGCCTTCCTCTGTCCTTCACAGCCCCAAGTGCCTCAAGTCCCCGGAGTGCCCGGCGTGACGGTGATCTGGCCCGCGCTCCAAGCCCAAGAAGTCGCCGCGAGCTTCCGCAAACCCGGCGGCGCATCAAGGTGGCACACGGACCTCGTGCACGAGCGCCAACCGGCCGGCATCACGCACCTGCACAACGACACCGTGCCCCCAGTGGGCGGCGACACGCTATGGGCCTCAGGCTACGCGGCCTACGAAAAACTGTCCCCGGACTTCCGCAAGATCATCGACGGCAAGCACGCCGTCTACCGGTCCGCGCACCCTTACCTGGACAGAGACAACCCGACGGCCGGGCCCAAGTATATCGAGCGGACGCACCCGCTGGTCAGGGTCCACCCCGCGACGGGCTGGAAGGCGCTCTGGGTGAACCGTGCAATGACGGACCGCATCGTCGGGCTCGATCGGGCCGAGAGCGATTTGATCCTCGGATACCTGTACGACGTGTATGAGAGGAACGTGGACATTCAGGTGCGCTTCCGATGGACGCCCGGCACGAGTGCGTTGTGGGATAATCGGATCACGGTGCGTCTTTCCCTCTCTGCGTGTCTGTGTGTCGACATATACTGATATCACCTTTCTGTCGGCCACCCTCAGATCCACAACGCGAGCTGGGACTATGCAGGCGCGTTCCCCCGGCACGGCACGCGCGTGACATCTCTCGCCGAGAAGCCTTACTTTGACCCGAACGCCCCGACGAGAAGGCAGGCGTTGGGCCTGCTGGGTCCGGACGAGCAGCAGGTCGATGGGATTCTGGTGGATGGATAGTCCAACTAACTACTGTAGTTAGTCAATGGTACGCTGCTGCTACTGTAGCTACCTTGTCTTGGAAGGCGAGTAGGTAGGCAGGTAGGCAGGTAGCTAGCTGGCTCTCGGTTCTTGTGCCGCCCTCCACCTTGATTAGAGTATCAAACGGAGAATGATAGTAGTCACTGTAGTAAGTATCAGGTCCATTTCCATACGTTGGTTGGTGGTTAGAATTAGTAAAGGACTGCGTCCGCTTCGGGAAGCCTCTTTTTTGTTTGGTGCCTTGTGAATTTTAGCCCTCGTTTTCTAGTCACGGCGTCTGGCTGTATGGACAATCTTGCGGGCTGTTGACACCTCGCCAATATATGTTTATGTTTATATCTCAAGGACTATCCGAGACGGGGAGCAGACCGGCGTGCGCACGTCCTTGTCATTCCTTGGCGCATGTGCTGTCTGGGTCTTCTATGCATGGACTGTCTGGGTCTTCTATACATCGACAGACGCTTATCAAGCGCTGACTTCTCTCAAGACCACTCCCACACATATGAAGAGGACGTTGAGGCACGAGGGCGAGCATGTGTCTTCATGTGCCGAATGAGCCGGTCTCTCCGATCCCTACGTCCATAATGGCAACCCAGCCAGAAGCAGCAAGATTGGAACGTCCCATTGGCTCGACGCCCGACGTGGTCACACAGGTGTTCCTAGAATACCGCTTGTCAGCCAGAGGTCACTGTCGAAAAGATGGATGACAACTCACGTAGATGGCAACGGCGGTGTCGAAACTTCTCCCACAGTCTTGCCATTTGCAGGGGATGATGGTCGTCGCCACTTCGTCTCCATGCTCACTTGCACTCTCCTCTCTCTCCTCTTCATCGGTAGTGGTGACTTGGCCATCGTGGCAGTGCCAGGCTGTACTGTGCGAGTTGACCGACCAGACCTTGTGGCCAGAGTCGTGTCATACGGGTCTTCTTCGTGTACTATGTCGCCATCAATTTCATCCTCTGACATGGTATGTCTAGTGACAGGTTGTGTTTGTGGGTTTGATGGAGTGCCATCCACGAGCGTCGTGGATAGGAGAGCGGATGTGGTTGGGGACATAGTTGAATAACCAGAATCAACGAGTGCTCTACTACCGCCCTCCAAGGTCGCAGGAACGTAGCGATCGGAATAGGAACACGAAACGCCTCGTCTTACACATCTCCTGCAGGGCAGCATCTGCAGTTTGGTCAGGTTTCAACCATGTCATCAGTTGGACTGGATACTGCTTGAGGCTCTGGCGGCATGGGTAATGAATTTGGGTTGGACTCACAGCATCACAGGGGCAGTGGCACTTTGCACACCCATCGCAAAAGACCATCCTTGTCTCCTCTGGGTCGGCATTCTGCAATCGGGCCCTCTTCACGTCAGAAAGGCCATGTGCTGAGGTCACAGATGCCGAACGAGAAGCCGTGGGAGCGCCCAAGCCTGCCAGTGCTCCTCTGGCATCACTTGAACTACCTGCTGCAGGAACACAGCGTGCAGAGTAAGAACATAGATGGCCAACAGGACGCCGAATATGGCGACCCCGGACATCTCCCAGTCGACACCGGCTCTCTGGGATCACAAGTGCTGTGACATTTGGTGCACTGGACACAGGAGACTCTCCTTGTATCAGATGCGTCTGCGTTCGTCATGCGCATTCTGGTGCTGCGCCGGTAATCGGAAAAGAAGGAACCGGAGTTGTATGTGATTGTGGAGAAGACTTGGGAAAAGGTTCAGCAGAAGGGCCTCCTCTACCACGAGGGGCCGTGTAAGCGCATTTCGTGCCTTAGCCGTGGGTGACGCAAGCCGTGCAGAGAACCATACCATCGCAATCTCGGTGATTGAATGCACATAGTCGGCGATCAAAGGGTTGCCTCTGAGGTTAATCGGGAACATCAGAAACATCTTTTGCCGTCTGCTTGGAAGCATCGCGAGAAGAGTGAGTCGAAACCGGCGCCTTTGCAGGGGGAGGGTAGAAATTCTTGCCTATGAGAGTAGGCACTGCGTCCACGATGCCCCATTGGAGCAGGAGACGCCATGGATTTTTCAGTGTTGAGGTGGCTGGCTCCAAATTCAGGCGTTGTTTGATCTGGCTACTTGTCAAGCCTTGTCGCTTCCCTCGTATCAAAGCGTCATCGTACGGCTTAGGCTGGTAATTTCCATGAGCTGTTGAAGCAAGGAAGGGATGCAGCTTCTCAGAACCGAACTCAGAGCCATCTGAGTCTGTCTCTTGCATGGTTTCTTCGGGTGAGTCAGGGGCACATGGCTCAGTCTGGTGCGAGTTCCGTAGCGAATGGGCAGGTGCCTTTTCTTCGTGAGAAAACGCCTGGTTTGTTGGTACCCCGCGGATGGGCTTGCTTCTCTTGGGCCGCCACTTTCACATGATTGTGCTTTTTCAAGTTAGACTGTGACCGACGTACTGGCGGCTTCGTGTTGGGGTCGTAGCAGCGTTTGCTGTATTTGAGACAGTACCGGCAAGGTCGCCTACCATTGCATCTCAACCTGCTCGTCTTACAGTGTTGGCATTTCTTTGGAGGAGGAGCCACAGTACTGGAGTCAGAATCGCAGAGATCCAGATACTTCATGGCGCGGGGGCTCTTGGGAGACGGGCCTTGCTGTACGTTGGGATCGTCTCCAATATCCAGGTCGGGAAGGACATCGCAGAAGACCAAGTCCTTGCTGTGCGGTGAATCATGGTGGGAAGTGATATCGGTGTGGACCAGGTCGTTATAGGGCTCTATCCTCTCGGACTCGTCATTAGCCGGCGTCAGCCCACTCTAGCCTGAAGCATGACCAGGAAGAGGCCCTTTAGGCGTAGCTGAGTCGGCATATCGTTGTGCTGGAGTGGTGTATCTGGTATCTCTAAGGTGTCTTCCTCTCCATCGCTTCCCTCAAAACAAAGCTCGATGAAGTGGGGGTGCAGACGAGGGGAAGGACTATCGGAGAAGGATCGTGAGTCGTGCTCAGACTCTTCAGAGTCGGATGCTTCCAGATCTGTCCAGGTGCCATCGCCATAGTTATCAAGGAATGGGTTAAACGGCATTCTTGCGGTGATGGAATGTGGACGGTATCGATCTCTCATTAGATCATGCGTTGCGTGGAACTCTTCGGGCTGCCGCGTCCCAGTAACTCAGCGGAGAGGTGGAAAGGCATCACGGATAGATGCGAGGACGCGTGCCGTGTGCTGTAGAGCCGAAACGTCGTCGTACATGTAGAATGGCACCTCTACAGGTGGACGCGCTGGAACATGTCGAGTTCCGTGCGTGAGAAGCGTGGACGTTCCCCGCGTTGGCGAGGCTACGCGAGGCTACGCGAGGCTACTGGTACACGAGGCTACGCGAGGCTGATGCTTGGAAGCCCCGGCCACGGTTCATACCGTGTTAAGTTGGTTGTCAAGGTCTAAGACATCGTCCTCTTAGTCTATTGCCACTCATGTAGCCAGAAGCAAGTCTAGTCAAAGGAGCATGCGCTCATTCATCTTCCGCTTCGTCTTCATCCTCAACGATAGGCTCGACGATCAGGTTCGCCCCCTTTCCCACCCTCTCCCCTATCGAGCCTCCATCTTCGAGTTCATACACCTTCCGAGGCATAGGTGAGACGAGACGGAATGAGTATTCGTGCTCATACCCTTCCGGCTCTTCCACGGCCTTTTCGTCTTCCGCTTCCTCCATTCGGGCCTTGACGACCTCGTAGCATTCCACAAAAGCATAAAGTTCCTCCATCTCAGCCTCGGCGCGGAATTTCCATATTACCCTCTCGCCAGAAGGCATTCTGATACTTACACGTATGGCATCGCTGTCATTTGCGGGTGGCTCAAGAGGAAGGGACTGAGCGCGCCACCTCCTCCACTGGTGCATGTCGCTCTTCTTCTTCTCCGCTAGTCGTGTCTGTTCCCGCGCCTGCTCTTCCGCTCGCCTGGCTGCTTCTTCCTCTTCCCTCTTCCGTCTCGCCCGTTCTCGGTCCTGGGCTAATGATCTTTCATAAGCAGAATCTTGCTCTCTCCTTAGATTTTGAGTCGCTGTGCGCTCGGCTTGCTGGGCGCGCGCGGCAGAAAGGGATGCTTGATGAGACGTGATTGCTGTGCCGAGTTTGGCGATCAGTTCTGCTGGAGGCATAGGTCCTACGGCACGCAGCACCACCGTCATCTGGCCGCTTGAGCCCGGCTCCGACGACTGACAGATTAGTGCTGCAAAAGGGAACTTTGTGCACTGTAGATTTGCCGACACTTGGTATGCTTCCGAGTCCCGGACGTTGCCGCCCCATAATATGAGGTCGGGCTCGTGGGAGTCGAGGAACGATTTGAATTGGGGTGAGAGTAATGTCTCGCGTACATAGGTTGCATTCTCGTCGTGACTTGGGGACAGAAGCACGACGAGGAGGAACTTCAGGTCTTTCTTTGCGGTGTCGAGGGTCAGGTTAAAGCCGGACTCTGCGAAAGGGAGGAGTGGCGTGGAACTCTCTCCATTCGTGCCCTCGTCGTTGTGATCGCCAAACTCTTCACTGAACTCGCGGATAAATCTCCTGGCATTTTCTGCGGGCGGAAGAGCTCTTCTCTCGATCCGTGTCTGTGTCTGCGATTGGTAGAGTAACCGGTGGAAGAGGCGGGAGAGGAAGGTAGGCACCAGAAAACCAAACGGCGATAGGATTGTGCTGAACACCCGGTAGAGGAGGTTGACGGGTGTGAAGATGATGGAGAAGAGTGGTGACGGCCGGTACATCTGCTCGGGAACTGCGCCACCTGTGTCGACCCTGTGGACTATGTCTTCGGGCTCGATCCGCGATGCCCTGTGCGATGGCCGAGTCGCCGCCAGCAGGTTCTCATATTGTAAGTTTGCGGTCTGGCGGGTGGACGTTGGAGGTATTTGCGCCTGTGCCTCTGCCAGAGGATCTGTGGCGGGCTCACCATCGAAGAAGCGGGCGATGGCAATCTGTACGTTCCACTGGCATCGTTGCAGCAGAGCGATTGCGGCGTTTGGATCTGCTTGGTCGGTGACGGCGGTGTAGGTTTGAAGAGCTTCTTGCTGAGCAGGTGTCAACTGGGAGATGTCCGGGGTCGCCATATTCGGAGTCCTGTCGAAGGCGAGGGAAACGGCAGGGAGGAAAGTAGTGGTTATCGACGCGCTGACATGGACATGTCTGGCCTCTATTGTCTTCACCTTCTGACACAAGTATTATATTCCCAGAAACAATATCTTTGGTTGGTTGACGACGCGATTTGGGAGAAGGACGGGAAGGCGTATGTAATCCGCGCAGCTGCGATTATCCTCGTCTCCATCTCCCTCCCACTTCCACCTCAACTGCACGTACCGAGCAGCGGACTCGAACACGGCGGCCCTGGAAGAGCTGTTGCGCTCGGCCTGTCCCCAATCTTTGCTTCATCTTGCAGCTGGAGACTGTTCCATCTTCTTCCCACCTTCGATTCACTGCCCCATTTTGGATATCTGTAGAGACATGGACATTTCCCTCGCTCACATCCAGCCAGCCGCACCACGAGCCACATAGTATAGCAACTGCACCCCTGCAGCGACCTATTTCTACTTCTTGTCGCTTACTACCGGAATCCACCTCTCTTTTGCGCGCCTACACGATGCGTTAGGACCGCAGACCTACTTCTGAGCCAGATGGATCACACCATTGCCATGATCCATCTCAGCCAGTAACGACTATGGCCGCTGTGAGCAAGAATAATGCAGAAGATACAAAGCAGGCTGCTTTGTCCCCTAGAATCAAAGGCAGGGGTATGTCGACCACAGTTGTCAGGAGACGTCGTGTTGCTGATGGTTGAGTGACAGAGACCGCGAAGGATACTCTCTGTCGCAATGTCACAATCTATGGAAAATGCCGCTATGAAGACAAAGGTACCTTGAACCACTCTTTATGAGGGTATGGTACAATGGTGCTCACTCTTCGGCGGTGTAGGGTGTGCCTTCAACCACACGATAGAAAAGCCCTCCTCCGATGCGGGACAGATGGATAGGTATCATCAAGATGCGCTGGCTCGGATGCTGTTTTCTAACACCCTTCGACAGTCAATCCAAAAAGGTGCTCAATGTCGATTCTCCCAGCTTTACCCCCTCTTTCCTGTCACCGAATGGCGCCGCAACTGTGGTAGCGGCGGCGAAGAAACCAGCCGCTGGCATTTCTCCCAAGGCAGCAAGCGCGGCTCCTTTTATGCCAAAGGCCATTATTTCCAGTGAGCCCAATCTCAGCCTTCACCGAGTTTGGCGGCTTACAACTCTCGGCAGGGTCTTCCAATGCAACTCCGCTTCGTCAAGATGCCAGGACTCCCGACTGGGCCGTGGGGGACGTCCAGGAATTCGTTCCAAGACGAGTCCAGGATCCCTCGATGGTGAGCTGGAGACATGCGACTTTTCTCTCAGAAGGCTAATAAGAACAGACGAATGAGAACGAAATACCCGTCTCTCATGCTTTTGACACGTTCCAATCCGGCCATGGTACAAATCCCTACCTCGATCATAGCCTGAATGGGGCCGCTTTCTTCCCGAGCGCCAGTGGCTTCCAGCAACCGGTAGGCAATTGCACCGATAGTGACTGGCGAGACTTATTGTGATAACAGGTCCAATATCATCAATACGCGCCGATCGGGCACTATAATCCCAATCTCGCCCAATATCAACGTACTGTCCATGACCTATTCATTCCCAACGATCTGCGAGAGGACATTCAGAAGAAATCCGCGGCTGCCCTGCAGACTCTACCCAGTACGCAGTATCGACCCGTGTCGCAGTCTGAGCTGACCACATCTATAGATTCACAGTTGCCCAGCCACATCGAATGCTACCACTCTTTGGTACCTCTCGACACGAATCACAAGAACTCCAATCTCTTGGGGGGCTACACCACGTGGGTCTACAAGGCTCAGTCAAGCGCCAACGGCCACTTCTTTGTCCTTCGGAGAGTTGAAGGCTTCCGCCTGACGAATGAACATGCCATTCGCGCCGGTCAAGCATGGAAAAACATTGTTAACGCCAATGTCGTCCGCATAGTCGACGTCTTCACGAACCGCGGGTTTGGCGATTCTTCCCTCTTCGTAGTCACTGAATATCACCCGCTTGCCAAATCCCTCCTCGAACACCACCACCTCGGTGCCCACGCGTTCAATGCACGCCCATCTCGGTCCTCGCACGGTAAAGATCAAATCACCGAGACTGCACTGTGGGCGTACGTCGTCCAGATTGCCTCGGCTTTGAAAGCTATCCATAGCTCAGGTCTGGCTGCACGAGTCCTGGATCCATCGAAGATCCTAGTAACAGGGAAGAATCGCGTCCGCCTCAATGGATGCGCAGTTTTAGACGTGGTTCAATTCGAAGCTAACTCTCACACGCCTCTCGCTCAAGCTCAGCGTCAGGATCTCGTTAATTTCGCCTTAGTTATTCTAGCAGTCGGATCCGGGACGCTTGACGCAGGCCAGAATTTCGCCCGCAGCATGGACGCCTTCAAGCGTTTTTTCAAACCCGAACTACAAAACGCTGTTGTATGGTTATACTCCGCAATGCAGAACCCAGAGAAGACGATTGACGGCTTCGTCACGCTGATCTCGAATCAAATGATCACGGCCTTCAACGCAGCTTTGCATACCGACGACGAACTTTCTTCTCAACTTGCGAGAGAAGTTGAGAATGCACGCCTCTTTCGGCTGATGGCCAAGTTGAACTTCATCAATGAAAGGCCCGAGTACATGAATGACCAGGCCTGGTCCGAAAACGGCGAGCGCTACTTCCTCAAGTTGTTCCGCGATTATGTCTTCCACCAGGTCGATAATCAAGGACGACCTGTGATTGACTTGGGACATACGATATTAACACTCAACAAGCTGGACGCAGGCACGGAGGAGAAAATTATGCTCGTCAGCAGAGATGAACAGAGTGTGTTTGTGGTGACGTTTCGGGAACTAAAGAAGGGCGTCGAGAGCGCCTTTCAAGAATTGGTTAGCAAGAGAGGCGGGTTGATGAGATAGACTCTCCCACGAAGCAAGCCACGAGAATTGTGGCGCGCCCGAAAACAACAACCATCTGCTGCGAGACGAGTTTCGCGCTGTTGGGCCAACAAAAACGCACGCACTGGAGGACTTGAATGCTTCGGTTGAAGATCAAGCACTAGTGGAGGAGGCACAAACGCAGAGAGAAAAAAGGAAGGGCTGGTCAGAAGAGAGCAAAACAGGCGGGCAATGGGATGCGGCTCAAGGAGTGGAAGGCTACAAGGTAAATATGCTGCAAGGTCAGACAGCAAGCAGGAAAGCACCTAGAGCAGAGTTGATCGGACCAGCAACCAGGAGAGATGCGATCATAGAGAAATTGAGGCACAGATCAGAAAAAAATCAGAAAGCAAATTTGCACACTTGATCTCAGCTTCTCCATCACAAGTCCCGTGCTTACCGAGTCTATATGACAAGGCAATAATAGAGTGCAAACAAACGCAAAAACAACCGAACTTCGAGAATCTCAGTGGGCGTCTCTTGTTATGATGATGGAGCCTGCTCCGAGGAATGTCGGCGCCCATCCAGGTCTGCAGGAGCCTGTATACTCCGACATAAGATGTCCTGATCGTGAATTGATACAGAGCCCCAGCATTGCTCAGTAAAGTGAGGATCTACTCTCAAGCTGAATTGGTCAGTGGTAGACTATTGTCGATGCATCGAGCCTTTGCTGCCGGGCTTCATGGCGTAGCTGTGATATTTGTTGATAGCATCCTAAGCGACCAAGCAGGACATAGGTGGACATCAAATTTCGCAGAAATCGTGCATTCATAACTCCGAATTTACTCTTCCGCCTGCTGTTGGAAGGGGTTTTCGATCTCTTCGCTTCCGTCGACAGGTGATATTAGCACGAGTAACGTTCCGCGGGCAACTATGAGCCCTAGAGGTCGTGTTGTCTCGTTGCCCTCGTCGTCTGCAAGAAAATAATATCAGCCTAGCTCTGTGTCTACGATCGCTAGATGACAACCAAAGCTCTAGGTTTTGCGATGAGCTTACCTCTCATGGTCTCCTTGACATCATCCAATACCAGGTTCATCAACTGATCGTAACCCTTGAGCGTGCCGACAACTAATTCGAGAATCGAGCGAGTCAGTTCCATACGTCCCCGTGCTGCGCTTTCAGACCCGAAATAATAATGCATAGGTGAAGATACATACTTTCTCTCCCACCGTTGAACTTGACATTGATCTGCTTGTCGACATACTTTGTCAAGTCGAGAATGTTCTCCTTCTTGGGCTTCTCCTGAGATCTGTCGGACTGTTGCTGGGCGCCACCGCGGCCACCGCCGCCGCCACGTCCACCACCTCTGCCGCCGCCTCCCCTGCCGCCGCCGCCACGAAAATGACCTCGCTCGGACATTTATTCTTCACGATGGTTTTGTTTATTGGCGGGAGGAACAGTTTGCAGTAGTTGGAAGGCGACTCAATCTCAAAATGGTTAGTGCCGTAAAAGGCGCTGTAGTCACCTGAAAGCCTGAGCCCGACCAGTCAGAAACAGCAGGCAAGATGTTACGGTTGGCGAATCTGTCCGAGTACCTGAGTTTTGGGCTGCGCGGTCGGAGCTCAATCAAGCCGAACGATGTGCCTCCCAGTATGTGTGATGTGACGTGAGGGAGAAAAAGGTTAGGTGCAGCTTTCCGCCCGAAGCTGGTGCCGGAACATCATTGGGCGGAGCGCCGCTCTTGACGGTCCCTCGCCTCTCCACCTCCCACTTTCTTCCCTGCACCACTCATCGTGGCCTCCTGCCTGTGCCACGAGTCCGCGATGGCGCGGCCAGGGCAGCGGGACGTCTATAAACACGTGAAAAAAGGTGTATCATGCGGGTGGTCAATATCTAGTCAAAGCTGAAGGTGCAATGGATTGCTCGGAGCGTCCAGCACCTGGGGGCTCCCTTCCTGCGCAGCCCTGGCCATCCGGGTGCTCATGCTCACCCCCGACGGAGGCGGCTTCCCGCCCACGGTCAGTAGTTGGGGGAGACGCAGGGGGACAGTCGCGATTTTCGACCCCGCGCCCCAACCTGAACTAGCAATCACCACCACTACCACTACCACGACCACCACCAATTCACGGCCGCCGCCCGCATCTGACCCTGAGGCTGCAATCGGAATGGTAACTGTTGTTCTTCCCGCGCCCGCACTGGTGTTTCGGGACCGTCCAATTCACGCGCTTCAAGCGTCCATGTTCGCATCCACGCGTCCTCTCCCTCCCGAGTGGGCGACTGTGACTGGCAGACGGATCCCTAGCCTTGACCTAGACTCAGCGCCAGTATCCCCGCGATGCCGCAAGGCACTGTTTGGCTGCCGTGGCTGCGCGCTGAAGCGGGCGGGCAAGGGCCGGGAGACGATGCCTCCAGTTCCCGAAATGGTTGGTTGCCGCACCTCCTTCAACAATCCGCTCCTTCGCCGCCGTCTGTGCTTGCTGCTCCTCACCTGCCTTCTTTGCCTTGGAGTATCTGCTCTCGGTGGCCTCAGCTTCTGGTTCCGCTCATCGGCCCTCCTCACGCCAGACCCTGAACCCGTGCCCAAGCTTTCCCACTCTCACCTTTTCCACCCTTTTCTTCTCACTTCTCATCCTCCTTCGCTACGAGCGTGCACACGGCCTGGTTTCTGTCTTCGCTCACGGCGCTGCAGCTTGCGAAATAGCTCTGCCCATCTCGGGTCGACTATTTCAAGCTGATCCACCAGCTCCCTCCCCACTTTGACCTCCCTCCACATCTGGTCGGCCACCGCTCTGCAAGGCTCCCAGCTGAACAAGCACAGCCCGAGCGCACCACGAGCGACTCGGGCTTCACGATCGTTTTGCAGGACACCTCTATGTCGGAGCTGTGCAATCCCAACATCCTCTCACCATGAACGTGGAGCAGACACCCTCGCTCAAGCGTCCGCGCTCGCCGACCGAGCCTCACCCCATTCCAGTTGCAAAGATCCCACGGACAGCTACGAACCACCTGCAGATCAACTATCTCGTCCGTCAGCACAAGGAGGACATACCACTCGTCACGGTCAATGACACGCTTGGAGAGATAGCTCGGTTGCTGAGCGAATACGACGGAGTCCTACAACGCCATGAAAGTCTGGCGGGCAATCTTGGGGCTCGGCCTGTCGGACCCATCTTGATCAAACGCTTCGAGAAGATGTTCGATGGGCCACCCAAGATCCTCAAGTCCCATGCGAAGGACTCACATGTAACCTGGTTGGATGTCGCCGAATTTGCTCAGAATAATCCGAAACAGTTCAACCTGGAGAGAACTCGCAACGGCATAAGAGTTTGCCAATTCTACACAAAACAGTGTCGCGTCGAGATATCCGAGGAAGACTACGTGCTCATCGCAAGTGGTCACCCTCAGAAGCTGATCCCCCCGCAGCCCATCAAGGAAGACGAAGACAAGGAACTCGGTGTCATGGATCTTCTGGATCGTAACCTAGGCCAGGTCATCCAGCTTGCTGATCAAGGTATGAGAACCTTTGTTCCTTCATAGCTAGAATCTAACCGTGGGCAGTCTCCGGCCGTGCGCGGCAAATGATTCACAAAATGAAAGGTCGACGGACTGCAATCCTGACCAGGCGCGAGCAGGAACGAGAACCGCGAAGACAGCCAACAAGAACCGAAGCCTCGCCCACCTCACCAGCAGAGATCAACGGAGTCAACAATAGCAGCGCCGGCAGGCCAGTTAGGAGCATCGAGGTTTCTCAGTCACCTCCTGTCGGCTTCACAGCTGTCAATCTGCGGCAGCCAGCTGCGGAAGATCCAGATCGACGCCCGCCCTTGACAAATGACGCCCTAAGGAGCATCGGCGATGATGCATTTGGCACACCAAGCAACGTCACCATCATCAACGGCAGATCAGTCAAGGACACCTCGCCAAGCGAGCGAGCTGAGCTGATGAAGAACTTCTTAACTCCAAGCGAGAGAGAAGCTGGCCTGACCGAAGAGACCATCCGGCGTACCTCGTTGGGTAGTGGTACTGCGCGGACTCAAGCCATGCATGCCAACGCAGCAGACAAGCCACGTTCCCGTTCGAATGAATTGCCGGGTGGAAGCTCCTCGACAGTCGCCATACCGAATACCCCTGCGTCGTTGATGCCGCAGACGAAGCCTGCTCAGCCAGAGAGGGACGATGGCGGCCCTTTCAAGGCGGAGATGGTTCGCAGAATGGACAACATGTGGAAGGGAGATCGGGTGATTCCTCCTTGTGATCGTTGTAGGAGACTACATATGGACTGCCTGAAGAACCTCACGGCGTGTATGGGTTGTACCAAAAAACACGCCAAGTGTTCATGGAAAGATGTTCAGGCAGGGGAATTGGATATGACAGCACCACCTCCACGCGACAGGACACCAACACCATTGGCCTCCCCGCCGGCACCTGCACCACCTCTCTCAGCCGGATCTACGATCGAGGTCAACCAGCAGCCGGATGAATTGAAGCAAATGTCTCGCATTGGTCGAGCCTCATTAGACTTGGCAGGTGAAAAGACGGAGAAACCCAAAGACGATGACTTGACGGAGACACGAGAAGAAGCAAAGTCGGAGCCAGCTCCATCGAACACCTCGAGCGGGAGATTTGATGTGCGACCACCACCTTTGGTCCAGCAATTGCAAGATGCAGCGAACGGACGAGTGCCAACTGGGTCGACGCCGTACGAGACAAGTTTCCCGCCTCGCGAAAAGGAGAAGCCATACGAAGATGATGATGAGGGCGACCGCCTGCAGGCACTTGCTGCACGAGTCTATCGGTCCGCCTCCCAGGGAGGACATCGAGCTTAGGAAACAGGACCCATCAACACGAGTGCCACCATGAGAGGGGAAGATACATGGTGATAAGCACAAAGGCGATCGCATACAGGCACTCTTTTCCCGGGCTTGTCACGATGTCACTTCAGACCCGACACAGGAGCAGGTCGGAATAGTCCGGCGAGCGCCCTGCGGATCTGAGCAATGAACGGACAATAGGAAAAGTGCAGGGAATAATTACGAGAGCGGCGCGACATATGTTGCAGCATGATCTGGCGGAACAGATGAATTGTTTCAAAAGTTTCGAGGTCGAGCAGCGGGTTTACTTTTTACGCATAGCTTGTATTGGTAGGGGCATTTTTGCGTCTTTTGCGCAGAAGGCTGATGGAACAGGCCGGAGTTGTGGCGGAATAGATTCCACTGCCGCCGTCCGCCGGCCATCCAATGTACGGCGAGGCTTTGTCAGAGCGACAGGCGGCATGGTACTCGTACTGTGTACGGAGTACAATGTGCCCCTCGATTGTGGGGATTGTTCCTCTGCCGATGCATGTTCCGCGATGCTTGTATTCGGATGCTGACCTCGCATGGCCTCCACCATCAACATCCCACTTCTCCATGTCATCACTGCTGTTGTGCGTGTGAATCTACAGTCGCCATGGCCTGACAAGCGACTGACAAGCGAATCGGGGTCCACGGGTTTGCTTTGTCCTTTTCTGTAACTCGGACAGCCCTAAACTGTCTTGCTGCGCATTTGCTGAGCGTCTGCTGATCTGCTCCTGGTCTTCGGATACTCCCACCTGCATTTCTGCATTACCCCACGATCCATCTCAGCTGTTCGGAGAGAAATATTATTTCACTTGTCCTCGCGTCTGCGTTTTGGGACCGTGTTAGTCAACCGCCTGGCTTGACCTGTTCCCTACTCGTACCCAACTCGTCAACCCGCACTCAGCCTACAATGGATCCCTCCAAGGTCGACATCCCTCTGCTCAAGGATCTCACGATCGACAACATCACCGAGAACGTCATTGCGATCAACTCGAACAACCCAGACCCGCGATTCAAGTATATCCTCGAGAGATTAGTGGTGCATCTGCATGACTTTGCGCGGGAGACGAGGCTGTCCACGCAGGAATGGATGGCCGGCATTCAGTTCCTGACCAAGACCGGACAGATCTGTACGGATGTGCGGCAGGTAAGTAACCCACTAAGCAAGCCCTCACCTTCTCAGCACTGTTCGCGAGCCCGCCCGACAGAATTTCAGAAACTCGTTTTTCAAACCGTGACAAAGGAGGAATGGGACGTGGTGTAATAGGATGGCATGTACTGATGGGACTACTACCCAGGAATTCATCCTCCTCAGCGACATCCTCGGCCTGTCCCTCCTCGTCGACAGCATCGACCACCCCAAACCACCCAACTCGACTGAAGGCACGGTCCTTGGGCCCTTCCACACGCACGAGGCCGAAGTCCTCTCGCACGGCGACCTGATGTCGCACGACGAGAACGGCGATCCGCTGCTCGTTTTGTGCACCGTCAAGGACGTGCAGGGCCGGCCGATCGAGGGCGTCAAGATCGATATCTGGGAGACCGACTCGTCGGGCAAGTACGACGTGCAGCATCCGAACCGCGACGGGCCCGACGGGCGGTGTATCCTGAAGTCGGACGCCGAGGGTGTCTTCTGGTTCAAGGCCATTGTGCCCGTGCCGTACCCGATCCCGCACGACGGGACGGTCGGCCAGCTGCTCAAGAAGCTGGGACGTCATCCGATGAGGCCAAGCCATATGCATTTCATGTTTGAAAAGGAGGGTTTTGACCATTTGATTACGTGCGTATACCTTCATCGACACCTACGCTTGATCATCTTCCGGTGGCGGAGGTGGTGATCTTGTCGTCGTCGTCATTCCTACTGACATGATGTGCGCGTCAGGGCTCTTTATTTGAAAAACGACCCCTACGAGACCAGCGACGCCGTCTTCGGCGTGAAGAACAGCCTCATTGTAGAACTGTCGACCGTGTCGGCTGACCAGGCCGCGAAGTACGGTGTCAAAGAAGGAAGCGCTCTCATGACGTACGATTTCGTGCTGGTGACGGAGCAAGAGAGCGCGGATTTAAGGGCCCAGAATTCGCGGACCGCGCTGGAGAAGCTGGGCAGACGGGTCAAGATCGTGAAGGGCCTGCCGGTGCCGGATGTGGACTGAGCGGGAGGGGAGGGACGGAGTGGTAGGGAAGGGTTCGTGGGGTGCGACGAAAAGAGGAGGAAAAAGCACTACACGGTAGAAGCGACGGGCGGGACACATGCATGTATATATGTTCTTGATATACTCCGTATCTCTATGAAAATTAGGGAAGAAACCAAGCCTAGGAGTGGTGAAGTTGGTCTATTCGCCCGCCGAGGCCGCAGCCCTGTCACTCTGGGACTTTTGGCCTTGCTGTATCGAGCATTCGGCGGCTCCCCAGTGATCCCAGTTATTTGTCAAGCTTGAGGCGCAGTAGCAGGACACCCGCAAGGCACCACTGGCACCTACAGTACGAGGTACAACGACCATGCTTCTGCTGATTACGGAATCATGCAGGGAATTCGTCCCTAGGAGGGGTGCCAGGTGCTGATAGGTGCGCTCGCCCCTCGGAACGAGGCACGCCCGCCACGAAAACTGTCAGCGCGCTGTTGCCTCTGGTGCCTTTTGGTGCCTCTGGCGGTCCCCTTCCCCAAATGACGTGCTTGATTGATCGATCGCCCGCGAAACTTCGACGACGAGAGCCTAACTGGGGATTCCATTCGCCCTGCGTCAGATTCTGGGCTTCGATATATAGCTAGTATTTTCCTGCTGCCATCGACTCCGATAGCATACTCGTACACAGCAGTGATACTTCACAACCCGTCCTAAACACAACCGCCAGCCGCCAGCCGCCATCCTGCAGATCAACGTCACCGACGCTTCCCTCGTCGCCCTCCTCATCCTCGTGCTGACGATGGCTTTCTCCATGCCTTCGTTCCTCACACGATTTCTCCGCCCCTTCTCCTCGACCCAACTGTCCCTCCAGCCAGATGCCCTGTCAGCGATGCAATTCCCGCCAAGCTCCCAGCGGGCGATCTTCGCGGGCGGTTGTTTCTGGGGCCTAGAAGAGCTTTACCGCCATCACTGGGGCGGTGGCAAGGGCTTGCTCGACTGCCGCGTCGGATACACCGGCGGCACCACGAAAGCGCCGACCTACGAGGACGTGTGCTCAGGCCGGACGGGCCACGCCGAATCGCTGCTCGTCGTCTTCGACCCGGACGTGGTGACGTACCGGCAGTTGGTCGAGTTCTTCTTCCGCATGCACGACCCGACCACGCTGAACAGACAAGGCGCCGACACGGGCACGCAGTACAGGTCTGCCGTCTTTGCCGAGAACGACGACCAGTTGAAGATTGCCGAGGAGATCAAGCAGAAGGTCGGCGAGCAGTGGTATAAAGGCAAGACTATCACGACGGAGATCAAGCGAGCGACACAGTGGTACGACGCAGAGGGCTTGCATCAGAACTACTTGTTGAAGAATCCGTCCGGGTATCAGTGCCCGGCTCACTTTGTGCGACCACACCCCGAGTTGAAGTGATTAGATGGCTTGGCCGGGAGATGGAAGGTCGAGGGGAAGAAGAGTGTTGTTATACAGGAATGATTTGACGGCGTGGAGCATGGCGCCAACAGCACCCAACTAAATGGAATGTCTTATGTATGCGTGTATGAATTGATATGCTGAATGTTGTTTGCCATACCAGCTCGACGGATACCTAATTACTCGGACCAAGCGACCAAGTTCGCTCAGGGCCCAAAAACCGTGTCGTGCAAGAGATGCGATGCATTCATGTTTTCACACCTATTCGCGAAGCCGGACGACCTTTCGACACCTCTCACCGGATATCGGCACACTCGCACGCTGGATCAGTCACGACTCGTTGAGATCATCAAGGAATGATCCTCGTCGAAAGCGCTACTTAAGTTACTCCGCCACAGTCCTTGTAACTAAAGCGGGGTTAGGTCGCCGGCCTGAGGAGACACAGCCTTATCGATGATTTGAGTACAGTACCTAGGTGCGGAAGGTCGTTAGATACGTATGTGCGTACTGTGTGCTGTGTGCTGTGTACGAGGTACAGTCCAGAGACAAATACCTTAGCCAGTGATTCCTGAAGCTGCTCAAGGTGGATAGTTACCTCAATCTTGCTTGTGACTCTCTAAAGAACTTCTGGAGCTAGACGCTAGAGCTTCTCCCTCCGACGAGTACTCCGTACAGCGCGGACCACTGTTTCTTGAAAGAGATAGTCCGTACTGCGTGGTATTCCTATTCCTATTCCACAATTGGAGTATCTACCCTGTAACTCGGTACTCCGTACATCCACACGACTTGGGACGTTCGAACACACACTTCCTTTCCACAAGACGGCGACGCGGGTTCTCATGATCCCCCAGAATCTTGGTCGGTCAGCGTCAGATATACCTACCTACTCGTACCTCATTCCCAAACACGACTTTACTGCTACAAATGCCCGACTTCGTCCGCGTGGCCGGTGGTGTCGTTGCGAAAGACCGCGTCGCCGAATCGGAAGCCGCCCAATTCGAGGCTCTCAAGAAGGGTGTCCTGGCCGAACAGGCGCGGAAAGAACGAGAGGAAAGGCAGAGGAGGATAAGCCAGGGTCTCCCTGCCGAGTTGACGGCCGAGGAGAAGAGAGAACGGAGGAGGCAAGAGAAAGCGCAGAGAGAGGAGGAAAAGCGGAAGAGGAGAGAAGAGCTGGGCAAGGGGAAAGCAAGTTCTGGGCGAAAACGCGAAGGCGAAGGAAACAGAGTCTTGGGCTTGTTGTGCTTCGGTGCTCGATGAGTCTTGATTCAAGTCGATAGTGCTGCGACAAAAAGTTCATAGCCGACTGGGCATCCTCACTGCGCCGTCGAGTCGAATGACAAACCCGTTCAGCATCGGGTTCTCCACCATCTCCTTGACGAGCCGGGCAAATTCATGCCCTTGGCCCATTCGCATGGGATATTGGATCATCTCTGTATTCATGCCCGCTCTCGCGCCTGTAGCTCCCTTTTCTTTCTTGGCTCCTTCTTTCTCAGCTCCTTCTTTCTTGCCCGGTTGCTGCTCTTGCGATGGTGGTGGTTTCTTCTTCGGCGGAACGGTCATGCCGGTCTGGAACACTCCCGGCGCGACGCCCATGACTCTTATCCCGGCCTTTTGGCCCAACTCCCGTGCCAGCGGGAGAACGATGCTTCGGACGGCACCTTTACTGGCGCTGTACGCCAATTGACCGACCTGACCCTCGTAGGCCGCCACGGAGGAGACCACGACGATAATACCGCGCTCGCCGTCCGGACCCCATGGTTCGTTGAGCGCCATATGCGGGATCGTCAGCCGGATGAGGTCAACCGTGCCACGCAGATTGATTGCCAACGTCCGGTCAAAGCCGGACATGTCCATATACTTGACTGTTTCGTGGGTTGCTGAAGGATCTTGCTTGGGTAGGGAGAGGGCGGCTGTACCGATCCCTGCCGAGCAGATGACACCGGTAAGAGGTGCAGAGATATCTTGTTTGATCCATTTCAGAGTGTTTCGCAAGGCGGTTTGTATGGACTCGGTGGACGCCACGTTGGTCTTGGTGAAGAGGATGCGCGAGGAGTCAAGCTGTGAGTCTGAGGGAGGAGGGTTGAGGTCGAGGATGGAGACGTATGCGCCGGACTGCACAAGGAGAGAGGCGGTTGCAAGGCCGAGCCCACTGCTTCCGCCCGAAACGATGAATGTGCGGTCCTTGATCTGCATGTTTGTTGAGCCTTCTCAATGTCCTGGCGGGTAGTTTCGAGAGATATCGTTACAAAAGAATCGGTGGCTTGAGCAGCAGTCCTTAAGACGCCGAAGAACCTACCTCGGCCCGGCAGGGGGCTTTCATGTGCTTCGTGAGATCAGGCGAGCATCATGAGGCTGGTTACGTACTTCCCTTCAATAAACAGAGAGTCCTAATTGGTTTCATGTGGTGTGGAACTCCTAGCCTGGATGGTAGGTTGTGCGCCGTGTGTACTTCACTGACCGGAATTTGCGAGAGGTGTGTGTTTCTGAACTGAGCAGGTGCTCGTTGAGCCCAGTGACACGTGACATTGGTCTCTCTAGGCGCTGGGGGCGGCTACAGTCGTCATAGGTGCCTATTTTAGCCCACCACACATGCCCCTAGAGCCTTGCCGGCGCCACCATGATTGCAAGCCGACGCCCGCAGTGCTGCTTCGGGCAAATGTCTGGGGTTGGGCTTGAAACATTATTGATTCTGTCACGAGTCACTCGCTGTCAATTGATCACGGGAGATTTCGCCGAGCTCAAAAGCACATTCTGGAAGTGAACAGCGTGTGTGTATGACTGACTCAACTTGAGCTGCAGGTGATCCTTCGTCAGGAGGTGCCGTACATCCTCACTGCACCGAAGTTCAACTACACGAATTGAATCTTTCCCGCCCCCAAGCCAGAGACACTATTCAACGCACGCTGATCGGGTCCGTCCACGTACATCGCGGGGCCACAACGAGACTGGGCCGCCATACGAACGTAACCTGGAGAGCAATAGATATCCGCCTGGCGTTGGCCTACTCGGCTTCTCTGCAGCAACTCTCCATGACCACCGCGCCATATGTCCCTATCCTCCAGTCGCTCGAAACCGCTGCCCACCCGGAGCGTCAACAGCCTCAGAAATGGAGGAGCCAGATCCCGAGACTCGTCGAAGCCGCGCAGTAGATCTATTAGCGCCAATGATGCGTATCTCTACGCTTTGAGGGTGGCGTATCTGGCATACCTGTTACAGCCCCGCAAGACGAGAAAGAAACATGTCGAGACCAGGCCCGCAGTCAGTCGCGCCGCGACCTCTAATTCTTTCCACGATCTAATGAACGACTTCACCGTGGTGCGAGACTCAAAAAGCACAAGGATCCCTCATGACTTCATCAGGGCGCTGGAAAAGAGACTGCAAGGCATCCTCATGGGGAGGGAGAACCGGCAAGAATACCAGGAGCCAAATGTCAAGAGAGTGTTTGCCATCTTCCTCAACACGCTGTCCGACCCGGCTTTCAAGAAACGCATGGAGGCAGACCGGAGGGCCGAAGACTTGGTGCTCATCTTCTTCTCAACAGCCACGAAGGAGTTACAGAGGAGCCACCAGCCAGGAGACGACGGGGTCAAGCGCATGGTTGACCGCCACGTCGCGCTCTTCGTCCGGCTGATGTCGCTAATTCTAAAGGACAAGGACTGGGCAAAGGATAAGCCCGATCTGGCCACCCGATTACAGACGCTAGAGTCGAAGTTACTGAAAGGAGACGAAAATCTGGCAACTTCTCAGACAAACGGAGAACTCAAAACCGTGGACGAGGTGGTGCCACTAAGCTACGAGGTCAAGGACATGCCGCTGGTTCTGGCGGTCGGGCGGCTCTTCGGCCTGACTCCCACCATGGTACAATCCGACATTACCAAGCACAAACCGGTGTGGACGGAGAAGGCAGCCCTGCAAGATCTGAAGACATATCAACAGCACCTTACTCTGGGGACCAAAATGGTCCTCAACACTAACGATTTCGATACCCACGAGGCATATAAGGCCTGGAAGAAGAGCGAAGGACCCGACCTGTCCCAACTCATGCTCGCCATCATGCAGTCAAACCCCGAGTTGGCCAAAAGCACCCCTGGAGGCGCTCTGCCTCAATTCAGGGACCAAGCCGAACCGACGAGTCCGTCCGACGCTCACTATGCTGAACTCTCTCGAGCCATCTCGCAAGGGGGGGAACCGTCCTCTTACGTGTTGGATCTGCCGGCAGATCTAAGCGCTCTCAACTTGAATGTGAATGATTCTTCCCAACGTAACGATGACGCAGCCCAGCTCTATACCTTCATACCTCCGGATCCCAGATCCATGTTTCGATATATTATGCTTCAAGCCCTTAATCATGACCTAAACGATAAGACGAATGAAGGAGGGGGCCAACTGTTCTCCAAGGAAACCACAGAGGTCCTGAACGAGATCGCCCTGAGATGGCGAGTACCAAAGTTCACTCGCATTGTCCTCTTCCTGGATGTTGTCCGCGAGAAGTTTGTCGAAGGCGCCATTAGTCTGGAAATGCTGGATGCGGCCTTCAATTACGTCAAGGAGCCTCCGCAGGAGGAGCCGAAGAACAAGAGGAGCTCGCTGGTAATGAGCTCGACCCTATACGACCGGAACAATTGGACCATTGCCGACTTCGCCCTGATGGGTAAACTCTTGAATGCCATCTACGAATACCTGCTTCGCGATCTGTACGAGGTCATCTTGACCTCTTACGCTGACAAGGCGCAACTACCACGGCTGGGAGCGATCATGGCCGTGATAGACGAGCACATTCGGAGCGATCCCAGTTTCCGTCAGAGCCCTGAAGACTTTGAGAACTTCAAGGCTGCCGCCATTGATGGTTTGGCAACCGAAGCTCGAAAAATGTACGACAGTCTTCTGGATCGAGAGTTGCCTCACGAGCAGGAAAAGTGGGAGTGCTATCACATCATGCAGCTCGCAAAAGCCGTGTTGAAGCTCGCAGAGAAAGTTCAGAAGCGGTTCAAGAAGAATCCCGAGATTCTCGGCATCAATCCACTCATGATCTTGGTCAACTCTACGCTACCTGCATTTGCGGAAGACTCAAAGGCTATGCTGGAACAAGTCTTGGACAACGCTCAGAGAGACGGGCTTGAGGTCCCAATCCAGGACGGGTTTGATCTGTATAAGGCGTTGAGCGACTTTCGCCGAGTGCATGCCGACGCCTTGCCTCATGTCCCCTTTGCCTACAAGATTGAAGATGTGTTGGGCGATTTTGTTTGGCGATGGATCAGGTCTACCGAAACACAAGTCATCGGCTGGGTGGAGAATGCGGTAAAGCAGGACGAGTTCAAAGTCAGAACGGAAACACCTGGTCAGAACCCTACTGAAGATGAGCGTCATTCCACCTCCGTGCTCGACATTTATAGCTCTTTCAATCAAGTCATCAACCAGATCGGCGAACTGAACTGGGACGACGACCTCAGCTATGCCAAGTTCATGACGGCTCTGTCAAAGGCAATTGGTCAAGGCATCTCTCGATATTGCGATTTACTGGATCAGATGTTCAGCAAGGAGATGGATAGGCTGACTCCGGAGCAAGAAGCTGCCGCCAGCATGACCAGACAGGAGAAATGGGTTCAGCTTGCCAAGGACACCTGGAATCAGAAAGAGAGAGTCGAGCCTTTCAATTTCTATCCTCAGTCGTTTGTCAAGCTCAACGACATATCTTTCGCCATCCAGCAATGGGACAAGCTCGAGTCTGAGGTCAACGTTGACGCGTGTGCTGAGGTGATCAAGAAACATGCTCCTCCACTGCAGCAGCGACCAAAGAAGACATCCAACTACGTCTTCACCATCAAGATCGTTGAGGCCGAGGATCTTAAGGCTTGTGATGTCAATGGTCTTAGCGATCCGTATGTCGTGTTGACCGACGAATACCAGAAGAGACTATTCAAGAGCAGGATAGTCTATCGAAATCTGAACCCTCGATGGGACGAGTCAGTGGATATCACCACGCAAGGGCCCCTCAACCTCATTGCGACTGTCTGGGACTGGGACGCCATGGGGGACCATGATTACGTGGGTAGGACTTCGCTCAAGCTTGATCCTTCCCACTTCAGCGACTTCCTGCCACGAGAATACTGGTTAGACCTCGACACCCAAGGACGGGTGATGGTTCGTGTCAGCATGGAGGGCGAACGCGACGACATCCAGTTCTACTTTGGCAAGGCGTTTAGGAGTCTTCAGCGCACTCAGCGAGATATGACGCGCAAGATTACCGACAAACTATCTGCCTACATCAACCACTGCCTCTCTCGACGGGCACTGCGGTCACTACTCAATAGGGGCATCTCCATGGCCAACGTCTCTGCCAACGTCTCGTCCTTCTTTGCTCGAAATCGAGTCTCCGCAGTACCACCTACGACGACCATGCCCACTGACGCCGAAATCGTCAACGCTATCAAGCCACTGTTCGACTACTTTGACGACAACTTCGCCATTATGCAGCAGACGCTTACCTCTGACGCAATGAAAGCCGTTATGACTCGTATCTGGAAAGAGGTCCTCGTTACGATAGAATCGCTGCTTGTACCCCCACTTTCCGACAAAATCTCGCAACAGAAAGCCCTAACTCAACAAGAACTTGATGTTGTGTTCAAATGGCTTCAATCGCTGTTGGAATTCTTCAACGCCGTGGATGAGGATACAGGGGAAGCTAATGGCGTCCCACTCAACGTGTTGAAGAATCCGAAGTATCACGAACTGCAGATGCTGAATTTCTTCTATTTCGAACCGACGGATTCACTCATCCGCGAATCCGAACGCATGGCCAGCGCCACTGCAGCTTCCCAACAACAACTTTCGCGGTCTCGCTTCTCTGCGCCGGCAAATCTTGGTAATGCGAACCTCCTATCTGCAGGGAACCTTGCTCTCGGCGGCGGAGCACGACGAGCTAAGAGCATCATGCTCTCCCGCAACCTGGGGACCAAGCGGAAAGCCAAAGAGGAGAAGTGGAAAGCCGCGCAGGCGGAACCGAATGATGATATGATTCTTCGAATTCTGAGGATGAGGCCGGAGGCGGGCACGTATCTCCGAGATCGCAGTAGGCAGAAAGAGAGGCTGGCTGCGGCGGCGGCAGCGGAGATGATCGTGAGGCAGAGCCTTCTGTCTGGTGGCGGGAGAATGACCGGGCCCAGTGTCGTTAGACGATAACGTTGGAAGATTGCAAGCACATAAGCCGGGGCTTTCCAACGATATCCTGCATTGTGGCTTTCTCATCGGTTCAGCAAGCTCTCGACAGGATCTATGGCCCGTTTGGTTCTGGGCACACTTGTTGTGCAACGACGGATGTGCAGGTTCGAGAAACCAGGCGCACAAGGGCGCATCCTCCATTTCACAAAGATGCAGTAATTAGCGCATACGGCACGGGATGTGAAGGCGTTGGTCCAGTATACCCCATCTATCATCACGCACACTTTTCTCTTCAGGAATTGCTTGGTTTTAAACTCATTGCTCGACCTTTCGCATTGGTCTCATTCCCTTCTACTCTTTAAAGCTTTGATCATCATCAGGAGAACAGTGACACAGTCGGCACAGTCGGCCCAGTCGGCCTCAGCGAATCAGCGCGATTCGACATCGTCCTTCTATCCAACGTCCCACTGTTTGGGTCTTCCACTGACATTAAAATGCCAGTCAGCACGGCTTTACTCTTCCCCCAGAAAAACCTTTTCTCCCAACGTGATCAAGTTGGTCTTCCCCCCATCCAGCGGGCGCGAGAGAGCAATGCTCTCAAGACCAGGTATTCGACGCTCTCAATCTCTCTCTCCGCGCCCACGTGGCTTCCAGGCCGAAGACCGTCATCTCGATCATTACTCCTCCGCCCTCTTCGCGTCCCTGAAGGCCACACCAATCGAGATAGGCGCGGCATTTTCGTACCGGACAGGGGAGGTTGAGGCCACTATATGAGCGAGGGGGTTGGGCAAATTGTGGTGGAGATACGAGTACCGATCCTTGGCTCGAAGGGGGTATTTGGACGAGTACCGATTCTTCGCTGGAGGGTGGTGTTTGGACAAGTACTGCTTCTTCGCTCGAGGGTGGTGTTTGGACAAGTACTGCTTCTTCGCTTGAGGGTGGTGTTTGGACGAGTACTGCTTCTTCGCTTGAGGGTGGTGTTTGGACGAGTACTGCTTCTTCGCTCGAGGGTGGTGTTCGTGGTGACGGCTGAGACGTAATTGAATGCCAGGCCACCCTGCGGATGTAGGCCATCCGTTCGATCGCCAGGAGCAGATTCTGTTCCGTGGCTTATCCGTCCCAAGCTGCAGTGTGGACGATGGTGGGAGGGTGAGGTTCTCCACGCGCCAGCCCTTGCTTGCCGCCTCGGTGTCGGGCGCGAGGATGTTGTATACGTGTGGTCAAGGGCAGGGGGAATCGGAGCGCGGACATCCTTGGGACAGAGCTTGCAGAGGCGGTTGACCTGGAAATTTCGCAGAACCAGTGTGTATGTCGTGCGAGACGTCAACGCGAGGCAGACCACAGAGGGGGCGTCGAGGTGGTCGACGATCTCGAGGAGGATCTCTGGGGCCAAGCCAGCGTGAAATCGTCTAGTAGTGGGATTGTTACTGTTGCGTGGCTTCGGACGAAGTGATGGTGCGAACAGCGACAGGACCAGGGAGGCATTGAGGCAGACTGAGATTGGCGGCATGTTCGTCAGCATTGTTCAAAGTGTCTTCTGCTGGAGGTGCTGAGGCTGTCATCGGCTTTGTCTCTAAAGGGTCGGTGGTCTCGTTCGGCGGCTCCCACGAAGCAGTCGTATCATCGACCGTGGTGACCATTGTCTCTTAGACTCAAAAGGTCGTATGCTGCTTCGAAGCCGTGACGGCCAGGTGGTCCGTAGGTAGGGTAGAAGCACAGAGACACATCTTGTGGACTTGCGATATTCACCGCGTCGCGCTGGAGCTGGACGGCAGACTTCTCACCGCCCGGGTGTCCGACTGCCTGGCGTAGAATGAAGGACGTAGATGTCCAGACCATTGTTCAAGATGAAGACACGCCATTGTCCGCGACTGTGCGTAGTGAAGCGCAATACAGTATCATAGGGAGTGAACATCGAAGAGTCGCAGGATCGTGCTATTTCAGATTATACATACCATGCACACACAGAAAGAAGTAAGGAGATAACTGCTGTTGGGCTCAACCGAGATACAGCTTACCAGAGACACGCATCAACAGCCGTTGATCTGGATGTGAGAGACCGCTTTGGATCGACTTCAGCAACTCGGTGCCATCAATCCAGGCACAGAGAGTGTGCAGATCCATTCTGTCACCTGGCTAGAGAGTGGCCCACGACGTGCTCAGAAGAGAGGAAGTCACACTCTCTTTAATGCTCCTAGAAGTGGGTGAGCAATGGCTGAGCGAAGGGACAGGTAGTGGCCGGAGACTGCTATAGTCTGGCAGGTATAGCAGTTCTGTTGGAGGCCCATGCTCTTTCGCCTGTCCATTCGACGATTCCCATCGACTGCCTTACTGGACGGTGGTCGATGGTACCAAAGGGCCAAAGAAGCCCTAGAGATTATCACTGGCGTGGATACGGTAGCTGTAACGATGGCTCGGGTTTGTCTTTCGTTCTTGCTGGAATATGTAGTCCGCCAGACTCTGTGTCAAGGGCTTAAGTTGAAAGAGGATCTCTGCTCGCAACCGTCGGATGATGGACGGTTTTCTACGCTGACTCGACCCGGCTTCCACCTGGGAGGAGGCTCATGATACACTTTGTGGTGACTGATGTACATCCGGCGAAACGTTGCGACGATCCAATGCACTGCCCACTGCCATGACAGGACCACTAATGGGTGACCAAGGCCAGCATCACTACTGTGTGTGTGGCTAAGTACGGAGTACGCAGTATAAAGTGACAGAAAGAGCCCCGACACTTCTACCCATCCACTCCACCGTACAGTATACCTCTCCGGCAGGCTTTTCGCAAATCAGCGCAATATCTTGGCACACATCCACTACCGCCAATATCGAATTTCACTGCGAAATTTCCCCACTCGCGTCGTCGACGACATTGAAACCGCCTGCAATTCCAATTCCCACGTCCACGAGAGTCTCCTCCTCTTCATCCCGCTGCCGGTCACCGCTCACAAAGGACTCAACCTAGCAACAAATAACCCACCACCACCACCATGGAGAACGAGAAGGGAGAAATCGTCGATCTGTAAGCCCATCGCCCTCGTCCCTGTTCCAAACGGGCATCTTCTCTAACATGTTCTCTTCTTCCTTGCTACCAGCTACGTCCCCCGCAAATGCAGCGCCACCAACCGCATCATCAAGGCCAAGGACCACGCGAGCGTGCAGATCTCGGTCGGCAAGGTGGACGAGAACGGCCGCTACACGGGCGAGAACCAGGTGTATGCTTTGTGCGGGTTCGTGCGGAGCCGAGCCGAGAGCGATGACAGTCTGAACCGCCTGGCGCAGAAGGACGGGTTCTTGAAGAGCGTGTGGAGTGCGCAGCCTACGAGATAGGCGGGCGTGAGGGGTGTGAGAGGGTGTGAGAAAGTGTGCGCAGCGAGCCAGTCAGTGGGAGAGGGAGGAGAAAGCCTGGTCAGAAGGATACCATGGCCTGCTTTGCCTGCCTGCTTGCCTGTCAACGATGTAGCCCGCCGTCGTTATTGGCCTCGGTATTCGATGTTGTTGAAGCACGGTGGACTGGACAGTGGAGGCCAGGACATTTGCGCTATTGTGCTTGCATGCCCGCTCACCTTCTATCCGTCGGGCAGACACGGGCGAGGCGAGGCGAGGCGAGGCAGTGTCCTGCGATTCAAGACGCACTTCGACTATTACAACATTAACCACTGCAAGTGTGAGGTGAAGGTTATGGCGAAGGGTCAGGATGATAGAACGTCAATCAAGCATGGCTCAGTGCGACTTATCTGGGTGGGAGAAAATTACAACCCAGCAAGCCAAAATGAACAGAAACAAACAGCTATATATCTCGTGTTTCACTGTCCTACGCTGCGCCATGATATACTACCGCTATGCTCGACGAGTTCCAAGGATGATATCCAGGGTCTGCGAATCGCTCAAGTAGAGAAAATGTGCTACCCGTATCTGTGCTCTGACTCTCAATCTCGGAATTGTCACAGCTCTTCAGAAGGCGGCTCTATAGTCCATGTCTTGATGTTCGGCTGGTGTATGTATGTATGAATTTTCTACCTCCCCAGTCATGGTGGTAAGTCTGGGGAAGCCTTGATGTGCCGGTCACGCCTCGCGCAGCAAAGAGAGGGGGAGATCAAGGGAAGGAGATACCGCTGAGCGTTGAGAGTCAGAAGAATCCAAATGGGTATCATTTCTAGTTCTTCTTCGAGTCTTCGAATCTACCTACAGGGTAGAACGTGCCGTTGAACGGACTTGGCATGGTCTTGCTGTGACGACGCGTGTCCGTTCGCAGATATGGGTCAGTAATCAGGTCTCATCCTTCATACAGTCGTATGGTCGATAGGGACATCTCTTTCCTTCTAGTCTTTGTGTAACCGCACGGCCGGGTTAGTCTCGATGAAATTGAGGTCGACTTTGTGGCCCAGCAGTTCTCGGATGTTGTTGACGCCGTACCTTTTCGACGTCAGCACTGAGTAGCATGCAAAATCGAAACTTCAACCAGGACTTGACTTACTTGATCATGGTCGGTCGCTCCAAGCTCAAACCCCAGCCGTAGATCCGCATGTCCTTGGGCAGACCCATGGGCTCGAGCATTTCCGGTCTGAACATGCCGCTGTTTCCGATCTCGACCCACTTCTTCAGGCCTTCGTGGTAGCTGAAGATTTCCATACTAGGCTCGGTGTAGGGATTGTAGGCCGGCTTGAACCTCAGATTCTTGATGCCCATCTTGCCGAAGAAGACCTCCATGAAGCCTATCAGGCCTCCCAGTGTTAATCCCCAGTCCGCGATGACGCCCTCCACTTGGTGGAACTCTGCCAGGTGTGTTTGGTCGACGGTCTCGTTTCGGAAGACACGATCGATGGAGAAGTATCTTGCCGGTCGAGGATTGAGTGCTAGCTTATGCAGCATGTAGGTCGAGATGGCGGTGGTGTGAGTCCGGAGGACCAGCCGTAGTGATTCCTCTTCAGCCCATGGATACCTGTAGCCTATGGAGCCGAATTTTCCGTCCTGGTGAACCGCTCGTACGTCGTCCCAGTACTGCTTGTAGTTTAACGTTTTCTCCTTCGACTTTGTTCGCTTGTGCGAAGTCGCTGGGGTATGTTTCTCGCCAGGAGCGGCAGGCTCTGGATCTGCGCGGGGTGGGTCGGCCTTGGCGGGATCTGAGATATAGAAGGTGTCTTGCAGGTCGCGGGCTGGATGTTGTTGAGGGACGAAGAGAGCGTCGAAATTCCAAAACCCTGTTTCCACGTATCGATTCGTGGGCATCTCCTCGAATCCCATTTCAAAGAAGATCTCCCGGAACTCTTGGCGAACTTTGTTAAGAGGATGTAGCGCACCAGACGGCGTTATGGCACCCTTCGCCTTGAAATTGTATGGCTTCAGCTGCACTGTCTTCCACGCCCCAGAAGCCAACATATCTGCGGTGAGGTCTGTTTCCTCCTTGACGAACTCGGTCGAGAATTTGGGACCTTTTGAGATCTTGAAGGTGACAATCTTCTCTTCAACCACATACTTCCTCTTCCTGAAGTCGGCAAGGGTCTTTGGGTTGTCTAATGTCTTTGTTGACTGAATCTTCTGTAACTGTTCTTGTACCTCATCCTGTATCTTGTCTGTTGCGGCCTTGAGGGTGTCACCTTCCTTCGTGACCCACTTGAGCTTAAAGGCATCCCCTTGACCGAACTTCGCGATGTTGGCGTCACCAACAGCGGCAGACAGGTCCTTGATTTTCAGCCCGTCGAGTGCTTTTCGTACGGCTTCAAACACTCTTGCGCCATTGCTTCCATTCTCGGCGATGTCTTGACCTTCTCTTGTGAGAACGAGTTGTATCCGGTCGATCTGCTCAGCTTCGATGAACTCTCGTGACCGCAGCTTATCGACAGCAGATTTGACGCTGACAAAGGTAGCATTGGGAAAGGCTTCGGAGGTGAGAACTGGCCCGTCGGAGGAGTTGAGGACTTGAAGCACCTGCGGCGTTAAGTCCTCAGCCATGGTTCAGTCTGCGAGAAGCCGCCTGCACGCGGCAACAGAGAAATATGGATTGCGAGGCGAATAACCAGCAGGATAGAACAAGCACTGGAGGGAAAAATGATTGTGCCCTCGTCGCTTCAATGACTCCAACCGCCTAAGGAAAATGACTCCAAAATGAAAGTGGGTCTGATGTGCTCCAGCCTCGTGGTCGGAGCCTCGCCGATTGGAGCGGGGGAACTTCATCACCAACGCCGCTCCGACAACGTTGTCAACCCATGGACAACAGGTTGACAAACTCCCGACACCGAGGTAGATTAGAGGATACAATGACACACCAACTCTGTTTGTCGTCCCGACATGTATTGGTTCTCCCATATCTAACGAAATCAAAGTACAATTTGTGGTCCATCTCATGCTCCTGCCCACGTCTGCTCATCAGTTGTCTCCTCAAAACACGCCAAAAGAGACTATGGAAATGCAGCGTTTTTCCTATTGCCTTCTTGTGGCCCTGGCTCCCATATCACCCACCTTGCCTTCTTGTCCAATGCGGCGGCTCATTTGTGTCCGAAGAAGAGCGTTAGGGGAATCAGCACAACAACGATGAAGCAAATCCTCCGTAGATGGTCAAGAACCAGAAGACAGACCTCCACCCGAGCTTATCCCCGAGTAGTCCACTAACGACTGGGCCGATGGCAACAGGCATGAGAAGGCCGGGCTGGAAGAGACCCCATGTACGAACCCTTGTCGTCACGTTTTGTGTTGTCTCCGATCACCCAAGCTCCAATAACAATTGTGCTGGCACTTCCAGTGCTCTGGACGCAGCGAAGTACGAGTAGTTGTGCATAGGCTGGGGCTTCTGCCAGTTCTATGCATGCTCCAAGGAAGATAGCGAGGGTGCAGCAACATGTGATGCGGCGGCCTTTGGTGTCGGAGAAGGAGCCCTATATAGTAGGTGACAGTCGGAGTGCCTGATACAGGGAGTCTGTCCGACCGAAAGCTTCGTTCCTCAAAGGCTCAAAGGAAAATGACCACGAGAGTGTGCGCTGTGTCCGTCAATAGTGCTAGGGGTTAGAAAACCACTGCCCTTGAAGAGCAGCCTGAGGTTGGCCCGCTGGAGAGACTTGACGGCATATCGAGCTGGTGATGGGACAAAAGTTCGAGAACCTGCTCGGTCAGACAGTGACGCTTCGGTAATCAGGCTATACTGGAACCATCTCACCACAGTCTACGGGGTCCTCGAAGAAACTGTAGCCTCAAAGAAAAGCTTCAGTATTCCGTGGTCGTCACAGCGAGGTGGAGTCAAACTTTCTACTCACCTCTTGAACAGTCAATGATGCTCACAACATATTTTAGACACTGGGTGCATCGAACAACGTCGCGGTACGAGAGTCTCACCATATTCACCATAGGCATTCTGTCTAATAGCACGTCGGTATTATGAAACGAAGAACTTACTGGCAGCTAAAAGTAGAGGTGAGGGAGAGGTGAGGGAGAGGCGAGGGATGGGTGAGGGATGGGTGAAGGGCGATTGAAGTGAGGCGGGGTGAGCGCTGGATAGCCAGAGGAAACTTTGCCGAAGAACTTTACAACTCGTAGTCAGACAGTTTCCGCATCATCCCCCAATACTCCATCCTACTGCCGTGGTCCATTATGCCAATGTATAAGACGTCTCCTCTTCATCTAGCTGAGTAAAACTCGCTGCGATGAGCCCGAAGGTGACGATTCCCAGGAAGAAGTCCTGTAACAATTGTTTCAAGTCGAAGCTTCGGTGTGACCTTCGGAGACCCCCTGCTCGAGATGTCAAAATCGCAAATTGGATTGCGTCTACACTACTCGCGCCTACCCTCCCAGCGTGGATCATGGAGCTGAAGAAGTCGATCCGCGTTCCGCCACATCTTCCTTTGCTTCAAATGCTGTCCACCTCGACCCATATCCAAAGCCCATCAACCAGCCAGCAGATTCCCTGTCCGATGAGCCTGCCAACAGCCATCCCAGCGCCAGCTCCCACATCAAATCGACTCAACCTAGTGAGACACTTGACTTCTTTGGCGTCCAGCTGAAGTGTACCGTGGATGCCCACCGGATCCGCGTTCGTTGGCTCGAGAGTCTCCTACCCTCTATCGACCAGAGACCAAAACCATTTCAGCCGGCAACCATGTCGTTCGTTGCAAGCATCTTCAAGTCTTACCCCAGCATGTTTGTGAACGGCGGCTGTCCTCCCTTTATTCACTAGTCGCAGGTAACAGGTGAGGCCGCATGTCAGCCATTGGAAAACTGTATGAACATTTCTCGTATGTGGACAGCTCAAACCTTAGGTAGCGCTGATATGGTCCAAGAGGTCATTTTACAAGAGATGGCAAGACTTTTCGAAAAGGGAAGTACAATCTGCCCTTGGGTTGGCCTCGTGACTAACGGCGGAGTTGACAGCGTGTGCACTGCGGTCACTTGGACCTTCTGGCAACCTTTCAGGCCTATCTCCTCTATACTATTATGCTCTTCTCGAGCACGAGGTCGGCTGGCATTATCGACCAGGATATCATGATGCGACTCCAGGAATTAGCAGGAGACGCAGCAGGCAAAGGAACTATTTGCCACGGGGAAACGGAGGGTACGCGCCCTGACTGGGAATCGTGGATTATCGCATCCGCCAAACGAAGGACACTTTTCGCTTCCTCACTCTTCGATAACTTGGTCAACTTTTCTCAAGGATCGCCGTCCTTTGTCGCAGTCGAATTGGCCGGTCTTCCTGCGCCAGCAGCCAAGAACCTATGGAATGCACGGACACGTCAATCCTGGAACCAGGCTTATAATCTGCAGCTGAGCCATTTGGGAGACGGTGAATTGTTGATTAGCGATCTCTGGCCACAGTCTGAGGCAAATTCGGAGGTGCTACAGCCGAAGATCGACCGTTGGTTGTCATCTGTTGACGAGTTTGGGATGATGCTTTACGCCGTCACAGCTCACACTTATAACCACAACAGTCTTCGTACTTGAGCCTGGTGCTACCGGGCCGCTCTTTGAGCTATGATGTGGAGCTTCATGGTTAGTGTAATGCGTGGCCGGGGCTAATGTTCCGATCACTAATCTATGCTATATACAGCGCCTACTCGACCGCCCGATCACTATTGTCGAACTCTTGCACAAGAACCCTCCTGAGCTTAAAAAGCACGACAGACCCCTCTGCTATGAGGTGTTGAGGATGCAGATCACCAAGTGTTTCACCTACCAATCTCAGCTGAGGAGACTATCTCCACCAGGACTTCGGCGGACAGCTCGAGTCTGAGATAGGACTTCCTGTTGATTTTGTATGGTCGGCAGTAGCGGAGATAATCGAAGTCTTTTGAGGATTATCGAGCACTGACATGGCTGCGGTCACGGTCAAACCCCTGCTTGTACAAGTCCCAGGGAGCCTTGCTTTTGAGACTGTCCAGATCTAGGACAATGATCTGCAGTGATAAACTGCGGCGATAAACCGCAGCGATGCTCTGCCTGGCACTTAAAGCGGACGAGAAGGTTCCTCCTGATGACAATGTACGTCTTGTGCTTCAAAGAGTGTACGCGTGGCTGATATGTTTACAAAACAACCGCGAAGAGCCTGGGGTATGGCTGCACAACGTCGCTATTGTCATCGCGAAGACCAAATACCGCAAGGACACCTGGGTCCAGCCACTCGTGAAGTCGTGGAGACCTTTCTGGGCGTTGTGGCAGAAGTCGATAAAGTAAAAGGCTGGCCTCAAGACCAGCCACGAAATCTCGGCTGCGAAAACACCCTGCGAAAAACTGGAAGCAGGATGACGCTTTCGGTCGTCCAAACGTCTGAGCTGGTGTAAACCGGCTCGAGTAGGCCTTCCTCTGAGTCGGCTGTAGCCGAGGTATTCCAATCATAGGATTCGGGAAAAGTCCTGCTTCTCATCGAGAGGCTCCAGCAAATGCCAGAATACCATCTGTGGGCGCCATTTCCATATATGCACAGAACAGGCTGGTTTCCGGTGGTTCTTCGGCCGGCCATGGGCTTTCATATCCCGAACCCTCGCTCTGGAGACGTTGCCCTTAGCACGGCATGCTGAGAAGTTATCGAGCTTTTAAGGGCGCCGATGACCCTCACGGCTTTCACGATCCCATCACTTCCGCCTCCGTCATGCAAGCTGGTGGCAGCTTCGCTTCCTGACTAAGCCTGGGCTGGACCAGATAATACAAATATGCCAACGTTTCACCAGCCAGCTCTGCCATCCAACGGACTCAGCATCGCTCATATCTTTGCCACCGTAAGGCATCGCGAATCGGCCGATGATGTCTCGGAACACCTCGAACGCGAACGCATTTGACCGGGCATGGTTCGAAGCGAAGAGATCCACAACTATTCTTGCGATGAACGGAAACACGAGTCTGATAGGCAACAGGTTCGAACTGCGTCTATTTTTGCCTAAGAGCGCCCAGTCTCCCGTCCCGACTGCGGCCGCGCCGGACCAGAAATTTCCAGAGCCGTGATCATTGATACCGAAACGTTGATCCGGAAGCTCTGTGAGGAGTGGATTTGTTCAGGGGACGGTGTGGGCTTCTAGAACGCGTCATCGACAATGCATTTGTTTATTCAGCTCTGCACACCCGCCACGATATATGAATATCAGCGATCGGATTCAAAGTGGTTCTCTCGCCAGGGACTCATTTTCCGGCATCTCGGCCAACAACGGTGTCCGCGTCAAGTCGACCTGCCAGTGTTCGGCGACTCCCAATGCAGTAAAAGACATTCTTCAATGCAGTATCTCGTTACCCAGTTAGGCAATATGCACTCGATGCCAAGGACAACTACCTCTTACTCTCCCCTAATAGGCCCGAGGTAAAAACGGAGTCGGTGCATTCCACACCTGCGGAGTGCCGTCTGTTATCGCTTCGAATTATCAATCACTAATCATGACAAAAACCCACTTCAGATCTCGAGCCTCAATAATCCCGACAAAGATCTCTTCGCAGATTGGGATCCACACTACTTCAATTATGGAACTCAGGGGCCACCGCGTACAGGTAGGGCAGTTTAGGTGCACGGTACATGTAGTCCTGGACTGAAGAGCATTCACCATGCAGCATGCAGACTTCCAACAAACGAGTTTCACATACCCAACTGTGTGTTGGCCCTGTTCGAAGCCATGGCCGCCGTTGTCGTCGACGAGGCGAACAAGCCCCAGTTCACCAGAACTCAGGGCTTTGTGCTTGCAACCACGATTGTCATGACACAGTTCGTCCAGATGGCTCCCTTTGGTGCGGGCATCAATGGTGCGCTTGCGATTGGAAAGCAGTTGGGAGCAACTGAATACAGCTCAGCATGGATTGCGGCCAGCTATCCGCTCACTCAAGGGGCGTTCGTGCTCATGGGTGGGCGGCTCGGAATGATATTCGGGCACAAGAACATGGTGTTGATCGCGGGGGTCTGGTGGGTGATATTCTCACTCGTATCCGGGTTCACGAGGAACTTCATCGCCCTCTGTACGCTGCGAGCGCTCACCGGCATTGGCGGGGGCATGATGGTGCCCAACTCGATCGCGCTGTTGACCATTACTTTCCCGCCCGGGCGAATGCGAAACATTACGGTCGCTCTTTTCGGTGCCATGGCTCCGTTGGGCGCATCGGGAGGGTGCGTGCTTCCGGGGCTGCTTGTCCAGCTTGTGCATTGGAAATGGTTGTTCTTCTTTCTGTAAGTCAGGCCCCTTTGGGCGCAGTCGAGGGTGGAATATCAAATTCCAATTCTAACCGTTTGCGCTAGAGCAATGTTCGGAGCAGCCGTATTCACGTTGTTTTATTTCGTCGTGCCTTCCGAGGGCGAGCCCTTTGACAAGCACGGATCATTCGACTACCTTGGGGCTTACTTGGCGACGACGGGCTTGATAATGTTCAATTTTGTCTGGAAGTAGGCATTCTGATTACCTTGGCCCCTGCCGCAGTCCGTGACTCACAATATCACAGTCAAGCTCCTGCTGTCGGATGGGACGAGCCCTACGAGTACGTCCTCCTCATCATGTCGGTGCTTCACATTGTCGGGTTCTTGATCTGGGAGGCGAAATTTGCCAAGCACCCAATCCTGCCGTTCGACATCTGGAAGGCGCCATCTTTCCTGGCCATGATAATCGCCACGTTCTTCACCTTCATGGCCGTTGGCGTCCACGTATGGTACACCACGTTATGGAACAGCAACATCCGGGGGTTCAGCATGCTACTGGTCGCCGCGGCGTGGCAACCGCTGACCATCTTCGGGACCATAGCCGCCTTTCTAAGTGGCAAGATCGTGAGATACATCTCCGCCCAGTGAGTGGCCCGTCCTGTCTTGTCGCTAGAATTCTTGAGACCACGATTGTGGTTGAGCCTCTCCGACCCGCCACGCCCCAGTGCCTCAGCTTTTTTAGCCTGGAAATCAGGTCCCTAACTCTCGACTAGCCATTATATTGAGCTAACGTGTGAATACCACCAGGTACATCATGGCAATGGGCTCCATTGCCACGATAGTCGCCATGGTCCTCATCGCCACCCAGCCAATTCCCCAGACCTACTGGGCACAGTGCTTTCCCTCAACCATGATCCTCTCGTTCGGACCCGACTTTATCTACACGGCCGCACAGATCATCGCCTCCAATGCCGTCAAGCGCAAACATCAAGGGATAGCTGGCTCGTTGATCGGCACGGTCGCCTCCTACGGCTTGAGTACGGGACTGGGCTTCGCCGCGACGGTTGAAGCATACACTAATGATGGAGGAGGGAAGCCCGTCCAGGGGTATAGACACGCATTGTGGCTTGGCGTGGGGATCGCTGGGGCGGCGACGTTCCTTGCGCTTGCATTTGTCCGGATCCCCAAGGATGAGAGGGATGGGTGGGATGAGGATGAGACGGAGACTGAGGTGGGGGTTGAAAATGCTAGGCACGTCGCAGAGCCTACGCAGGGAGAAAAAGCTGTCCCGCCATCTTGATAGTTGTTCCGGCCGAGAATACTGGGGATCACTGGGATGGAGCGGGTGAAAGTACACCTGTACATACATCCATGCCTGCCGCGCCCCTCACCCCAAAAAGCCGACATGTCCAGCCTGTCGCATTATTGGAGTATTTTCCTACTGGCCACTTGGAGGGATAGACAGAGGCTATTGGCGTCTTACGGACCGTAACTCGGTTGGCCATTTTCGTGTCAGACTGTGAGAGGTATGAAGTTGGCTGGGATCTAGAGAGACTATTGACAGGGCAAAGAGCGGAGGCGGCTATACACAATGGGATCATCTGTGTAAATGAGATGGGTGGAGCGCGCCTCTGCCTCTGCTCCCAACCGTTCGATGCATAAGTCTTCCAACAGGCTTTGCCTACTGACATCCGAACAAATGCAAGGCGAGTTCTGTGCCATGTCCCACAAAGGGGAGAGCATGGAACCTGAGGATCAAGCACGACAAGAAGGCCAACGCCTTGCGGTACGCGGACGACTGACGAACCCGGTCAGCACGGCATGCCCGTCCAAGGTGTTCAGAAATAGCCCACGTGGCTTCTCCTAGCTGGCATGCAAGCCGAGTCGAAGCAGAAGAAATCCACCAGTCTCAAATCGTAGCCGTGTCTCCCTCAGCCGATCACGCTTTGCCTCTCAGCACCAAGATCGAGCGCTTCGAACCTTTTGATCGGATCTCACCGGCAAATTTGTCTTCGGAATATGCTTCGAGGAATGTATTCATCTCAGGCGGGGGTTATGGGATAGGAGCGTCCATTGCACGTTCATTTGCAGAGGTTCATGTGGCCAGCATTAGTATCGCGGGCCGCACCGAATCGAGGTTGAGAGCCACCACCGAAGAGTTGAAAAGGGATTATCCTAGAACAAAGGTCGAGTACCGTGTGGTGGACATCGCCTCGCAAAAGTCTGTCGAGGATTTGTTTGCATCCATCACGACACGACTCGATGTCTCCGTCAACAATGCCGGGTACCTCCCCAAGCTTGAGAACTTCGTCCACGCTAATATGGAATGACGGCGGGCATTCGAGGTCAACGTATTGGGGACCGCCATGGTTCTGCAGCAATTCCTGCCGGGCCGGTCGAGACAAAACGCAAAGGAACAAGCTGTGGTTATCAATTTCAATAGCATCGCTGCCTATAACGTCCTTCTGCCAAATCTCGTTTCGTCACACGTTGTAAGCAAGGCAGCGATGTGGAGAATGATGGAGACTATCTCGATGGACATATTGGACGAGACGGTGCTGCCTGGTGGCGCGAGACTGATCTCCATCCACCCGGGTAACGTCAAAACTGGCATGTACCGGAAGGCTGGTCTCGAGGGCGTCGCGCAGGTCAAATCCACCGGCCCTGGGCTTGCTGGTGACTTCGTCGTCTAAAGTACGAGTCAAATGGCAGCTTTTCTGGCTAACAGGCTGGTTGGGGTGAATTGGGATGTCGATGAGCTTGTGGCAAGGAAGGACGAAGTTGTGGACAGGGATATGTTTAGAACTGCCATGTCTTGATTTTCACATGCTTTCCAAGTAGGCTGTCGAGGTAGTAGAGGACCGGCAGACATGGCCACACGTTTCACAGCCACAAGGGATGGGCACATGGCAATCGAGGGACTGAATGTTGGGAGTCGCTAGAGTTTGTCTCCCTGTTCTGCCAAGCCACTAACCTTTTTCCGCATCAGGTGGTGGCCTCTCGGAAAACATTCCTCTTCAGCTTCTTATCGTATCGTTATCGCTCAACCCCGCCCGGAGTTTGTCGCCGTCGCTTTCTGCATTGAGTCAAAAATAACCCAAAAAAAGTTGTTGAGCACTTTCCTACACAGGCACATAGGATCCTTCCTCTCTCCTCACTGCGTGATTCAGTCGTTGGAATCTCGCCGCAACGATGGGTACAGGACTCCTCGTCGCTGTCGACCCTGAGGCTATCCTCCGAGACGAGATCAAGGGCCTGACCCTGCAGCAGGTGTCATATCTCGGACATTGTCTCGTTCAGGTCACGCCAGAAAACTTCCACTCGAGCCTCGCCTTCCTCAGCCAGAACTTCGCCAAGCTTGATATATACCTTGATGTTAGGAAGCTGAAGAGCTGGGACAATGTGGTTGACGTGCTTAACAACGGGGCGTCCAAAATATTTGTCACCTTTGAGCAGTTGAAGGTGCTGGCGCAGGAGCCGACCATTTCACCCGATCGTCTGGTTTTGACAATTTCACTTGTCAGTCCAAAGACCGATATTGCGAAACTCAAAGCGTTCCTTCAGGACAATCCCAAGTGGAAAACTTCGGAGTGGGCATTTGACGGCGACAAGGGCAACGAGCTTGTTGATACCGTCTTGAAAGAATTGGACAATTATCCCCCAAGTCAGGATCAATCGATATACATCGCAGTAGCGAGCGAAACTGATGGAAGGAATCTACTCCATGAGTATCCTGGCAATGCGCTCATTGTTTCGTCCACCAACTTAACGTTCGATCCATCTCTGCCATCTGGCAAGGATCTATTACCGGCTGCGGAGTTGATCGTCGCGGGTGCTACTCCAGATCGGAAGACGGGCCTCTATGCGACCACGGTAGTGGATGAGCGTGGGGTCGCCCTGGGACTGGTATGGAGCAGCAACGAAAGCATTGCCGAGGCTCTAAAGACCGGCACAGGCGTGTATCAGAGTCGGAAGCGAGGACTCTGGCATAAAGGAGCCTCGAGTGGTGACACCCAAGAACTCATCAGCATCGGTTTCGACTGTGACAAAGACTGCTTGATTTTTAGAGCCCATCAGAAAGGCCGGGGCTTTTGCCATCTCGGAACAATGTCATGTTGGGGTAGAGTTTCAGGTCTTTCAAGGTTGCAGAGAACTCTGCAAGACCGCAAGGTCGATGCCCCTGCAGGTTCATATACTGCTCGCCTCTTCAATGATCCCAAACTTGTCAATGCAAAGATTAAGGAGGAGGCAGACGAGCTTTGTGCAGCAAGCTCAAAAGAGGAGATCGCCTCCGAGGCAGCCGACCTGCTTTACTTCGCCCTAGCTCGGTGCATAGCAGCCGATGTGACCCTCGAAGACATTGAGAGAAACCTCGATCTGAAAAGCCTGAAAGTCAAGCGTCGGAAAGGCGATGCGAAACCACAATATGTCGAAGAGAAGCCTGTAAGTGAACAAGGGTCCGCACAGCCCGAGAGCAATGGAGCCAATGGCCACCAAGACGAAGATGTCAAAGAAGCCGCATCTGTGCCTAAAGCTCCCTCAGATACCGCCGGCCAAAATGACTCGCGTCGGATACAGATGACGCGTTATTCCACCTCACAAGCCTTCTCAGAGGATGTGTTAAAGGCAGCTTTACAACGACCTTCACAGAAGTCAAACGAGAAGATCATGTCCCTCGTTCAACCTATAATTGCCGATGTCCGATCGAAGGGTGACTCGGCAGTCCTGAAGTACACGCACAAGTTTGAACGGGCCACGAGTCTAAAGTCACCAGTATTAAAAGCACCATTCCCTGAATCTCTCATGCGACTACCTGAAGAAACCATCAAGGCAATCAATGTCTCATACGATAACATCCTGAAATTCCATTCTGCCCAGAAGCCGTCGGCGCCTTTAACCGTGGAGACCATGCCTGGCGTGACATGTTCTCGGTTCTCAAGACCGATCGAGAAAGTCGGTCTCTACATTCCCGGAGGCACCGCGGTCTTGCCGTCAACGGCACTCATGCTAGGAGTACCCGCGATGGCTGCGGGATGCAAGAATATTGTACTCGCGTCACCCCCACGATCGGATGGTACAGTCACGCCAGAGATCGTGTACATCGCGCACAAAGTCGGAGCAGAAGCCATAGTGCTTGCAGGTGGCGCCCAAGCTGTTGCGGCGATGGCTTACGGCACCGAATCTATCACCAAGGTGGACAAGATCTTGGGCCCCGGAAATCAATTCGTGACAGCTGCAAAGATGATAGTGAGCAACGATACCTCCGCCTCGGTCTCAATCGACATGCCGGCTGGTCCTTCGGAAGTGCTCGTCATCGCAGACCATACTGCCGACCCTGCCTTTGTGGCGAGCGATCTTCTCAGTCAAGCTGAGCATGGAACAGACAGCCAGGTCGTCTTGATCGCAATCGATCTTGATGAGAAGCAACTCCAAACGATCGAGGATGAAGTGCACAAACAAGCATACGAGCTTCCTCGTGTCGACATTGTCCGAGGCGCAATCGAGCACAGCGTAACTATCTCCGTTGGCTCTCTCAAAGAGGCACTCAAATGGTCGAATTACTACGCTCCAGAGCATCTCATCCTGCAAATTGCAGATCCTCGAGCCGCTTTGCCAGACATTCAGAATGCAGGCTCTGTGTTCCTTGGCGGCTGGACACCAGAGTCGGTTGGCGACTACTCTGCAGGTGTTAATCATAGCTTACCGACGTACGGCTATGCGAGACAGTACAGTGGCGTCAATCTTGGGAGCTTCATGAAGCATATCACCAGCAGTGAAGTTACCGAACAGGGCGTCGGTGAAGTGGGTTATGCTGTTATGGAGCTCGCTAGATGCGAAGGACTTGATGCTCATCGACGGGCTATGGAGCTTCGTCTAGAGAAACTCGGACTCGTCCCAAGAAAATCCGTGCAAAAGCAGGACCCCTCATCGCCGGAGAGTGAAAAACATGTGTCAGCGACATGGGTCGATGGGAATGAAAGCCTTACAGCTCCAGCAGCTCCCTGAGCGATATCTTGTGGAAGAGCGATTTTGTCGAGCCGAGGCGTCAGCGCAGTCTGTCAAATGTGTCATGTCGATAAACCAATCCAGATTTCAGGGATATCATGGGGTATAGATTGGGTACAAGAAGAAAGATTAGAGCCCCGATGACAATCAGACAGGCTTGGGTCACTCCTACGCAGCCTTGTCGAGTGTTAGAGTGACGAGGCTGAATGGCTGACTAATCGCCATTGCGGAACAATATTATTCCGCCCCTCAGGCAGCAATTGACACTAATTACTCTCTGGCTTGATTTTCAATGTAGAGAATATTTAATATATCCCCCTGAAATATCGCACGCCGCAAGCAAAAGGCCGTCTCGAGGATAGCAATAGGTCTTGTTGTCTCCTAGCCAGCGTCCGTCACCATGAGCCCGCCTGATGCACCTGATGTCCACAGCGACGGCAGCGACGACAGTGACGATGCAGAGCAATACAAGGGCACCACTCTCAAAGCCAAAGCCGTCAGATCGAGTCGTGCATGCATAACTTGCAGACGGATGAAAACGAGATGTGAGATCGATGAGGCACTTGGAAGTGCTTGCAAATTGTGCATCAGGACACGACGTCAATGCATTATGCAAGATATACCCCGACGAAGGAAACGAAAGACGACCGAGAGAGTGGCAGACCTTGAAGAGAAGATCAACATTCTCACGGCATTACTTGCATCGAAAGAGGCTGGTGCATCGACCACCGACAGTGATGCCATCCCTACTCGCCCCAGCCCTGACCAGGAGTCGCCAGTAACTCCAGAAGAGAGCCTCGTTGCGGAAGCGTTGTCGCGAGGCCTCTTCGATTGGGAAACTGCCTGCGTGGCTTTTGAGAGGTACAAGCATGAAATGAGTCACTACTTTCCGTTCGTGGTGTTCCCACAGGCCACCGACGCCAAAGCTCTCAGAGAGCAGCAGCCCCTGTTGTTGTTTGCCATTATCACCGTCTCTATTTCCCGGCTACGGAGCAAGGTTGATTCAGAGCTCTGCGACATGTTGATCAAAGACCTTGCGCTACGAATCGTGTACAAGGGCGAGAGAAGCCTCGAGTTGGTGCAGACTCTGCTTGTCCATGTCTGCTTCTATTCAAGGGCGCTGCAGATGCGTGACCTAAACTTCAATCAGATGACACACATTGCCGGCACTATGGCCACCGATATAGGCTTAGGGAGGCGTCCTCATAAGGCGACCTCGGAGCCACGCAACGGTCCGTACCAATTAGAATCTCTTGCCGCACGGAGAGCTTGGTTGGGATGCTACTATATGGCCACGAGGTGGGTCATAACTAAAGCCGTTGTGACACTGCTGATATTGCTGCAGTATCTCAATGTCCCTCCGCCACCCTGCCTTCGTCCGGTGGTCGGTGTACACTGAAGAGTGTCTGGATATCATCTCAGCCGAACCACCTGCATTACCAAGCGACGTCTGGTTATGTGACTTGATACGCATCCAGCGCATTGCTGAAGCTGGGTCGCTTGCCTTCTCCATGGATGACCCGGGCGCAAGTGTTACGCTTCGGGACATCAGAATTCAATATCAGCTGCGAGGCTTTCGTCAGCAACTTGATTACTGGCGGCGACATGCGAGAACGGACTTAAGCCTACGTAGGTCTCCGGCAGAGCGCTCCAGGAATATCTTGTGGAATGCTGACTTCAGCCATGTGAAGCATACGCCCGGCACGTCGCGGCAAGTACCGATCTCTTCATCAACGAGATAGCTCTCCATCCGGAGCACGACATAGATGACCTGCGATCGCCTCTCCGCATTCCTCAGACTACGGGACTGGACGAGCTTGCCTTGAAATTCAAAGACCTGCATTTCATCCCTGCCAGAGAGGAGGCACTCTTTGCATGTCTTGCCGCAATACATGAATGCTTCGATGCTCTGCTATCCACAGACATCGCTACGGCTTGCACATTACCCAATCTCTTCTTCGTCCGGACTGGATACGCGGCTCGAGCGCTGCGCAAGTTACTTAACATATGTGACAGCCAGGCGGAGTATGAAGGCAGATCCCACATCGACGTGAGGGACTTGAAGTTCGAAGAATATTTGAACTCCATCATTGCTTTACTGGCCAAAGTTCACTTTGAGAACAACTCTACCGTTGCGCGAGCCTTCGGGTTGGTCCTTGCGCAAATCAAGGCACAAGCTTTGGAATCTTCCAAGCTGCTCTCCACGATCAAGTTGCCGGACGACGGCAGTGGCATCGACCTGAAACTCGAGCCGGACTCAACTTTTTCAATAGGTACCAAAGGGCCGTACGATCCCTGCCTTCGACTCGTGGCGGGTGAAGCAGTCTCCCAGCCAGGTTTTCCCACTCGGACGCCATTTACTGCTCCTCTTCCCCTCCCCCTCCAGCCTCTGCCGGTTGCAGGTCAGCTACTTCCGCAAGCTCAAGTTCACACGAACCCATGGCAACAGAACGTTCCAGACGATGAATTTATGACGGGAATCGATGTTTTGCAGTGGTTCGAACAAGATTTCGCCTTGACGTCCGGAGCCTTCGACTACGACGGCATGGGTCTGCAGCCTGCAGATGGACACTGGCAGTACTGAGGCCGTGCTCGACGAAGGTGCACAAGCACGATGATTCTAGACACACGTTGCGGGGAATCTCGGCGTCTATGTGCGCTATGATTGCCATCTGCTATTTGAAAAGGTGGCCCCTGTAGGAGCAAGTTCCTGTTGACGGATACCTCTTCAGCTCGTTCCCGCCACGATATGCACTAAACTCAGTCTTTGAAGGTCATAATGGATGCTCCTTGTATGACGCTGTTCGCGGCCTCTTCCACTTTCCTCTCCGCTCGCATCCTTCCATACTATTGCTGAGATCTTGAAGAACTGTTTCTCCGTATACATGAAGCTGACGAGGAGTGCCAGAACTTCAGCAGGCTGGTGGAGCCCAAGAATCCTCTGGCTCTGTCTGAGGTACAACAAGAACCACGGGTGCTCTGCAAGACCTATTGACAATTCTACGCCATAAAAGCATGCCCAGAGTATCAGACGGACAACTTCGTCGCCGAGGTTGGGCAGGTCGCATAGATTCACTGCCCGCAATGCGCCCTTTAGCTGCACCGACAGACGGGGGACGAACAACGGTCCTGAAGGCAGCCCGATAAAGGCGGCAATGTCGCCGATTAGCAGCACCAACCGGACCAGATTCCTTACCGGAGATAGCTGAGTCAGGTGTGGGAGCGTGAGCAGATGGTAGTCTGCACGATGTACCATGCTCGATGAGATCCCGTAGTCCTCCACGGTCATCTTTCTCCAGGTTCCAGCATTTGCCAATTCCTTCATCATCAGGAACTGTCTTTGCCACGAGACATAGCACAATATCTGAGGCCCCAACAGCTTCGTCGTTGTCGACCCGTCAAAGCCTCGAGCCAGACTCGACAAGTGCGATAAGCGGCAATTGTTCAGCGCTCTCATCACTTCGTCGGACATTGTGGTACTCGCATAGGGTACAACAAAGGCGGCGACATTGCGCACGATGAGAAGTTGTCAAGCACGCCCCGGTTTCCTAAAATCTTCCGCAAGTACACGCAGATGCATTCGGACTTCGACCATGGTGCCAGTCAACAGCTGCGCCATGGTCAGTACAAGCACGGTTGAGGACTGAAGAAGTCCACTCACTTCCATTTTGAGCAAGATGATATGGTCAAGACTGTGGAGGGGCATGTTTGGTTCGCAGGACTCAATGCAAGCGTCGACCTGAGGCCCTTCAACGTTTGCATTTTGAAGAAAGCGATGTCAATTTCGATAGTCTTCATCTTCTGGTCGCTGTCCTTCCGATCCTGACCAAGTGGCAGCGGACCACCTGCTGTTTGGAAGTGTGAGAGCGACTTAGCCATCAGTGCGTTGAAAAGGGCAGGCTTCCGGAGGGCTAACGAGACGATGTGTTTGTTGTGGTCGGCGACTTGCGAATCATTCCAGTATATTCGAGCCGCATGAGTGGTTGTGACTGCAAGCATTCGTCAGCAATCTCACATCCATGGACGACGTACAATTGCCTCGATAGCCAACGCAGCCTCAGAGCTCTACTGGACGGGCTCTGATGGACACAGTCTTACAAGATCGAAGCAGGAAGTCTGTCTTCTTATCCAACGATGTGGAGACCAATGGAGGAAACATCACGGGCCTCGTCGATGTGGATGAGCTCCTTAACCGGTCGAACCTGGCAACACAGCAGCGCCTTCGGCTAAGTTCCGCATCCGACGTATCTGTCATGGTCTAGTCAGTGTCAGTCAGGCTCTCTTGCAGGATGTCTTCGCAACTGACCGCCTTTGCAAGTAAGAACTTGGGCTTCTTCCTCACTCCTGCCTTCTTCTTAGGCCCGGGGCAGGCATTGGCCCTCGATGGCAGCTGTTCCGGTAGCCGTCCAGGGTCCATCGTCATGTGTGCGCGATATATGGCTGGCGTACCTTTGCAAGGTAGCCGGCTCTAGCGGTTCTCTCATGAATTTCCTGGTGTGACAATCTGGCAGCTTAGTGAAAGGAAAGATCGAGGGTCTAATGGATAACACAGGGTGTTAGCCACCTTTTTTTCCGCCGCGACTTTCTCTCCGTCCCCGGATCCCTACAGCGGGATGCAAGCTCAATAGCTTACCCGAAAGAAGCTTCGACAAGGGGAGGGCACCACTCATACGTTGGGCTAGCTGTGACTAAGCGGATTTCCACCTGAATCAGCAGGAGTTCTCGGTTGAGAGCTGACTGGACTATCCCTCATTCACGGCAGGATCGCTAGTCTTAAGTCAAGGGCTGCCAAACAACGGCATAGAACTCGTCTATCCGGCATGTCGCCAGGCCCTGAAGACCTGGAAGCAGGAGGAGCACGATGCTGGCCCAGAATTCGGCAATCATTTCACCTTGCCAAGTGCATCGCCTACACGTATCCAAAGAACTACAGCAACCATAATGGGCGTGGCATTATACGGCATTGCTCAATTCTGTCTGGGAGAACTACTTTGTACTCGGGAGCTCGAGTGACTCTTCATCTCCATCATCTGCGTCTCGAGGTCCTCATACAGCAGTCTGAAATAATCACGCTGCGCCCGTGTCTGCTTCAACTCCTCATTCATCGCCTCAACATTGCGCATCGTTTCATGGAGGAAGCGGTTTCGCTTGTCTCGGTGTCGGACCTGTGCGGCCCTGTTTTGTTGCCTTCGACGCTGGATTTGCCAGTTAGCCAAGGTACAATATCACTATATTTGGGCTATGGTCTACCTCTTTCCTGGTGGGCACAGCTGGTCTCGAGTCGTCCCGAATCTGTGGCTCGGTCATAGAGAAGGTGGACTCGGGGTTGATCAAGTCTCCACGATCTTGATGCGTTGGCGGCTGGTGGGAATAATCGCCCTCGGGGACGAAATCCAGCGAAATTGGAAGACATGTGCAGTATGTGTCAGGAGATGCTCCGCACACACAGCTGACCAGGGTGTCTCTGCTCCAGAAGGCGAAATGTGAGCCAAAGCCCGTATTCCAACCCGGTGTTGGTCTTTCTTGCTCGGGATCAGAGGAGAACGCGGAAGCCACTTCGTCAATATCGTTCATCGCTTCCATCATTGCTGACGGGCATGCATGAAAAGATGGATTCACACGAAAAGAGTCGACCGTTCGTTTGCCGGGCCGTTGTACCGCAGGACATTGAGATGGTCTAGTTCCAAGCGAGTCAGATGTGACTGCTGCAGAGGAGCATGTATTCTTTCTGAGCAGGCTTTGTGTGACAGGAAGTACTTACGGTTTCGACGTCGCCATCTCTGTCCCTCCACCATTGTACCCCGATTGCAATGCGACAGACTCTGCACTGATACGGCGTGCCATGAGGGATTCCTCAGCCGACGAACGCACACATGGCCACCACACGTGGCTATATCAAGGTCGAGCCCCAGGCGTTCAACTCCGGCAGCAGGGTAAAGTGGGAAGGGATCGTCGAGCTGCCACAATTGATCCTCCAGTGGTCGTGGCCATCGGAACCGTTGGTTTTGGCCCCCATTCACCGTCTAGTACCAAGACGTGATAGAACAAATGCACGCGGAAGCAGGCTGGCGTCACCATTATGCGTTCGAGATTCACCGGTCGCCACGGTTGCACTCCCTTCTGGCACGGCGACAAGGCCTTTTGTACCTGCCTGGCCACATTATCTCCGAAACATGGCTTTGGGCGACCGTCCAATTGCAGGGACATGGCTGGCACAAGCTTCGATTTTCAACGCCCTCGCGACGAAGGGGCTCCTCAAGATCTGTCATTTGCTGGACAATGCGAACCCGAACTGTTGCTTCATTCAGGGTTTCCCTGGAGCCAAGGGACGGCCGGATCTAGCCAATCGGCTCCTGTATCTCGTCGAGTCCGTCTAGTCCCGCGGCCCTGCGCTTGCAGGGGGGCAGCATCTTCTTGTATTGATTGGCCTAGACGCTCCCGACAGGCCGTTTCCGGAGACGTACAAGCATACATGGCTACTGTGACTGCGTACCGAATAGCCCAGGACGGCAAAAGCTTCAGAAGGGATCAGCAACAAGCCCAGCCAGGCCGTTGCTTGACTGACTACTGTGGACTCCGTACTCATACTTTGGACTATGACTATGCAGGCACGGCAGGGCCACGAGATTTCTGGATCCACCATCGTGAGCCCAGCCCAGGGACGCCACTCAATCCTATCCAGGGTGTCGGCACAGCTGCTGTGAACTCGACACAGGCCAACCCCTTACCTACAGTAGTTAGTGCTGCCCACGGCATTGTCCTCCGCATTGTCCTATGCTATCCCATGTACAGTATGTACTCAGTACTATGTAAATACCTGATATGTCCGCAGACCATGGAACAGCACATGCAACGCCCACGCCACGCCACGCCACGCCGCACATGGCAGATCCGCAGCGGCTCGTGGCTCTTTATCTACTTTCGTCTCGAAAAGGGTCTTCGACCTCGTAGTCGTACCGTACTGAAATTAGTATTGCAGTGCAAGAACTAAAGCGTGTAAAGAACCAGGTTGTACGTACAGTAGGCCACGTGTGTTACTCCGCCACATTCGAAGCCACCCAGCTGAATTGCGTAGAAATGGAATGGGACCTGTCTACTAAGCGAGCGAGCGAGCAGACAGGCAGGCAAGCAGGCAGGCAGGCAAGCAAGCATGAAAATGAGTAAGCGAAAGAAGCACAACGACTTTACGGGTCCGGAGTGTGGGAGGACTAGAGGTGCCTCACCGACAATTATATCCTTGCTGGCGAGCCATGGCCCATGAGAGACAACACTACTCGTGAAGTCTAGTATATGTATATGCATATGCATATGTATATGTATATGTATATGTATGTGTATACGTATGCGTATGCTATGATGGATGAAGATGTACGAGGGAGTCTGTATGCCAACCATCGAATGTCGAATGTCGAATACACGAGTATCGAATATACGAGTATCGAAGATCGAAGATCGAGTACACGACTGTTTCGCGTCTGCGTCGACCGTTGAATATAAAAGCAGCTTATCATAGCTACTGTGATTGTATCCTATACCCCATATCCCGTATCTTGTTGATAGTACGTTTACTCCATAGAGGCTCTGAGACTTGGGATTCGAGAACAGCATGCACGTACACATGTAGATTCGACTCGCTTCCGTCCCCAGGTGTGTGTATCAATTAAGCCACCGGGGTAGGTATCTACTTACTAACTTACTTACGTACTTACATACACACGTACATACGTACATAAATGCAGTTCCCACGTGTCGACGACTGAGACCAGACAATGCCTACCGGGTCGGTTTATGCTAATCCATTTGCCGTATGCGGAAGGATCAGATCAGTGGTGAGTGGTGCCGGTCGGCTCGGATTACGAGGCTCGCACGCTCGGGGGCCGGGGTTGAAGGTTGAGGCTCTCTGATCTCTGATCTCGAGGGTGAATCCTACTCGTATTGCGCACAGATAGTCACATACTGACTGACTGACTGACTGGCATACAGTATCTTGTACTCGCACTTGTCGGCTAAGACCTGCGACATATCTACATGCATACATGATACTTGCCGGTTAGGACGCTGCGTTGTATCGTTCCTATCAGCTTTTATCATGTTCCTTTAGAGTACACTGTGCCCTACAATGCCACGCTAGGCACAGGATAGACCATCTCGGAGAAATGCAGGGCTTCTTCGTCGCGCAGGGCGAGCACCTCGTCCCAGAGCTCCTTGTGTTGTTTGTCATCCTGGTATTCGTGCCAGATGACCTGTTTGAGACTGGCCCTCATGTCCTCCCACGAATGGATCTCCAGATCGGTCGCCACGTCGGCGAGCTGGCTGACGAACCATTTGTGCTGGGCGGGGCCGTAGGGGCACGTCCCTCCCACGGAGAGAAGCCACAGCAGGAGCTTGGTAGACACGTGACGCTGGTCGGTCAACGGCCTCAGCGTCAGGAGGAGATTGTGCTGCGCGGTGCTCACCAGCAGGGACGGGTCCGGCTGGTGGCCGCACCACTGGGCGAAGACGTGGATGATCAAGGCGTGCCGGCATGCTGTGGTGATGGCGCTCTCGTAGCTGCCTATGCTGTTGACGCCGAGCAGGGGCTCGTGCACGGGGAGGGGCAACGTGAGGAGACGCTGGAGAGTGGAGCACAGGAAGGTCAATACGTCCTGGTACTCGCGGGCGGAGCTGCAGTCGTTGGCCGTCTGATAGGTCTTTGCCAGGATGCGTAGATTGAGCATCAGTTCAGAGTACTCGGGCGAGACGCCGTGGGCTTGGAAATCCAGCGCGTGGTTGGCGTTCGCGCTCGGGTTCGGGACGAGCTCGGCAGAGTTGGACTGGCTGGTTGTCCCGCCCGAGCCACTGGGGAAGGGGAAAGACCTGTCGAGTTGTAGGCTGTGGTAGAACCAAGGGGGCCGCTGGACGATCGTATCTGCATCGCAGGTGGGGAAGTCCACGTCTGCTGCGGCCACGAACATGCTATAGTTGGGTCCGCCATGTTAGAAATCGCTGTACTGGAAGGGTTGAGTGGAGGGGTCAGATGTCGCTCAGAAAGTTCCACTCACCAGAAGAGCACGTTTGCAATCGTGGGGTTCGAGATGCGGATTGCTTCCAGCCCGCCTCGCACCTCCAGCATTCGTCTGAGCCCGGTGACGTGGATGCGGGAGAGACGTAAACTGCCCTTCTCGTGCTTTATAGTAGTAGTCAGCGTCCAGCACCTGAGGGAAACGGAGACGATGAGTCGCACCTCTATAACGGCAAGCCCTGCCACGGCCGCCAGCGTCTCGTCCGAGACACAGATGGGGAACGGTTCGTTGATCCTGTTTTGAATCAGGTCCATGCACATCTTCGAGAGTCGTATGCATCTCACGCGTTCGTTCGGCGGGAGGTGCTGCTCCATCCGAAAGGCGCTGATCAGGAGAGTGACGTGAAAGAGCACTGTATCCTTTGTTATCAATGGGGCGAAGAATTCCAGCACCGGGTTAAGCGTTGGGGTCGGATACTGTTTGGTCTTCGTTAGTCTCCGGTCTTGTCAGTCACGACCACGCCGCGATAAGCGGTGCTCCCAGGGCTTGTCATGGAGGCGCGTGAGTGGTTCTTACATAAGGAAAGACGTTGAAAATATGCGATGAGAAATCTGCCACATGGTCAGTTGGGGCCCGTTCCCGTCCCTGCCTGACCGGTGTGAACTGACAGGTCCCCATCAGAAGGTTGACGTCGGGTTCCACTGAGGGTGGATGCTGCGTGAACGGATCCCAGTTCGACGAAGCAGGCCTGGCCAGGGTCGAGAACCCGACGTCCTGGCGATGGCGAGACTTCGGCAGGATTGGCACCGCCTTCAGCGCCCTGCGCAGTTTCTCCGCTGCAGGCTTCTTCGTCATCGAATCCTGGCTGTTGGGACTTTCGTCGCCGTAATCGCACTTCCGGATGTTGGCATAGTGAACGGCGCATTTGTCGCACACGGGACGCTTTTCATCGCACTGGTGGTGATTTGATCAGTCAGGATGAAGGGGTAGATGGGTCAACTCGACTCGACTCACCTTGACCTTTCTCAACTTGCAATTCCGACAGCCCGTCCGACTCTTCTGGTGGACGCGTCGCGGTACCGGGTATGGCGTCTGCTCGGCTCGTGATTCCTCCGACATCTGGTGAGGAGGCTTGGGAGATTGTGCGGGAGGAACTGCTCACGTTCGGCTTCGTATCGGTGGGACGCCTCGAGGCTCATATACCTCGCGGCCTGCCGCCTCTGCGCCAGTAGCACCATATCGATCGACAAGGCTGTGATGTAAAGGGAGAGCCTCTAATCCAATCCAAGCAGTGGAGCCGCTCAAGGCTGGATGAAGTGCTAAGTCAGCTGCAGAGAGAGAGCAGTAGACGCAGGAGGGGGTTGTTCCGAGCAGGTCAGCGGCGTATCGACAGCCGTAAGACAGGGACGCATTATGTCAGCACACAATATGTAAAGACGAGGCAACCAACCTGTATTTCAGGCGTGCTGGGGGCCGTCTGCTGAATTCATTCTCGGGTTCGGCTTGTTCCCTCAATACATCTTCCGGGCTGCTGCACTTGCGGATCAAGTTGCTTCCAGAACACTGGAAGCTTCTGCTTGCGAGCTTCAGATGGAGTTGATTAGGAGCCAAGATCCCGCGTTCATGACGCGTCGAAACCTGGCGAGCTTGCTCATCTCACTTTCAGCTTCCATAAACAACGACCAGAACTGTCTCCAGCGTTCTTCTACGTAGGACTGCCTTCACACAGGAATTTTCCGTCATGGAGGCATCGGAGCTTCACAAACATTGTATTATTCGGCCACCATTTCCGCCGTGCCCTCAGTGCACACAGCCAGCATTGCATGCAGCCCCTCTGTGACGAGATGCGCCACATGCATAACTCCCGAGGTCGCTGACCGGCCGTCACACGCCATGAATCCTGGGGGTCTTTTGTGCGCTCCGGACTCTGACCGCTGGAGAGCCTGCTGGCTTCGAGAATTAGCATCCGTCTGCTTGGAGCATCGAGTGGACTTTTTTTGAGTCTCCTCATCGCTCGTTGCAGTTCAAGAGCTTTTGGCTCGAGACATGCATCCAGTCAGACGCGTCTGCCATTCATAAGTGAGCGGAAGCCGTCTGCTGTGGTTGAAGCCCATCATGCGACATTCCACTGCACTGCCAGCCGCCCGGGTTTCAGAAGCGCCTCGCCGTGATCAAGCTATTCCGAATTGATCGTGTCCGCAGCGGGTTGCATATACAGTACGGCGCGAAGACACCTAGCGGGCCTGCATGCTGCTGAATTGGTACCGAAAGACCGCCGTGTCCCGGTACGTAGAGAAGACCGAATGTCTCATTCAAGGAGACCTGGTCATATGTTGACCAGGCATACAAGACGGTATCTGCGGTGAGTAGCCCGAAGCGTCAAGTGAAGCGCCTCATTGCCTCAGCCTTCTTTCACTTTCTGATTTTGCTCGCCTTTGATTTATCTCACCTTTGACTTATCTCACATCCGGATGTCCCCGCCTCCCCATCCAGACATCTTGAGACGCCGTTAACCACCTATCATGGCCATTGCGCTTGGCCACGAGGTGTAACCGAATCTCGGCTTCTTCCGGCCTTCGCCGATTGTCTGTTTTTCGACGAGACAGATCAAGGCAGAAGCGACGCTCAGAGCCTTTGACTTTGTCGACCTTTTTCAGCTCAAGCTTAAAAACAGCTTCATCAATCTCAACCTCAGTACTCGCTCTATCCATCTCAAGCTCAGTACTCGCTTTATTCATCCCCAGCTCAACGACCCGGCTCCTACAGGAACAACAGATGCTCAAGGCAAACTGGTAGCCGCGCACCCTGACATCAGCCGCAAAATGTCCGCCCGCGACGGGAACGATATCCAGTCCTCCGACGTTGATTACGAAACTGATGATCAGAACCACGACTTCAAAAAGCGCAAGACCGTTCCGCTAGCGTTCACCAAGGCGTACGCCCGTGACTGGACCGAGAAAGACGCTTTTAGAGAGTTCTATCAAAACTGGTACGGAAGCTTGTCTCTACTTGGCTATTTGCACAATATTGACCTTGAATAGGCGAGATGGCATTATCGAGTCTTTCAATCTACGACTGGACCAAGTCCGGCCGATCTTCGTCCGAAACGACCATGATGAGATTCACATCACCGCGTCAACCGCAGGCACATCTACGCCGAGATTACTTGGATATATCATCTTCAAGAGCCAGCAGGGAAGCCTCGAGATGACCAATTTCGAGGCTAAACTGGAACGCAGACATCTTTACCTGGGAGAGTCGAACAAAGGCAGTGATTCTCGCTCTGCAGGAGGTCACGGTGAGGGCTTCAAAGTTGGAGCACTGGTTTTGCGTCGAAGCGGCTATTCCGTAAGATTCGAGACAAATTCTCTGTATTGGAACTTCGGCTTCGCAAAAGACAGCGCCCTTCTCTGTTGCGCCCTAGCCAAACCACAACAGTCAGTGCTGGACAAAGAGGCGGAAACACACCGAAATCAGCAAAGCACGCTAAATCAAGGACGAGGCCTTGTTGCACGAATCCGAGAGGACATGACTGTCAAAATCGGGAAATCGACGGACGACAAGCATGGCATCAGACCCAAGAAAAATGGTATTTCCGAGGCGACTTTCCGTGCCTGGCTCACGGTGTCGCTCGATCTGGATCCGCCCAATGCGGCGCAGGTAATACACACCCCTGCTGGTGATCTGATTGGGGATCCTCGGTATCGTGGCCGGGTCTACGTCAAAGGTCTTCTTGTTAGCGAATATCGTGTCGACAAGTCTGGTGGGAAGGACTACCGATTCAGTTACAATTTCAATAGCGGAAACGTCAACCGCGACCGGCAGAGCCTTCTGGACCCGAGAGAAGAGGCAAAAATGTTAGCCAAGATCTGGGAATCAGCCATCGCCATGAAAGGGGTTGCGATTGTTAATTCTTATATCGAATTGTTCAACCAAAACGAGGAGGTTCCGGACATAGCGATGGCATTGAAGATTGTTTCGCACCTTACGGCGAAGAACATCTGCAAATACCTCAAGATGTTTCATCCAGAAGCGTTCTTCTACTCGGAGCGAGAGGAAAGCGAGCAAAATCCGACTACGGACGTGAGTATCTGAACTTGCCAAGAGATCTACGTATACTAACGACCGCGAAGGAAGACATTATCTCGCACGAGCTAGAGAAGAAGCCCTTTAAGTTACCGAAGAAGCTTTGGCAGATCATTCGCAAACATGAAGACCGACATGGCCGAAAGTTGATGCTTACACCCCTTGAAGAAAGAAGGCGCTTGTTCCAAATGTCACCGCGGATTGGCCTACCCACTGATATGTTTGGCCTCAACGTAGTCCGGGCTTTGAAAGGATCATTTTCGCTCGATGTCAAGTTGGTCGATTTGCACTTCGAGTTTGTCGATGGTGCCCAAACAAGCATTGATCTCCTCTACGACCAGAACCTCGAAGTCCTCCACATTCATGGGAAGTGGCTGAACTTCACGCATATGCACCGAGGGTCTAGCTGCGAGTTCTTCAGAGCCATTGGACAGCGACCAACCGATAGTGATCGCGGCTTTGTCTGTGACCACGTCGTCCAAGATTTGCTCGAAACAGCCTTTGATGAACTCCGCATGCCTTTTGGCTTAACCCAGGAAAGTGCCTCTTGCCTTCGACGAAACGCAGTCGAATACCTACGACAAATGCCCAGGGCAGTCACACTCGAAGCCCCGGAAGCCGCTAAGACGCTAAAGGTGAGCTGGATAGGAAATGAGAGCGCGATCTTGGTCCGGCAATTCGGTGCAAATATCCATTACTCGGTCACTCTTCACAAGGCAAGCTCATGCGAGAGAGAGATGGGAGTCGTTCTGAACACAAGCAGTAAGTCGCGCATCTCTTGTAAGCTTGATTCAACATTATAACTGAGGTCAGCTCCAGAGACGGATATCTCAGACACACCAACCGAGGCGGACCATGCCCACAAGGCCTGTGGCTGTCCCACGCAAATTATCGCACGGGCGGATTCTAAGGCTGTTTTCACAGAACTTGATTACACGGAGGCTTATTTCCCGATGGTATCGAGGGCAGAAGGACCATCCTTTTTTGGGCTGCCCCCTTCGGCACTGAAGCCTAGAGAATCCATAAATGCCACGGCGCAAGCATCTGATGGGCAACATGACACGGCGATGGCCCCAACGCAGCGAAAAAAGACACATTCACTCCATTCTAGTGCCTCCGACAACCTAACAGACACTCCTTGTGGCTATTACGACGACTTGCCAGAAGGTCCTCGGGGTGACTTCGACGACTCTCGAGCAGCCACATCTGGTGCCCCTGGGGACACAATAGAGCCGGCTGCAGTCCCTCTCCGTGACTTCCACAACACAATTGCGCAAGAAGATGAGAATACATGGGCCGAATGGCACGACCAGCACCTCCCACAAGCTTTCTCTGGGCTCCTTCCGCCACGAAAAGGCAGTATTCAGGTATGTCCTTGTCACTAGCTAGTTGTTAAAACCTTGTTCGAGGCATTTTCACATACTCACAGTTGCAGGTCCGCAGAGCTCCTCTACGAGCACCCTTGCACGACCGGGATCTCAACCATACCTTCGAAAGACGTCAGTATGCGTGGGTTCAGCTAAGTGGAGAATCAGGAGAACAGCTCATTTACATCCACGATATCTTCCAGCAGGAGAACCAATCCGAAGTCGACTATTATTTGCTCGCCACACTATATTCATCCTTCAGGTCGATCTTTCCGTCTGGCAACGTAGCGACTAATGGACGTGGAGCAGAGCGTGGAAATGAACTGATTCTGCACTTCAGTGACTTCGACAAGATGAGAACGCCTGAAGACGCGGCCCTGATCTTGCTTGCCGACATCTCTGCAGCACGATATCTTGACGATGGTAGGACCGCAGTCTCTCATGTGTTCCAACACCTTCCAGGTACGTCGCAGTCACGAGTGGTGCGACTTCTGCTAACGAAGGCTCAAAGCCGACCATGGGGACCTCTATTGCCGTTTTGCCATCCGAGATTCCACTGCTGAAAATACCGCATCCCTTACGCCTCTGGCTGCGCATTTGTTAGAAACTCAAGAGGAGCTGTGGAGCAGGCCCAAGTTTTGCAGCCCGTCGACACCTCTGGCATTCGACCTGAGCCCAGAGGTCCTTGGGGTTTCCGAAGGGTTTTCTCAGGCAGGCTTCGTTATCCAAGCAGCGTTCGGCATTGACGAAACCCAGCCCAGCACATGGAAGGTATGTCCCGTAGAGACGCCACTCCATTGCGCGCTTTGCTTCCGCTGACTCTCCCAGGACCGACACAACTCCGCTCAAACATTTGATGGAGCCATCCTAGATACTTTTGATGACCTCAACACAAGGAAGCTTTTGCCTATACAACTCCCGGATCCGGTGCCCCCTCGGATTGTGCTTCTTGCTGGCAAACACACATATTTCAGGATCAACAAGCTGAACAAGCAGATGCCACGGTTGGACCAATTTCTGCACGATCTCGAAGTTATCGACACGGCAGCTGCGAAAGAAGGTCCTAACTTTCTCGTCATGTTTATGTCTCCCGCCCTCCTCCATTCGTCTGCATTCTCGAGGTTTTCCGAAACCATTCTCAGACTCATGAAGTTGAGGTACTCCGTCCACATGAAGATTGTCCAGGTGAGACAATGCGGCTTGCCGCAAGAACGAAGCATATTGGTTATTGTGGCATCGCCCATTTGTGCGCCGCTACCCTGGAAGGATGAGAGATACACTGTGCAGTCCACGGACGTTGGTACCCTTGGCGAACTACTCGCAGACTTGAATTTTGGGAACGAACGGATGGCCAACAAGGAGTGCTCCGGATTTGTGTGCTCACCTCCCCAGGATAATGAGAGGACAGGAAGCTCCAGCCTCGTTCACGTCTACAATCATTACACCGGAATCAGTGTTGCTGATGGCCGTGGGCATATCGATGTGGAGGCAAATACTACTTTGAGACTGGCCAATGGCCCGAAACCGTGGAAGCACCCAGGTTCGTGTTCGGCGATAAGTCCACCCGGCCTTGGCTCTCTGCTAACCGTCCATCACAGATAGGCCTGACAGACTCACCATTCGCGAGCTCGCTCGCGTGCAGGGCATTCCGGACGACTTCAAATTCTGGGGCCCGATAGAATCTCAATACGAAGCTGTATGCAAGGCAATACCTCCCGTCATCGCGAAGATGGTAGCAGACACCATCGGCCAGGCCATCCGGAATACCTTGCCAGTTACTGTAGACACAGCTAGAAGAAACAAGAGGCCGAGAGTGGCTATTGCCGAAGAACGTTGCTGAAGGTAAGATGAGGTTGCGGAGGCCCGGTAGCAATGCTGGAGTCCGAGTTGCGTGCTCATTGCCCATTTGCGCAACGATGACGAAGCTAAAGCTGACCTCACGACTTGGAAAGAAGGACAGCTATTGGACAGGGTCTGGAACCGGAGCACGGGTTGGATCAGGAGGCGCTGCTCATCGGCTAAAGAGGGGATGTTCGTGCTTCGGCATGAAGCTCACACCAAGATACCGCATTGGAGAGATCACATTGGGTACAGCGCAACTACGTGCGAGAAAGGTGCATAATAGCACTTCCCGGTACTGTGTACTGTTCTACTGTGTACCTGACTGACCAACTCGACATGTGCTTATCAATAGGAGTTAACGAGAAGGCGAGGACAAACAAGCCACACACGACAACATGCCAGAACGAACACAGCAACGTCGAGCTCTGCTCCAAATCCCGTACTCACCCTTTTACGGGGAAGCCACGCACAAGACCTCGGATACGGAGGGGTCTGACCATCGTGGTCGCGCTCGCTCGCGCTCTCTGTTCGATCCAGCGTCAGATTTGGAGATGGGTGATTGACTGATTGACTGATTGACTGCTTGACTGATTGACTGCTTGACTGCTTGACTGATTGACTGATTGACTGACTGACTGACTGACTGACTGATTGAGTCACTGGCCGGCTGACTGTCCGTGGAGCGCGCGACAGCAACCTCTGGACCGAACTCCTCAACCCCACGATCTCACTTCATTTCTCTTCCCTTTCCTTCCCATCTACACAGTACTGTGCAAAGTACCGTCCCGTGAACCGAGTCGTCGCACCCGCACGAGCATCACACAGCCGTAGCCGTATCGCTGATTCCCCAGCACCTCACAAGAAGAGGGGTAACCAAGGCCTGGCACGGGTGTGCGCATTCGCCAGACCGAGCGCTGACGATGAGGAACGCTGACGACGATCATACCCCATGCAGATCTGCCATGATGGTATGCACAGCACGAGTCAACGAACTGTGTAGACAAACCACACGACGTCCCGTGTTAGCGCCCTCCAAGACACGAAGCTCGGGTGTTAATGGGACCCCGTGGCGCCAATAGGGACATGCCGCTTCGGGAGCCGCGAGTCGGCGTCCCGTGCCCATTGGAACCGAGACGTCCTATTCGATGGGTTGCCCGGTTGTGCTCGGTTTGCCCGGTTGTGCAGTTCCTTGCTGTCCTTGCCTTGTGGGGCGACTCCGCTGGGCGCCAGCGAGGCGGCTACCAGGTCGATGATATTGCGGGGAAAATGGATCCCGGGTGTGCGCTTGCTTTGTGGAGCGCAGTCTTTACATCCGCCGCGTGCTGGGCTGAGTGTGTGACGTGGGACGGTAAGCTGGCTTGCGTATTCATGGAGTAGACGTGTACGAGTAGTCGGAAGGAGGGTCTTATGTGCCGGAGGTGTGATGGACTCGTGATTTCTGTGTGTGTCGTTGATGATGGTGGCCGGTTTATATATCGTAACTTGATTGTGGCCGGCTGGTCGGCGACGAGACCCCGATTGAGATTGGAGACGACAAGGTGCCCGGCTGTTGCATGTCGGGCTTGAAGGGGAGAAGAGGGAGACGTTGAAGGGCTCGGTCGTGTAGATTCAAGACCTACACATACATGTTTGCTTACCCACCGACGCACTCCCGGGACAGATGTAGGCACACACACACACACACACATTGTACTGTATGATCAGGGAGAGGTAGATCAGGAACGGCAGCGCAAAGACGTCGGTATTTTATCGGACAGAATAAGCATGACAATCATGATATGCATTTCCAAGGAGACTCCCTCGTGGCGATGAGGTCCCCCGAGGCCCGGTCCCTCGTAATCCACTCATTCTGTACGAAATCGACAAAAACATAATATCGTGACTCCTTCAAGCGAGGCACTCATGTAGTGAGTACCGGGTTCTTATCATTCCCACCTGCACACTGATACACAACTCCAGTAATATGCAACACAACACAAACTATCATGTCATTCTGTTAAGACACGCTGGATAAGAAAATCGTACAAAGCCACCCTCTGCCGAGGTTGACTCGTTCGCTGGAATCAAAGTTGGTCGCCGACATCCCTCTACCAAAGCTCAAACGTCTGAAGGAAAGCTAGTTGCCCAATTTCAGGAATTTATGGGCGACGACCTCGGGTGACTTGACACCTTCAACAGGAGACTCGACCATGTCGGAAGCGAGAGTAGGATCTTCGACGGAGGAGGCGGACCCGGTGGAAGTGGTGGAGCTGGATCGACGGGTCTTCTGAAGAGCAGGGACTAGTGATTCGTCGACGGCGGGACCATCAATAGGAGATGTGAAGGGGGACATGGTAGCGACACGGTGAGTGGCCGGAATGAGGGTTAGGAAGCTGTGAGTCGGGTTCGACATGTTGGTAACGTGGAGGGTGGTAAATGTCCGTGAATATCGTGTTCGCAGAGCTTCAGCAAGTGATGTCTGAGCGGAAGGATGGAGTGCCTCTATATGAATCTTCTTTGTCTCGGGTGACGCAACAGGGGCGGCTTTTTGTTCGAGATTGCCTGGGATAGCGGACGTCACGAGGTGAGATTTAAGGCTTTGGATTGTTTCGTTGAGAGAGAGAGTTTCTGCTGACAGAAGCGGGAGTGGGCTGGAACTCGGTGGACTCGTGATGAGATATTTTGATAGAATGACACAGGCAAGAAGTGAACAGTCGGGGTTGAAGACTTGTCGAACAGAAAGACAAGGTAGTCCTATCGAGAGGGGCTGTGGTGTTTTATAGACACACCCGCGGCTCCCACATCCATCGTGCAAGCGGCACACCCGAGATTGGGTCAGAAAGACACGACTCGATATCGGTCGTTGTCAAGAGCGTCCCTAGCCCTCTTGCAGTCGAGGGCTTCGGCGACGAATTGGATGCCTGCACACAGCGGATGAAACCGGCAAAGTTGCTGGGTGTTGTCGAAAGTGTTTCGATGGACATGAGATCGAGGCATGGATCTCCCGAATTGGGAGCTGTCAATGGTGGGACCGACCCAAGCATCACGAGCTAATGTAAGCCCGGCAATGACCGCGGTCAACCTCGGTTAGTGTGGTGTGATAATCAGGGCACAACTATGCGCAAAGCATGACCAAATTTGAGGATTGTTGGCCTACAGACCGCCCCCGTGGGAAGATCGGGGTTTCTCAGTTCCCCATTGCTGAAGAAGGCCATTCTTCCCGGATTGTGGTTGGCTGCAGTGCAAGTCATCTGTGCTGGAGCGGTGTGAAACGTCAATGCTTTCAGAAGCCTTGTGTATGCTGGAAGGACAGATATTGTGCAAGGTACCGCTCGTGGGAAATGGTCATTTCAGACAACTGGATTGGATGGGGGTCCCACGCTATCGTCCGTTACGAGAAGGAGTATTTCCAAGATCGTGAATGTCCCACGGAAAAGTACGGAAAGCGACTAGGCCCCTCACGCTCGAGAAATGGGGGGAGAAGCTGAGAGCCACGGGCTTAGCAAATGTGATCTGTGACAGCTTGGGTTCCTTAAGCCCGAAGCAGGATCGGGGCTTCGGGACGAATGATCCGAATCGTAGTGTACGCAGAAACTGAATATACGATGCGCGAGTCAGGTCATGGTTGATGAATGCAAAACATAGCTTTGTAGGGGTCGAGTGTCTGCCATCCGCCTTGAATGCATTGACAATTCACTTCCTGTGATACGATAGCAAAAAGAAGTAAGTGTACGAGGCAGAGTGGGATGAACAAGATGAACCGAACATGAATGTGTGCTCGGTGGGCTTGGCGTACGTCATCGATGTGGTGGCCGCCTCGTCAGACCTGCCTCGTTGACATTTGCCTGCGACTTCTCTCTGCTGTACAGTATTATGCTTCAGGATGCTGCCATGTTGAGAGCGACACCTGAAGACTGCGCTCACCTATACAAAGCACAATTTCCCGACATCTCCAGTATCGTACGAATGACACAGAAGCTATTGTGTCCACCAGAAGTCCTTGAACTGGTGCTTTCGAGACCTAGTAGCAGTGTCCGTCGTCACTCTGTTCGTCCAAGCACTGACCACAAAATGAATCTCGGAGACGGTGATAATACACACCCATATCTGTGCTCCCAGCTTCACACTATGATGGCGACCATGGGCAAGGCAGGGATTTTGAGAGCGACGTCTCGCTGACATGCATTGTTGCTCGACACGCAAGGAGGCTAATCTCCATGAGGAGTCAGCTTTCCATGGCCTCAGCAATTATACGTGATAGTCATGTCCAGCTGCTTTGGTCACTCTTCTAGAAATTTAGGCCTATGGCTCACGCAACAGTGGTGTATCATAAGGACCCGACCGATCAGATCTCGCAAGCCTCCTGGTATCAAGTCAAGTCTCGAGGTAGCTTGTTAAACTGCATGCAATCTGACACGTTGACTGCTGTGACTTGGCATGAGTGATTCGCTGCACTGAATTCAAATAAACGAGGCCTTCGAGAATGCTTCCTCGGATGCTTTCATCCTTGTGTGAGACGAGGATCAAATCGGCCTCACTCCACTGGGGCGTCGCCAAGACTCAGCCTGGCGGTGCATGACCCCGAACTTTGCTACATGATCCCGCGTAATTGTCTCCTTGAAGATTAACACTGTGTTCAGGCCTCTGAAATGATCGTGCTGGCTCGCACTGCAATGACAGAGCATGTCGGTAGACATTGGATGGGAAACCATCACCTCAGGCCCTGACGGTGCTGCTCTTGCCGAGCAGGTTCGAGCCTTTGTACACGAGAAATTCCAGCAGGTGGCGCTGCCTCGCTTCATCAACGCCGTTCACGTTCATTCGTTCGATCTCGGGACCGTCTGCCCGGAGATCGAAATCAAGGACATCTGCGATCCGCTGCCTGACTTCTACGAGGATGACGACGATAGTGATGATGACGGAGACGAAGATGAGATCCGCGGCGGTAACGATGGAGCTAAGACGGCGAAGAATCAGAGCTTCGAAAGCATGCGTGGCAACGAATCTGAAGACGCTGCTCTGAGTTCTCGGCGGCCACGTCCGACACCACAGCTTTCCAATATCTTGACGAGCTCGGAATTCGCCGAGTTTGCTGCGAGGGGGTCGACCAAAGCAGGGCAGAGTGCAACAAGCGCCCATCCGTTCAGCGGGCCGTTTCCACGAAGCACAACTCCTGGCATTCCAGGAGGGACGTCGAACCTCAGCTACTTCCATTTCCCGGGCAGCGGTCTTTCTGGCACTCAGACTCCGCTGGCGGCCCTTGCCAGCGGAACTCCCTTCACCCCGAGACCCTGGTCGCACGACCCGACAGACAGTGACCCTTTCCAGCACACGGCTCCCCATGGACCGATCCAAGGAGGGCAGTTGCAGCGAGACCTATCAGGGCATTATGATCCATCCACCAGACCGTCGACGGCCAACAGCATCTCTTCCCCTCGTGAGTCTGAATCAGGGCTGTCATCGTCGCCCCCATCACAAAGCAAATACGCTCCAGGCGCCGACAGCAGGCACGATTCTACGCTAGATGATGTGACGGCACTGTCACCTGCCAGACTACACAGCAGACAGCCCTCCGACCTGCAGGTGGTTGCCAGTGTCAAGTATGCCGGGGACGTGCGCATGACCCTGACAGCAGAGATACTGCTCGACTATCCCATGCCGAGCTTTGTGGGGATCCCGCTGAAACTCGCCATCACAGGCCTCACTTTCGATGGTGTCGCGATCGTGGCTATGATTAAAAGGAAGATGCACTTTTGTTTCTTGGATCCCGAGGATGCTGCCGCGCTAGTCGGAGAAGGCCAGACAGGTGACCAACGCACGGAGATCCGTGGCAGGGATGGCGTGGGGACTGGTGTGCCCGGTCTGCTCCAGGAAATCCGCGTGGAGAGCGAGATTGGGCGGCAAACCGATGGGAAGCAGGTCCTCAAGAATGTTGGCAAGGTGGAAACGTTTATCCTTGAACAGGTCAGGAAGATTTTCGAAGAGGAGTTCGTCTTTCCAAGCTATTGGACGTTTCTAGTGTGATGTCGACAACCACCATGACGGTGTCTCTAGATGTTGGCGGTGGCCGGCTTTCGGAATGAAGAAGGACTACTGTACTTGAAACACTGTGATACCACCAGCATTGGTCAGTTCTCGAACCTGTGTGTGTACCTGCAGATTGCGCCATCCTACGACAGTGGAACTCCTCTTGAGGCCATGTCTGATGACAGCCACGTCACACGCTACGTGAATACTCCCGACTGTGACACAGTAACCGGGAATCAGGCGATCAAAACCTTGGTCACTCAGACCGCTCGCCTGTCAGGTACGCAACCAATAGGAGATAATCGAGCCCTGTCCAGGATCTGTTTGGCCTGCCTCGGCTCGTGGTTCGTGCCACGTTCCTCTCTGGTTATCAGGATGAAAGTCCCTGGTTCCCAGAACTCCTGTTCATCTCGCCGCGTTGATTAGCAAATAAGAATCTGCCCGACGATGAAGCATCGCAGTTGTCACTGTCGTTGGCCCGGCCAAAGAGCATCATGTCTCGACGCCAGGGCCTGATGTTCTACTTGATGTTCTGGCACCCGGCATGACGTCGACCATTCGGGCGACAAGGTGGGTAGGTGGACAGGTGGGCGAGTAGAAGCATATGTATGGGCGGGCGCCATATGTCTGTCAAGCCGACGGTGGCGTATCTCCAGAAAGTCAATCAATATCGGTCTCCCATTCTTACCTCTCCGCTCCCGTTGCTTCGAGAAATGCTATCGAGAATCATGCGTCGTTTCAAGAAGGTCCTTCAACGTGTCAGATCGAAAGGCTCGCCTCCGCCTCCGCCTCCGCCTCCCGCTGCCCAGGCCGCGATTTCCGAGCAACGCGGCCCTCCGCCGTCGCAACCTCCAGCACCCGGACCAGCAGCAGCAACAGCAGCAACAGCAGCGCCGACACCCCAAGCCACCGGCTCGATGTTAAACATCGCCCTCCAGAACCAGACGACGTCCCAGACCGTGTACGCGTACGTCACGGGCCGGGCGCTCGACCGGGGGAATGCGTGGTTCCTCCTCTCCGCGGACGGCCACACGCCATACTATCCCAGCTCGCCGTCGTCGGTGGGCTCTCCGATCGCGCAAAACTGCGCCATCCCGCTGGGACGGCCGGGCAACACCGTCACGGTGACGATCCCGCACATCGCCGGCGGACGGATCTGGTTCTCAATCGACGCGCCGCTGACCTTCCTCCTCAACCCGGGCCCGGCGCTGGTCGAACCGTCCGTGACGAACGCGTCGGACCCCAACATCCACACGAACTGGGGCTTCGCGGAATTCACGTTCAACTCGGACCAGCTGTACGCGAATATCAGCTACGTCGACTTTGTGGGCCCGCCCATCGCGCTGACGCTGACGAGCGCGACCCTCCCGCCGCAGCACGTCGCGGGCATGCCGAGCGACGGGCTGGACCAGGTGTGCGCGGGCCTGCGCGCCCAGCACGCCCGCGACAACCAAGGCTGGGACCAACTGATCGTGACGACGACGGCGGCGCAGGGGGCCGGGCAGCAGCCGCGGAACCTGCGCGCCCTCTCGCCCAACCAAGCCATGGTCACCAACCCGGCCCTCTTCGCCACGTACTACGACGACTACGTGGGCCGGGCGTGGCGCAAGTTCGCCGCGCAGCCCATGTCCGTCGACACGCAGGCCGCGTTCGGCACCGTCGCGGCCCAAGTCGACCACGGCAGCGGGATGCTCAACTTCCGCGTCGTCGACGGGGCTGCAACTGGCAATGCCGGTGGATCCGCCACGCTGCTGTCCTTCACCAAGCCCTCCACCCGCGACATCTTCTCCTGCTCGACGGGCCCCTTCGCCACGGGACCCGACCCCGCGGTGAACGCCATCATCCCACGCCTCGCCGCCGCGTTCAATCGCTCCACGCTGCTCGAGACGGACGTCTTCCCGGCTCCGCCGGCGCTGTATTACAAGGACGGGACCACAAACCACTACTCTCGCATCGTGCACGCCGTCAACCTGGACGGCAAGGGCTACGCGTTCCCCTACGACGACGTGCAGCCGAGCGGAGGCGCCGATCAGAGCGGCGAGGTCCACGCCGGGGATCCCGTCTTGTTCACCGTCACCGTCGGGGGTGGGAATGCGGCGGGCGCGGCGGGCACGTCGCCTAGGAGGGAGCTTTAGGCGATGTTGTTGTTGCCTCTATTTGCAATTATGCCGCAACGTGCTCGGGGTTGTCTTTTCGGATCCGCAGTGCTTGTTCGTGTCATTGTAGTTCGCTACTCGCTCAGTCACTACCTAACTTGCTTTCAACATAGATCTGGGTGGGATGTTTGGTGGCCGAATTCCTTGTTGGACGTGGATGGATCATTGCCCATCGTCATCGCCCTGACCAGTCAATAGAAGGATGGATGGTTGGATAGATGGATAGATGTTTGTTTGTTTGTTTGTTTGTTTGCTAGATACCCGCAACGAAATGATTGACGATCATTCATCTACAGTTCGCTTTCTCCGTCGCAAACGAGCGTTGTCTTGTTCAGTTCTTTAAGGGCGCAAGGACGATGGGTCTTTTACATCCACGGCAGATCATGCGAGGGCTCAATCCCTCCCTGTCCCTGCGATCCTGGCCTCATGTTTATGTTTCTCTCGGGTCTTCTACTGTGGCGCTGCATTCAACCGTAAGATCAGTCACCCGCTTCAGAACATTCGCTCACCTTCCTCTATCCTTCTGCGCGATCAGATGCAGATGTGACGTAGAAATGGGTATGGAAAAGACAAGAGCGACTGCGAAGACATGAAAGTGTGGTGTCACCAGTGTGATCGGGAGTGATAAGATAGCTCCCAAACAACGTTTTTGCCTCTTCCCTCTACCTCGTACGGAGTCAATCTCACGGCGGTGGAACTAAGTCCAGCCCCTCAACAGTCAAGTGAAAGGCATCAGGCCGGGAATAATGCCCCGTAACATCAAAGTCCAGATGGCCCCTTTCACAGTCCTCAAAATCCACGTCTCGCCAAAGCAGGGCGTCTTGTTGTTCCCATACAGGACCGACCAGAGTCTTTCCCATGGGATCCACGACGCAGGCGCCGCCTCTTGACAGGAATTCCTCGCCATCAGACTGCTGAGTCGGTGGAGGATGTGCGGATGCGGACCGGGCGGGCTTGATGTCTTCGGCATGTTTGTCTTCTTCTCCTTCCTCAATAGCAGCAGGGCTGGTCGTGTCTTTGCCACGCCAGGCTATGGAATGGTTCTCCTCGGTGCGTGTTATGGAGAGGCGGCGTCCAAAGCCGGCACCATGCTGATCCGGGGACGTGCCGTTTGTAAGTAGTGATCCTTCTGGCTTTGTCGTCGGTCCGGACGTCCCCGCCGCAGGGAGTGATTGTGATTGCGATTGACCTGCTAGCCACTCCTTCGGATCGCCTGTGATCCACGCCGGTAAGTCCTTCCGCTTGATGCATTGGTTCGTCGTGAGCACGAAACACCGTCCTTCCGCGGCAATCGTCCTCATCAGTGGCTCCCACGTATCCCGTCCGTCCGCTGTGGGTGCCAGCCAAAGATTCACTCCCTGACTGTACAGGCTGTACCGCAGCAAGGGCATGAAATTCTCCCAGCAGATAGCGCATCCCATGACGACCCTAATGCCTTTGATCGTGGTGGCGACGGCCTTCAATGTCGACGGCGATCCCTGGCCCCAGACCAGCCGCTCAGAGGCAGTGGGCATGACTTTCCGCCGCTTCCCTATGATCCCCCTCTTCGGGTCAACGTACACTGCCGTGCAGTAGAGACTCCCGCCGGCTTTCTCAATCAGCCCCGTCACAATAAACACACCCGTCTCTCTGGCGACATCCTCGAGAAACTCCCTGGTCCCATCCCCTCTACGGCCTGTTTCTTTGTTCACCGGCAACCGCCGATCGATCCAGTCTTGCTCAGCTCCCTGCGGCGTATCGCCCAAATCCACCGCCCCCTTGGTGTATGCGAGGAACTGATCTCGACCCCAATCCGTGCGACCTCCCACCGCTGCGCCGAAGTTGCATGTCCGTGGGTAACCGCCTAGGTAAGCTTCGGGGAAGAGAATAATTGAGATATCCTGCTGCGCGGCACGTTGAGTGGCTTCTTTGAGGGCAAAGAGCGTCTCCTGCAGGCTTGAGAGGGTGTGCGATTGGGAGACGCCGATCCTGAGGAGCTGCGGCATTTTGTCTGGTAAGGTAGAGAATGAGGGAAGCTGTGAGCTGACCGAGAGGAATGTGCAGGATCTGGCTGCTACCTTATGGTCCTTCTGGTCTTATAGCTGCTCCTGCACCAGGTGAGAAGATTTCGAGCCTCGACAAAGCAGAACACAAGGAAGATGTGGAAGCACGGACATCAGCGAGCTCGTCGAGCAATGAGAATGCGGGGAGATTTCCCCAAGCTCGACGGTACAGCATTCGCTTACCTGTAGTGCCTGTCTGTACTTGCCTCTCCGAGCCTAGGCATGGAGAGGTGATGATGTTGGAGCAGGACATACGTAGGCATGCTGGGTGCATGCAGCAGCGACCTCACCTTATCACGTGACAAGCACGTGACAAGCTTGTATAGTCACTGTTTCCTCTTCATAGCCTCTCTAAAAAATGGGAAACAAATTCATACCTCTCATTCTGACAGATGAAAGCGACCGACAGCCCAAAGAGGCGACCTTCAAGGACAGCAGCAAGTCTTGAACTTGCCTTGCGAGACTTCCGAGTCATGGTTTCAATACCATAATGTATGCATCTTTGGCCACGAAATTACACATCCTTTAATCTCGAAGGCCTTAGGTACGACACATACCCTGATGCGCAACCGAAGCACGAGACAATGTATTGCTGGAAAAATTACAATATCCACCGTCGAACAGAGGCGAAATCGTACTCAAAATCAGCAAGTTTGATCTTGTCTCGTACGCGCACCGAAGTGGGCATCCAGCTCAAGATCAAGCAATAGAGAAATGCAGACCGAGCGAGGCAAGAGACGTCTCCTAGAAGTGATACTGCAAGCACTGTTTATAGCGAGGTAAGCATCAAATCAAAACATGGCGAATAACGCTGGATCCCACGATCATGTCAAAGGACCAACGCTGCTTGGAAGCTTGGACGCGGACCTGGACTCGTACGGCGGGCTCTCGCGTCTTGGTCCATGGGTATCATTGACTTCACTTCTTCTGCCTGCGAATTGAGGAATCGCTTTTCTAACAAGACTTTTCCCAAAGACGTTGTGTCTGCGCACAAGATCTGGCTTCCCTGCTAGATCAGTACGCCACTCGTGTCCTCATATCCGAAATCTTCCTTTCAATCTCTCGGATACTGCGATCCAGCTCGGCAGCTATGAGCTGTTTCTTGTCACCTGACAGCAGAAAAAACGTCTCGCATAGATCGCCATCAATCGTGCCCTTCGAGGGTGCATAGTATGATCGGTAGATCAAATGATCCCTTCCCAGCAGTGGGGGGTTGCCATTGCTGGAAGCGAGCTGTGTTTCGAGACTTTGGAAGAAATCGACATCTTCACGGCTCAGAAACGGCACGAGGATGCCCAGCGTGCCTTGAAATCCAGTCCAGAAGACAACATCACGACCACCAGCCACAAGATTCGTCTTTTGGATACTGGTCGGAATGTCGCCGGGGAAATAATGCGCCATGAGACTAAGGCGGTTGGGTGCGCCATTAAGGTATTGTCGTTCGTGAAGAAGATGCGCACCCGAACCATCCTCGTCGGCCTCTTCTGACGCCTTTTGTGGGCAGCGAAGCATCCACAGGTTACCGAACTTGTCGCCGCCGGCCACGGTTTCGTAGTCAACCATGGTGCAGCAAGTCGTCCAGCGAGCAATCACATCATCCACAAAGGGGATGAGTTTGTTCTCCTGATATTTGTACACGCAGTATGACACGCTGTCCTGTATGTCACTGACAATGATTCTGCTCCCTTGGGTTTGCAGACCAATGATGATGTTGGGAGCTGCCTGCACTTGACACTTGCGTAGCATTTGTTTCATGCCGAGATCGTAGATTCTCAGATCGGTTCCAATGCCCGCCAAAAGTCGACCCTGGAATGCGAGGAGAGCGGTGGGGGGGTGTTCCACCTTTGTCTTGTGGATAAACTCGAGCTCCTTGCCTTCTTCGTGGAATCGATACACATGAATGTATCCAGCAGCAAAGGATCGGGGGCTAACAACAAGATCTTTCGCCGTGCCGACGATGAGGAATGTCTCGTCATCTTGACCTGCAAAAGGAGCTGCCGTGATGCTCGTTGCGCATTCATTCTCTTCCAGTTCAAGAGTGAAAACCACAGACTTGGAGCTCACAGGGTCGATGACTTGAATACATGATGCCCAGTGCCCGGTGCCTCGAGGATATCCAAACTCTTCGGCAGGTAGCTGAACCGCGTCTCCATTGACTGCCGTCGACTCCGTGAGGAGCTTTGTTCTTGTGGCTGGCGCTAGGACGTTGTTATCTGCTTCGATGACGTAGAACAAGGGATGCTCTGGATGTTTGATGAATTTTCTGGGTGTGTATGGAAGTGGGATGTTCTCTTGCAGGAGGTTTCTTGACAGGTCCTCGATGGTGAATATCCTGTCCCAATGTCAGTGGGGACCACGAACGTGATCGAGAGCGGTTCGGGGCACGATGGGTCAGAAGGAACAATTGGTTGAGTTTGGAGGTCCGCATAATGAGCTCGGAAAGAGCATAGATCAAGATTCATCATCAGGAACAGGGGAGTAGAGCTTCGACATACCTTAGATTTTGTCCTTGGATGCCCACCATTCCCTCTGGACACTGTTCACTTGTAAAGTTCCAGACGTATTGTAACCCGACATAATCGAGCGGCGTCAGCATGAAACCGTTCGTCTGTGTGTCAGTGTATCCTAGCCAAGGACGAGAACTCAACGCCACCACGGCATTCTGGCCCTTCACTAAAACGCGGAAAAGTTTGGCCGGCTTGATCCCCAGAAACCGAGTCCGAGTATCTGATAATTCACCAGTGATCTCATCCAGCACGGTCCGCAGGTAGACGCCCGAGTAGAGACCGATGTGGAGATATAGTGTGGTTCCCCCAGATGTAGAATCTGCCATGGGCATGATGCACAGAGCTGAAGGTGCCGACGTCAATGCCTGCACTGATTTGTTCTCCAGCGTCGAGTCGGGGTCAAGGCTCAATATTCTGACAGTTGAATCGTCACACCCAACAGCGAGGAATGAACTGCGGACGCGGCCTTCAGGCACATCTCCCAGAGAAAGACAAGTGACAGTTCCAGTCATTTCTCGTCGCTCGTCGTACTCTGCCAAAGACCCATCCGAGTCCATCTCAAAGTAAACGATTTCTCCCGAACTCAGAGCCACCGCTACTTGCCGCTCGTTGGTGGTGGCAGCCACTATTGATCGATGTTGGGGCGCAGGCCATTCATTGACTCGTTTATCTGCTCGAATATGCCGGATGCCTTTGGGGTGTACTTGAATCAATGCATCGTCACCCAGCTGCTGCACGGCCAGTGTCGGAGCCCCTGAGAGAAAGCCGGTATCGGTGACCTCCTCGACGGTCTCTCCAATGCTGAGCACAAGGGTGCCAGTGCGGAAAGACAGCACGATATATGCATCATACTCGTCATCCCTTGCCAGCTTGGTGGTCCACACAGCTTCAGGCTTGTCTGGTAGTTCTGACTCGACAATTTCCGAGACTGACAGACCGTGCTTGAGAGTCTTGAAACTGCTCCGAGCGCCTGAGCCACAGATCGAATATATCTGCGGAGCGTCTTCATCGAGGAGGTTTGCGATTTTGCAGTCCATCAAGGGATTCGCTGAATCAATGCTCTGGACCAGGTTGAGATTGGAGAGAGGCCGAACACGGAAATATGCTGGGGAGTAGTCCTCCGCTGGGTCTGATGGAAAACCGTCGCTGTTGAATTCGGTCTCGTCGTCATCATCTCCAAGCTTTTCAAACTGGTAGAAGTGATGATTCCCGCTTTCACTGCTCACAAACAGGAATCCGCTCTTCAAGATGAGTAGACTGTTTGCCACGGGCACCGTGTCAAAGTATTTGATCTTCAGAGACTTGACCTCTCCAGTTGGTTGGCCATTGTCATCATCCACCATATCGATCGTGACTTTGAATAGATCGCCGTCTTCTGTCTGCAATAGTAGAAAAAACTGGCCTTTCATCTTGTGCATCACACCTGCCACAATATGTCTCTTACGGTCGGGGTTCTCGAGTATGCCCCTTCTCCGTGGGATAGGCACACGGAAGGCCTCTTGATTCGAATGTCGATACGTGACATTATCTTCTCCGCAAACTAGGACGCCGCTCGGACCATCTGAACCGCCAGGGACCTGGAATAACTTTGTCGCGCTTCTCGCCACGGGTTCGGCCCACTTGCGAACGACATGGTTCAAGCCCAGGTCAAGTTCGTAGAAGACGAGCAGTTTTTCCACCTCTTCGAGTGCTTGGCCACTAGGATCTTGATCCACCTCGGTATAGTCAACCTCGAGGGCGGCGAAGATAGGATTCTCGTAACCGACGTCAAGGGCTATCATATCAAAGACCAGAGTCTGGGGTTTGTGCGCCTCGAGCGGCGAGGAGATCGTAAGCTCTGCCTGAGCATTTCTGTTCAAGACGTAGACCAGTTTATTCTTTTCGACAGACGCGATCATACACGCTCTTCCCTTTGGGTCGGCTGCAAGGTACTGGCCGGGAATGACTCTTCGGATGCCCGATTTGCCATATGTTTCGAGGTGGACGCGGTTGAAGCGGTTCTGTTCTCGAAGGTATTCGAGAATAGTGATGCGCCCGGAATCTGAGCCGACGATGAGATAGTCTACACACATGTCAGCGAGGACTTCCGCTGGAGATGAGCGCACCTACCTTTACTGCTCCCTGCTAAGCGAAAGGCAGCAAGCGATCTGATGATGCCGAAGCAATCCTGGGTGAACAGAGGGGAGACTTTGCCCTGAGTGGCATCGGGTCTGTGGATGGTGAGCCTGGAGCCCGATGCTGTGATGATCTGTTGCTCTTTTGTACCGGCAAACTGACCCAACACTGCTTGAGTAATGGCTGACGGCGGCTGTATAGTCAAGCTATACATGAACATAGAGCTTGTCGTCGCCATGGTTGGCTATTTCAAAAAGGGTATTTCTAGGTCACTTCCTGCAAGATACTGAGTCGCATTGTCGCCTACAGCAACCCTGAGGTACGTGAAGGCCTATTTTGCTCGTTGATCAAGCAGGAACAACAGCTGAAAGTCGACGCACCTGTGAAGCCGAACGCAAGTTGAAAAAGTTCACAGCCTTGCCAAGCGCAAGCGAAGAGCCTCGTGGTGCAGCAACCGAAGCGGTAACTGGGCCGATACTGTATCTTGGTGCCATGCACAGCCCGGGGAGCCCGAACGCCCCTCGGCGCTTGCCCCTCCGAGCCGCAGGGGTGCCTGGACTGCCGTGACGCATGCCCAAGAGCGCCTGGCACCTTCCAACCGGCCCAACAGTCAAGTTCGTCACTCTCTCAATCGAGATCACCGGCCAGCTTGTCCACTGGCTTGCTCACAAGATCTTCTTCACTACAGCACATCTCGTGGTCAATACGACTCGCCATATCACCCCTGGGATTGCACTCGACACCGTATCCCTCCGTCTGCGCTGCGTTCGAGCATCTCACCTCCACCTCATTGCGATCCCAAATCCGTCATCCATACTCCGTGCACCCTGTGCAGCTTCTTGATAATGGCCGATACTGCGGGGGCTGAAGATGCCAGCGTCACCTTTTCCGTCAAGTCCTCTGGTGGTCAGAAATATACACTGACGGTCCCTCTGTCCATGACAACGATCGATCTGAAGAACAAACTCGCCTCGGAGGAGTACGCCAATGTCCCAGCTTCGGCTCAGAGGCTGATCTACAGTGGCAAGGTGCTGAAAGATCACGAGACTCTTGCATCGCACAATGTCAAGGACGGCAACACGATGCACCTGGTGAAGAGCGCCGCCAGCAATCAGAGACAGAACCCCGCCGTGCAATCCTCCGCGCCATCTACTCCGTCTTCTGGGACGACCTCACAAGGCGTTGCTGGAGTGCCCCAGAACCTGGCTTCGGGTACAGGAAATGACCCATTGGCTGGGCTCACTGGTGCCAGATACGCAGGCTTTGCTCAGCTGCCGAGCGCCGCCGCGTTGCAAGAGAACCTGAGCCCCGACGACTTTCTGCGCCAGCTGGATAACCCCCACTTCCAACAGATGATGCGAGAGGCCATGGGCAATCCTCAAGTCCAAGATATGATCATCAATCAAAATCCTCATCTAAGAGCCCTGGGCCCTCAAGCTCGGCAAATGCTTAATTCAGACTACTTCCGAAACATGATGACCAACCCTCAGATGCTGCGCAACATGATGCAAATGCAGCAGCAGATGGGCATGGGTCCTTTTGGAGGTGCTGGGGGACAAGAGGCATTTCCGGCTCCTGGCGTGACCAATACGACCGAAGGCACGACGGGCAACACCCAGAACACGTCCAACAACCAGCCTGGTCAGCCGCGGCAGCAGCAACCCCAGCCCGACCCGTTTGCGCTGCTACAGACACTTGGCAATCCCTTCGGCAACTTCACTGGCGGTCAGACTGGAGAAGCCACCTCACAGGCTCAGGCTGGAGGCCAACAACAGAATCAGCAACCATTCAACCCCTTTATGGCGTTGTTTCCCCAGGCAGGAGGCCAGGCCGGTGCTCAGCCGGGTGGAAACGCCGGCACGACTTCTCCTCCTCCTTCTTACAATCCCTTCAACCCTCAGAACAACCCCTTACTGCAGAATCCAGAGGCCATGCAACAGATGTTACAAGCCATGACTGGAGGTCAACAAGGCGGCACAGGAAATGATATGGGTGGTCTGTTCGATCTGTTTGGCGGTGGTCAACCGGCAGCACCAGCCGATAACCGGCCGCCTGAGGAGCGATATTCCCAGCAATTACAGCAACTTAACGAAATGGGCTTTTATGATTTCGACCGGAATGTTCAGGCACTCCGACGAACTGGTGGGAATGTGAATGGAGCAATAGAGTATCTCCTTAGTCATCCTACGGACTAGAGCTTGAGGGCTGAGGATTCTGTTTTTCCAGCATTATGATTATCGCCAGTGGAGGGTTCAATACGCGAATATTATGTTATCGAGCACACTAGGTTCGACATGTACAATGTGGTCAAGACACAAAGAGACGTTTCCTTTGGCCCCCCAGATTGTTCTTCCTCAGTCTGCTCCTCTCAAGCGTTATGTACTGTCCCTGTTGATACCCGAGAGGCTGACCGGCTCTAGCTCTTGTCTTGCCTCGATAAGAGTCCCGATGTTAGTGGCCTTTTGCAGTTATTCATCGCCCGGAGTTCACCTTCCGCCAGGCTTGGCTCTTTCAGAGCAGAATTTTCGACTGCTCCCTGTGAGCTCCGTGACAGCGAAGGTGGCGTCAGAGGAGCCGGACAATGATATCAGTCAATTGACCTCTCAGATTACGAGACATCTTCTCCAACGAAGTCCAGTCAACCTCTGGACTCGCACTTCCGGGCTCGAGCCTCACTCCAGAGTCAGGTCAACGCGTAGTATTCTACGACCCAGATCATCCTCCTCGATGAATCCCAGGGGCGTCACATCCAACAGAGGCCCAACTCCCTCACATTTCAACGCGCTTCGAACAAAGGCTCCACACGAAGCTTCTGCCTCCTTCAACAGCTCTCGCCCGCGGTACTTGTCCAATGATTCTGCTGCAACGTGGCCAACATAGAGATTTACTCGCACATGTTTAATCCACTGGCGGTCTCTGTTCTTGATACCCAGAAACAGGTTCTCCAAACACAGTCCACCGCAGACGACAAACTGCTTCGGCGAACGGGCGAGAAGATCCTGGACCTCGTTGTGGATCTGGCGGTTTACTCGCAGTATACGGTTGTCGAAGGCTTTGTATGCGTCGAAACTTTCACAACATCCACCCGGGTGGTTGAATGTACAGGTGCCTGGTGTCGAAGGGCATTTGCAAGGCTCCACTTCGACGGGCCCAAGTATGAAATCCCATATCTTCAGGCGCAGCTCGGATGGCAGACGGAGTATGAAGGGAACCATGGTAGGAGCAAAGCAGGGCACAATAGCCGGACGAGAGAGGTTCGTGGCAAGAGCCAGTCCATCGTCGAACCTGTGCTTGGGTTTCATGAGTGTATAAGCTCTACATGAAGCTAGGACCGACCCCGTGTCGGATTTTGCAGGTCAGATATCCGAGTGCCACGGCTCGTGAATTGACGAGAATGGGAAAAGGTGGACTGGGCGAACTCGCCGATTCCACAGCATGACACTTGCCGTGATGCTACATTCAACCCACTGTTTCCGCGTTCCCTGACTCAGATAGGAATTGCCTCCACGCCGACTCGGCGAGTGACATGGCGTGCTCAATCACCTTCAACGGTCAATACGCACGCGCATACCGGAAGACCGGGTGTTTTGGCGATTTCAGCCTTGCAGTTAAACGTATGATTACTCATGATATACAGCGGGTCGAGGCGTTGAGGCTTTGAGACTGGCTGGTGATTGCACACCAGAAACATTAGCTCCACCACATAAAGCTTGGGTTAAAGCGCCGCGGCATAATTCTGGAAGAGCGATACCATATACCCACCGATGAGTGGCCTGTTCTGTATCTACCAGAGCATCAGCTCAATGCTGGGACCCTCACCCGGCCGATGCTTACAGGGCGAATCCCATCTCTCTCGCTCTAACCTGAAGGGGACTATACGCTTTCTCGGCGTACCACGCCCGCCATGTCATCTCATATCGCGCTGATCGTTCTCTTCTATGAATCGGGCAGGCGCTAGGGAGATTCGACATTGCAACAGGTGGACCGGGTGAACACGCCTAGTCAGCTGAAGATGGTCCCCGGACTTAATGTATTCCTCCTCATGAAGATGACAGCCCATGGCCTTGAGTCGGGGGGATTCTTCGGGCCGAGGATTTCGACGGGATAGGAGCACGTGACCGTGTGTGTGACACTGTTTTCTTGGCATCAGGGCCCGCTGCGGCTAACTTGCCTCGGGAATCGATCGTGTCTCCTCCGCTTGCCGTTGCTTGTCCATGTCGATGCTGCCGAGGCTGAACGAAGCTGCCACCAACACCTCCAATTCCCCCATTGATAGATTCATTTACTGCGATCACCTTTTGGGAGCTCTCACTTCAAGGAACCTTGACCGAGACTTTCTGCATAGGAGCTTCACCATCCATCTTTTCGTACACCATCGCCCGAGACTTACCTGGATATATCCAAAACTCCCAAATATGAAGACAGAACATGTTCTTCGACGTGCTTGTGGGCTTTGCAACGCGTCAACTGGCCTCCCAACAACAAAAGTCTCTTCACTGATAAACACGAGGCATTTGTTTCGTAGCCAATGCTCGAGTTGGTTTTTCAAAGGGGAACGACTAGAACCCCGGTGGAGAAGGACCTTCGGTCGACAATATTCAACGACCAGGGCGTCGTCGTCATCTCGTGACATTTTCTCCAAAGTCTTGACAACGAATTTCTATGGTGACGATGGGTCTGGCCGAATACGCGCCGAAGAAATAGCTCTGGGCCAGGACGGCCATAGAATTGGAAAAGTCACGATCCAGAATAGCGCTGTGGGCAATTCATTGAATGTTTCCTTACTTCAGAACATGACGACGGCCTTTCGCGATCTGAGCCTCAAGGACGATCTCCGATGCGTCATATTGACCGGCGATAAAGGGTTCTGTACTGGCATGGTGAGTTGAGGCCTCTGAATAGCGCGATATAGCACGAAGCAAGCCAGCAACTGATTGTACCCGTGGCATCACTACAGCATGTGAACGAACTTGCCAATCTGGCCACCCCTGACCAAGCCAGGAGCCTGATTCTGAAGGTCTGTGAAGCAGGCCAAGCTATTCGCGAAACAGCCGTACCCACTATAGCACAAATCCAAGGACGTTGCTATGGTGCTGGACTCGAGCTGGCCGCCTCGTGTGATTTCCGCTATGCTCTGGAGGGTACTCATTTCGCCATGCCAGAGGTTGTGCTTGGAATACCGTCCGTCGTCCAGGCGAGACTCCTAGCAAACATCATTGGGTGGCAGAAAACAAGGCAACTTCTCTTGGTCGGCAACAACATCGACACGGATCTTGCTTCCACCTGGGGTCTTGTTGATTCCGTCTGTCCCACAGCTGACAGCCTCCATTTCAATGTACTTGAGACGGCGCAGAGCATTTGTGATAATGGCCCACTCGCCACGAAATCTCAGAAACGCCTGATCAATTATTGGGAAGAGAATGATCTTAAGTCGGGCATCGATGCTAGCGTGGATGCCTTCGCGGAGGCTTTCGAGGGAGGAGCTGCCGAACCCAAGGAATACACACAGAGATTCTTCGCAAGGAAGCAAAAGGCTAAAAAGGAGCACGAAGCAAGACAGGCGACAAAGACCACGGACGGGACAGCATGATTTTAGAAGGCCCATCCAACGCTCAGGCCGTTGCCTCATCCCAAAGTGCTCAGCAACGCGAAAGTGATACAATCCAAGAAAGAAGCTCCATCACACTTTCCGGATGCAAGACGACATGGGTGGGACCGCCGACTGTATCGGTCCGGGAGTTGTTCTCTTCGAGAGTATAGAGACCGACTTACCACTTCGGCCCACGGCATCTATCAATGGATGAAAGATAGGCAATCTCGGACTGCCCGGGGGAAATCGCCACGAGCCACAGATAGAACAGAACCATTCCGGATGCTTCAACTGCCAACTTACCACTTTTACGCGGACACAAAGATCCAGCAAGGATAGTGAGTGAAGGGAAGAACGCACCTGATTCTCAAAGGAGGATCGCCCGTCACAAAACCCAACATTATGCCTTGAGGGTGACGTGCAGGCATAAACGGGTGCCGATCGAAGCCGGACGCGATGCGAGACGAGTCATCTCACCATCAGCGCACATCAAAGGAAACTTTGGCGGTCGAAGAATACATATCGCAACGATGGGCCGAATATCTCCCACGGACGAGAATGGTTCTCTCAACGCCCCATGCTGCATGCTATGACTCTTCGACCATCGACTCTCTGTTCCGTCTCTAACAACTCCGGCGCGACCTGGAATCCAATTGTCAGATAGACAGCCATCGATCCATCAACTTCCAGCCCGTGAGCCATGCTAGAGGCACAATATAGTCACGACGTCCAGCAATGTCCCCAGCCGGCATTGTCGGCGAGAAGCGGACGGAAGTTCGGTACCAAGACACGACGCTGCACTTGTTACACTTAACCACCGCTCAGGCCGGAGCATTGCGCACATCTTGATTTGATCTATTCACAAGGAAGGAGCGCAGCAGGTCAAGCTGACGCTCATTCTATTCAACCCCGTGCCATGACACTGACGACACGCTGGAATAGCTCTGCCGGACTGGGCGCCATGGCTGACGAAGGGAATCGCAGGACGGCATCCAACCCTCCTTCTACCATCTCAGTCTGCGGCCGCACCTGCATCTGCATCTGCTCCGCCGTCGTCTCTCCCGGTGCCGCCAGGAGACCCCTCGTAGTGGGTGCTCTGTCAACCGCAGCTGTGTTCTCCCCCTGCGGAGTTGAAGCAGGTCGGCGACCAAAGATCGAGTCGAAGCTCCTTGTGACCTCCTCGGTCTCGGCGGCCCATCTTCCACTGACATTTCGTGTAACGGTCAATGCTCCCTTCGCGGTGCCGGTCTGTCTCAATACCCTTGTCTGATTGCGTTCATCGATCATCAAGAACCCTGCTCCGCTGGTCAAGGCGAGTAACCCTTTCAATACCCCGATGAATTGCCCTTCATACACGACTTTCACGCTCACTCCTACTCCTACTCCTGCACCTGCGTCGGCAGCCACTCCAACGTTAGTCGCGTCGCTGAATTCCAAGACCGAAACCGTACATCCTCGAGGGTACTCGCTCTTCCCAACCCCAACTGCAACGGTTCCATCGTATTTGTTTCGCGTCAGAAACATCGGTGCGTTGCTCTTTGGTGGTATGTACGCTTCTCCAAGCTTGAGTGGGGAAGGAACTTCCTCGCACCTTATGGTGTCGAAGATCCTAAATTTCGATGACAAAGCGAGGAGATAGCGACCACTGAAGAAGAGTTTCGCGTACCCAGGCGACAGGAGGGACGGAGCAGAGAAGGCGATGCTCCCGGAGGAGGGGTCGATCAGGTGGACAAAGCGTGTATGCGTCGAGGATTTTGTACCGGAGTGAGCGCCCGGCATAGGAAATGACCAGGAAGCAGCTATGGCAGAGCCGTCTTCGGCGTAAGCGAGTGCTGCGGACGTTGCCGTCTCACCTCGGGATAAGGCGTCGTCATTGCAATGGATGACTCGTGAACTTATCCACGTGTATAGCTGGTCATTCGCGTTGTTGCGCACGGATACGCCGTCTCTATGACGTGCTTTCGCGGTCCAGATACGGACGGTCCCATCTGCTCCAATCGTCGCGAGTTCAAGCCTCACAGGGTTAAAATGCAAACCGAGCACGGCGTTTGGTCCCGGCTTGTGAGGCTCGTCAATTCGGGTAACTTGTTCGAAATTGTCGGAGGATTCGTTCCATAGCCAGAGGCGCAGATTCGTCTCTGTCGCTCTACCACGGAGTGTCTTGTCGTCAGAGCTGACATACATGGCCTCAAGATCTTGTTCATGAGGCGTCCACTGGTCAATCGTGGCAAGCCATTTCCCATCATGGCTGAGATCCATATACGTAACGCTCGGTTCCCTTACGGGTTGACCAGATGGCGCCACATTCGAGGCGGTGACCATGTTTCGTGTCAGGGCTTGCCTGGTCAGTTGCAGAGAGGAATCGAGGTCGTAGATTTGGAGAAAGGTAGAAGGTTTGCTGCGGAAGGAATCACACGAGACGGCCGCGAGGAGACGACTCGGTGCACGGGGATGGAGGAGTAGTACGGAGGAGGTTTGAGAAGGCCGGCCCAGTGCAAGGCCTGTGACATTCGTAGAAGGTAGGAGGTCCGCTGTTGAGAGGATCATCACCGAGTTGTCAGCCAGGCGGAGAGCGTACGCCGAACCAACAGCGGAGACAGTGAGGTTCAGAATCGCCGTAGACAGATGCGGTAGGTACTGTCTCTGGTTCGAATCTAGCTGCCAAATGACGAGGACAGTCTCATTGCCCCCAGAGATGATGTAATTTCCGTCCCGAGAACATTTCACGGTGTTGACGGCTGTCCTGTGCCAATGAAGCCTGCGCGCAGTGATGTCTCCGGCACTGGTCTTGTTCTTTTTCTCCATTCCGATGAGCTTGAAGAGAATGTCTTCGTAGTGCATGATGACACCATCGTTCAGACCAACAGCCACATCAAGGTAGGGCACTTTTCGTGAGGTCTTGGACTCGCCCGAATTGAGCTGCGCGTCGAAACTCTTGATGTGTGCCGGAGTAGTGAGTTCTCGCCATGTGTAAGAGAACTCCAACTGTCGTTCCTCCGTATTTTGTGACTGGCCAAATAGGAGTCTGTCGGCGACACATGCCACAAGGACACGTCCGTGACCATAAGATCTCACGCAAGGTGACAAGGCGGATCCGCGAAGCACCGTCTGCTTTTCGGAAAACGTTCCTCGTGATATATCAGCCAGATAGATGACGAGGTTCCGCGTCCCTAGGCCATCATCTTGGAGGAGTAGGACTGCTTCATTTGCCTCCTCAGACTGCAAGGGCAATATCTGACGCACACTCTTGCCGTTGTTGAACTCCGCTATTCTTGTGCCACTAGTCCAATCCCAAAGAGAGATCAGTCCGTTCGTACCGGACACGTACAATCTATCCCCGTCGAGTGTTGAAAGAGCGCAACTCGTGATAGTCGAATTCGGATCAAGTCGCAGACTGCGGACACGAAGGGACGTCTTGGTAGAATAGACTTGAATCTCCGAGTGTGTCGGCAGGATCAGGTGCTGGTCGTCATCCGTCAGAAGAGGATCTTGGTCGATGAATATGCCGCTGCCGGTAGCGGCAACTGACCATCCTTTCTCGTTGACCTCTGCCTTTCGTGGCCTTTCCCGTCGTGATTTCACCACTGCCGTAAGTTTCTTCTTTTTGTCTCTGACTCCTTTGGGTGACGGCCGTTTTGTCTCTCCCACATGTTTCCCGGGCACTCGGTGGGGTGCTTCTGCCATTTTATTCGAGGCAGCCTCGGTCCGTTTCTGCTTGAGCAACTCATCACGTTCCTTGAGCCTCTTGGACAATTCCAAATCTCTTTCCTGCGGAGTCAATGACTGTGAAGGTCTTCGTCTGGCTGCTTGGAGCGTTGTATCCGAGTTCTTCTGCGAATCATTCTCCTTGCTGGTTTCCGCTGGGGGTATCTCCTGACGTTCGGGAGGTGGGGACCGCTCTGTCTTCTCTATCGGAATCGCTTTGTTTTTCTTCCGTCGCTCTTGCCTGGCTTGTTGCTTTGCAGCACGATTTTGTTGTGGCTTCTGTGACAGCGCTTTCTCGTTCTCCTCCCGGCTTATGGCACTCGCAGTTTTCTTTGGTGTCGTTTCCTGCTGCTCTGGCGCCTCGGTCTTTTCAAGGGCAGGAGATGGGTCATCTTGGCCAAGCGCTGAGGCATTCTCTTGCTGGCGTTTCAGGCTCCTCCGGCTTCTCTGTCTCTTTTTCGGAGGAGTAGCACTGTCGGTAGTACCGTCGAAGGCAGTCACCGCGTTACGCTTTCCAGAGGGTGACATGTTCGGTGAATGGCCTCCCAAGGTCGTCGAGGCAGGCTCGCGGTTCGGTGAAATACATTTTCAGAAACTTTTTCTCCGCACTTGGGAAGGCAAGTCGGCCGGGACCAGGTCACGTGTTTGAGTGAACTGCGGAGAAGAATTTATTCTGTCTTGCGATCGACTCCTTCTCGCGCAACAACAGGATTGCCCATCTATCTACCACCGCTATTGACCTTCCGTTGCCTTGGTCTTTTGCCCTCCGACTCGAGATGATCATCCCAATCCGGTGCTTCTCCTGTGGCAAGGTATGTGCTAATCAGCCAGCGCCTGGCGCGAAGTGCCGTAAGACGGGTCACTAACGCGAGATTTCTATCAGGTCATTGCAGACCTTTGGGAGAAGTATACGAAGCTGCTCCAAGATGGAGTCTCTGACGGGTAGGGCTAGTCTCGCTCCTCTGCGCCTGACGACGAGTCTGACAAATAGCACAGTGAGGCAATGGATCAAGTTGGGGCAAAGCGATATTGCTGTCGCCGCATGCTGATGACCCACGTCGATTTGATCGAGAAGTTGCTACAATACGACCCTGCGGAGCGACGACAGAATAGAGTCCAGTGATTATCATCGCCTGAAGACGGCTGCAAAATTGCTATTGCGACTCGGCGTGGCTTTAGTCGATTCCTCTTCGAGCGACACATTGGGCATTGGGACTACCGGGTCACGTCCTGCTTGCATCGGACCAGATAAGTCGGCGGAAACAAAGACTGCGGGGAACAAAATCTCAGTTTGCCATGCACTCTGCGTTCTGGCGCTGACGTCCCGGTCGTCATAAGTGGCTACTATGGGCCCTCTCGAGGCAGATCTGTGCAGAAGTCTGCCACAGAACAACAAACATTATGAGCTTAGCGACTGTGGAACGTTCGGCTTCCATATGCTCCACCAGCAAGTCACCTCTGCCGGACTGCCGTCTCGGCCATGCCAGTCATCATGTCCAACGTCTGTCCCTTCAGAGACCAAGCCGAAGTCCAACCCCTCCAGGATCATGCGCAAGGCGCGCCGCTCCTCGTCATACCTATCTCTGAAGGGGAGTTCGACGATGAACCTGGCGTCCGTCTCCCAGCGAATCCAGCGACGCACGGTGCTGACGAGCATTTTCGGGTGGTCGGCGGAGTAGATAGGATCCGCTGCAAGAATAACTTTGAACCTGTCCTGTTTGCTCCCGGGCGTGTCTGTCTCATCTGCCCAGTCTAGTGCTCGTGACTCGACACTTCCGTGATGTTCTTGAATGACCTCTTTATTCTGCTCGAGATTCTTCTGAAGATTGGGCACGATCTCTTGGAGGTCAGTCAAAAGTACATGTGTCTCCCAGATACAAGCGGCGGATATGCCCACTAGGCCGGTGCCAGCACCTAGCTCCAGGACCCGGTCGACAGCGCCAGGGATCAGCCTGCGCACCTCGCGAAGCCGCCGAGAGAGCATGAGCGACGACGTCCATGTCTTGAGTCCAAGACTATCTTCGGTCAGTGTCGGTTCGTGCAGCTGGATCACGAGATCGTCGCATTCCGGACCTTGGCTGATGACGAATGATCGAGTCATGGTGGGCATTGCATTCCTCCCCGACCGCTCACTCAGCCGGGCACTGGCGGCCGTCCAAATTGACTCCTTCGCATCTTCATCTTCGATCCAACGCAGACTGGAGGAGACGATGGAGGTGAGGTAGCCCGGTGCACCCTGCTCCGCGACCCTACGACGGCCAGAGGCTCCTGTTCCTGTGCTCGCAAAGCTGGTCTGCCCCGACAAGAATAAATCTAATGCTTCTAGGAGAGCTGGGGCCGAGGGTTGCTGGTAGAGCTGGGGTAAATCATGCACTGCGTTTCCGAGTTGGAATTGAGAACTGAAAACGCAAGAATGCTTCCATCGGACCTACCATGTACCACCGAATCCACCGCATCTGAGTCCGGATCAGGAGTCTTCTTGCTGGCCGAGGTGTTCATCTGATCGCGTCGCGGGATCCGGCACGGCGGTTGCTGTGACGTAGGGGAACAGAAATGGCTCTCCTGAGAAGGATCACCTGGGTAATTTTGGATGCGGCCGTTCTAGACAGCAAGCCTCATGGCCTCAGCCGCAGAAAAAAGAGAAAATGGGCTTGTCAGTTACACGCTTCCAAGTGTCGGAAATTGCGAACAGAGCGAAGTGCGACGGCAGCTCTGGGCGGGGAACAATCCGCGACTCCTGATTCGCTGTTGGAAATCTTGGCTTTTCCACTAGTCGCTGCTTAATGCTGAAGGTCGTAATGCCACCAAATGGCACATCGTAATTAGATGGTGAACCCAAAATCAAGAATGGCCTTCATCCCACCATCGAACCTGCAGCTGTCCTCAATTTACTTGATGTCGAATCTGACGGCGGTCCAACGCTCGGATCCTTCGAAACTCACAGGAGCGCAGAAAGGGGCAAAATCTGACAGCAGCGCGTGGAGTTTCAGCCGCGAGACTCTGAAGTGACGAAACCGTTTCTTCGCCCGGGTGCCACACTAAACACCGTGGCTTCCCCTGCTTGGCGCTACGCTCACCTCCAAGATGCAATTTCCCCACCCCTGAGCGAGCAAAGGTACCAAGGATGCCTGTTCGCTTGCCCGCAAAATCGAACATTCTTGGATCGGCGCAAGGAGGAGGAGGATGACACACTAGAATCCTGGCTGCAAGAGGGTGCAAAACGGTGACCCAACCCGGGGATGCTCAGTCGGGTACCACCATGCAAGCCACCAGAGACTGAATGTTACGTGGAAGACGACTTGATGCATGGCTTTGGGCTGTGTCACACAATCATCTGTGAGGCGCCGATGGCGACGTTTGACATGTTGATGCCCCAAAGCCACGCGAGGGCCACCCTCGTATCAAGGCTCTCATACATGCCACAATCGTGATAGACACGCAGAAGCACACGCAGAAGCCTTGTCGGGCGGGATATACGAGTACAGTGAGATTGAAGCCACGGGGCAACAGTAGAAGAGGCTTGCAGGACCTCAGCCGCCATCCCCGCAGAATGACCGTTGATTGGCCTCGAAGCTGCCTGTTTTGGCGTGGTGCGCATCCTGGTTGAGCCATCCGGCACCCGAGCCCATGGCCAGGTGCGCCTCGCGTTAGTCTCTCCTGAGATGCGCTCCACCCTGTTTACCCCTGGCATCACAAATTCCCGCTTCGAGATGTCGACGCAGGAAGGATGATTCGGAACGGTAAACACAATTTCTCGAAAGGGTCCTTCACTGACTGAGGCGGCGAACCCTAGAGGTTGAGACATGCACCATCCGGGCGGTTGTGCTCCTCCTATGCAGGAACAATCAGGAGGCACAGATCCTCCCGTTCTTACTGCTGACATGTCGTCGTGCATTCCGGATATGTGCACCGCTTTAGCATCCAACATCAACAGCAATTTGCCGGGTGCAAGCTGTCATTGGGCGCCTCTCCACGAACTCCAAAGTTGAGCGCTACCCATGCGGTCACGACCCATCGTCCTCGCGACTCGGCTGGGAAGACGGAGGAGCTCCTTTTTCGGGCCTCGCCCATCGAGAGTGTCGCTTGTGAAATTAGCTTACTGTTTCCACTCTAGGGCCACGGTCTCAGGCCGCCCTCGTGGCTAGCTGGGGTTGATGGAGCACCAAAAAAGGCACTGCCCACGATCCACCAAGGCGCGAGTCGCGACAGCAGGGCTGGCATAAGTATCTTCTGCTTCCTCGTCCATCTGTCTACTATTCCTCTCAAGCTCGTTACACCGCCTTCTAACTTCGATTGACATTTCAATCGTCCACTCTTTTCAGAGCTCGTCGTATTCCAAGGTCATTTGACCTGTTCCACTCGTTCTTAACAATTACACTCGTTCTAATCCTCCAACATGCAATACATGTCCGTCGTCCTGCCGCTGGCCGCCATGGTCAGCGGCGCCCTCGCCAACCCTACCTGGGGTGACAAGGCTGGTGCCTGCCAGAACAACGCCTGTCTCGCCGCTGTGACAGGCAAGGCTGCACTGGGTGATGGCAAGATCCGAGCCTCCCACTGCGCCAGCTACCTCGCCACGACGGTTACACCTATCGTCACCGAGACCGTGACCATCACCGGCAAGGGACACGATAACTGGAAGCGCGCCACCGTCGCCCTCTGCCCCAACGAGGTCCCCAACTACGCTAGCGCCTGCGACGATGCCGCGTATACTAGCGCGTGCTCATGCTTCGGCTACACCGAGATCAAGACGACCACCGTGGCACCCACCACCACCACCAAGACCATCTGGGTCAAGCCCACTGGCGGTGCTGAGTCCTGCTCCGCGTCTACCGTCACAACCACATCCGTTGTTGTGTCTGGCTCAACCTGCCCTGCTGCTAGCACCACCACCTCTACCAAGGTGATTGTGACCGGAACCACCGTAACCAAGACTGGAGGTGCCACCACTGTCACCGAGACCAAGACCGAGACCAAGACCGTCACCAAGGACTCGCCCAGCGCTACCTCATCTGTGCCAGCCTCGTCTTGCAGGGTCGATGATGCTTTGGCCACCACGCTGGTCAACAACTTCGTTGACTTGCTTCAATTCACTTCCTACGCTGGCGACCGGGGCCCACCTGGCCGCGGCTACCACCAGGATGTCTCAGATGCCACGCTGGCCACCGACTTCATCGACATCTCCGACTCGATCAACTTCATGGCTGGCTTCCCTGTAAGTTTTTGTGGAATTCTTTCTGTCCGGCTTCCTTCTAACTGTGTGTCTAGCTTGGCTCTATCACCTTCAACAGCAAGCAAGCCTTCGATATTGGCCAGGGTGTCATGCAGCCTGAGGTCACGGTCAAGGTTCTCAACATCTGGCACGACTGCAACACCGTCACCTTCAGATGGAGAATTGTCTCCCTTCCGTTCCCCGTCAACGGAATCAACCACATGGAGATCAACAAGGATGGCCTGGTCCAGAAGAACTATGCTGAGTTTGACAACGGTGCTTGGCTCCAGTCCTTCGGCCAGAACTGCACGACCAACCAGGCTAACCCCCCTGTTACGGTGGCCCCGTCTGTCGCGTTGAAGGCTCGTGACCTTTTCTAAGCGGATCGAAGCAGCGAATAGGGAGGCAGGTGTAATGTCAACTGGGATGCGCGAAGTCTCGGCGTCACACGGGCACACACGACGCCAGGGGATATTCTTTTCATGTATGAATGTTATTTGCATCTTCGGGGCGATTTTGACAACGTGATCGATGAACAGCACCGCCTTCCCGCATACGGATTATGAATTGCATTGCATGACCCTGGCTAGAGCATACTTTGGTGTACATGCATGGTTTAGCTGACAAAGTTCTCCCCCAACTGTACACGCCGCTGTTCATCAATCCGTCCTGAAGACATCACACTTGAATACATGAGTCTACTGTTAAGTTGTGTGGCTGAGTTTCACGTCGGCGTGCTTCTCCCAGTATCACCAACATCGTGTATGCATGACGCATTGTCTTGTCACGTGACTCTCGGAATTCCGACAGATCTCGGACTTCCATATCGAGAAATGCTTCAGGTTCAGCTCACGAAGAGATGGAGGTTATTTCTTAGCCACTGTTCTCGCAATTCTCTGTCGACTTCTCTCTTCTCTTTGCTTCAATGTGTGAACATTCGTTTGTTCTGGAGTGTACTTTCCCACCGCTCCTGCGTGACTGGTTTTGCCCTCGTAATCATCACCCTCACCATCACATCAGTTCGAGTCTACGACAAATACTAGCCAGAAGGAAGCATTGTCTCCACCAAACCAACAGACCATGAGCTCAGAACCATCAGAACCCATTTCAAAAGCCTCAGCCTCGTCCGGCTACACCCAGGGACACAGCGCCGCAGTCATTGCCTCACATGCATCCCGAACCGTCCATAACTCTGCTGCCTTCCTCCTCCCTCATCTCAAGCCCGACTTCACAGTGTTGGATCTCGGGTGCGGCCCTGGCACAATCACACGCGGCTTCTGCTCCTACGTCCCCCAGGGCAAGGTCATCGGGATCGATGCAGCAGAGTCAGTCATCGAACAAGCATTGTCCTCCGCATCTACGACCGAGTATCCGAACCTCTCGTTCCAAGTAGGAGACATCACGGCTCAACTACCATTCAAAGATGGATCCATCGACGTCGTCTACACGAGCCAGACCATCCTCCACTTACCGGCCCCCGTCGCCGTCATGAAGGAAGCGCACCGTGTCTTGAAGCCAGGCGGCATGTTGGCCATGCGTGAAACCGATTCTATGGTCTGGCATCCTAGTAGCGCTGGCACGGAAGCGTACTGTGTAGCTCTGGGCAAGGCCGTCCCGCCTGGTGCCCAGGGGTCCGGTACTGGACGTCGGCTTCATGTCTGGGCGAAAGAGGCCGGCTTCTCTGCGGCAAAGATGCAAGTCGGTACCGGCGGGATGTGTTATGCCGCGCCGGACTTGTCGAGATGGTGGGCGGATGTTCACGTCCAAAGGCTGCGTGGTGAGGTGGGGAAGAAGTGGTTGGAGGATCTCAAGCTCGTGCGCGACCAGAACGAGATTGACGGAATGATTGCCGGTCTCAAGGCCTGGGGGGACAATGAGCAAGCCTGGTATGCTGCCTTTCAAGGTGAAGTGATTTGCTGGAAGTGAGACACGGTGGCTTAGGTGGGAGGTCCGAAGTCCCTGCGAGATCAGCATATAATATATCATGAGACGCAGGCATCTGACGGGGTGTGCTCCAGTTCCCACACGCCTTGAGCATATATCCGACTCGTCGATCTTCGTCATCTCATGCAGCAACCAGCACTCAGCACTCAGCACGCAGCATTCAACACTTTTCTCCTTTTCGCCTCAACATCCATATAGTTTCATCACCGAGCAGTGAGTGAGGAGCGCGCCGTATCAAGTACCTCGAGCATGGAAACGCACGAACACGATATATCCACCCCAAGACGCAACGCCGGCCGCATCCTCGTGACCCGTCCAACAGGCATGTTTGGCCTAGGCCTACCTCGTAATCTCAACAACGTCTACGGATGGACCTGCTCTCGGTTGTGGTCTAACCTGACTCCATCCGTATGCCGTCTGTCACTCTAAGCTAGGCTCCAGGCTGCGAGATCCGAGATCAAAGACCCTGTACATATATACACATCTAAGGAGTTTCACACGTGAGGAACGTCTTTCTCCGTAGGGAACTGGATTACCACATGCACACCGCTGAAAGTACTGTATCCTTGCACGATTGTGTACGGAGTACACGAGATACAAATCTACCTTTCATTGTAACTTGTTTGTACCCTACCACTTCGATCACGACCTCAATCTCGTCCAGTCCAGTCCAGTCCAGTCCAGGGCCAAGCAGAGAACGAAGTACATAATACATGCGTGCCTGCTCCACTTTTCAGACCTCTATATCTTACAATCTCAGAACACCGACCACCTCGTCTCACCTCACCTCACCTCACCTGCCTTGCCTGTCCTGCAAAAACCACAACCCTCACTCGCGCCATCGGCCTGTCCTCCCACCCTGTACTGACGGGCGTACCTCTTTTTGAGATACTGTAGCCTGTCCATTCTCTTGACTCTTGACATCCTTCGCGACATTGAGATGAGATGCGATGAGGGTAAATGTCCTTCCTGCATTCTTCTCCTTCTTCTTCTTCTTCTTCTTCTTCTTCTTCTTCTTCTTCTTCTTCTTCTTCTTCTTCTTCTTCTTCTCCTTCTCCTTCTCCTTCTCCTCCTCCTCCTCCTCCTCGCGATACGTATATGCACGGATGATCCTGTGTCATTGGCGTGGATGCGTGTATAAGTACAACCCTCGCCGACCCTCGAGCTGCGGATTCCGACAACCGCGGCGCGTACGTCCCACTGGGGCGCAAGCGAGGCTCGTTGCATCGATCTCCCATCCTGAAGCTGAAGCTGAATCTGAATCTGAACACGGCCGTGGTCGTGGCCGACTTTCCACTTTCGGTCAGACCTTTTCTCGATCCGTGCGCGGGATTGGCGATTGGATCGTCTGTCCATCGCGCGCGATCGATGTGCGACAGATCGTTTCTTCGTGTTGCCGATGCCGATGCCGACGCCGACTTCACCCGCCGTCTGTTGACCACAACCAAAACCACGACACGACAATGGGGCGTATACGGCTGCCCGTAATCCCGTAGTCTTATGCGCCGTACATGCTCCCTCTGCCGGAAATCATGTGATATCATTCGCTGGCATGACTGGATGTGTCGGTCCAGCTTGATACGTTAAGAGCATATACTCCGGGCTCGGCACTGCGGGTGAAATGATACCCCGAGATCGTTGGGGGAGGTTTGGACGAGCGATCCGCATATCATCGTGGCGGGTTCGATGCAGACAAGGAACCAGATGCTTAAAAAGGCCTGGATGGAGAAGATGGGGTTGTCGTTTGTAGAGGGCGGAGCCGGAGTGGCAGCTTTGGGATTGGAAGAGGTCAACCAGAACGACAGGTTGGTCTCCTGAGGGCAGCGCCTGAGATGGTATACTCGGATTGATCATGCTAGCGCGATACGATTTCGGTATCGTGCAGGGTTCGGTCGTGCCGATCAGACAGTTCGGGCGCTTGATGAGTGGCTTGCGTGATGGAGGGATTTGAAGATGAACTCCATTTCTTTCGTAAGGCTGTGTGCCATTGCACGTGGCAAGGACCAAGTGCTGTCAAGGAGACATTGACGCGTGCAGCGATGTACTGTAGCAATGTAAAGACTGTGTCACTGTGATGGCATTGCACTTCGCTTCAGTGCTAGTTCACTGAAGAAGCATTGTATATTCGCGGGCTTGTCTTATTGTAACCGACCCCTCTTTGACCTTGGAGTAACGTAGCAATATGCAGGAACAAGATTGACATCGAGAGCGAAAGATCTAGCGATATATATCGACGTGTCTTGTGGTCCATCAGCACAGGCATGGATATTGAGTCGTTCCGTCAGCATCAGCTTGACAGACTTATCGGCCAGATTCCGCATCACACTATCCATCATGTCGAAGGGTTGGAAAATTCGATGCCGTGATATCAGAAGGTGGCGAATCAACTGGTGTGCATTGGAACTGAGCAACCAGCGTGTCGAGCCGCGTCGCTCCTGCAGCTGCGTCTGGCTGACTCTGTGGATAGAAAGCCGTCCAATGTCCCATGGCGGACAGCGGGATGGGGGAGGATAAATAATATCTCGCAGAGGGTATGCGGAGAGTAGGGCTGTGCTGATACCACACCCTCTCGTGCCATCATCTTAAATCGTTGTAGACCCGGGGTCTGGCTGGCCAAGGCTTCATCGACAACAGACTTACAGCATCGCAGCAATGCACCCTCGACGGAGTATGCTCGATGTCGTAGAGAGGCGTATGTCGAAAGGGTCGCCCGCAGTCTACACCCTCATACGAGAGCCGAAATCTGAGAGTCCTGTACTTGCGAGGGTTGTCTTCCTGGGTCATCAACTTTCCTCCTAGATCCTGTCTGGTTCATTCTCTGTGGGCGTAGCATGGCTCGCTCGTCTTGCACGGATCATGCTCCCCATCTTTACCCGGTAGTGGCTTCGACTTATGGCGCCTTCAGAAAATCATATTCGGAAACTCTTCGAGGTTTTCGGCATGGTACATAGTTGCAAAATCCGCTTCGGTGGCGGTACCATACGCAAACGCATCGAACGCCGTAACTGCATTGAAATCCGCCACACTGTACATATGATGATCAGACACTGCTTGATGTGCGTGCGGCTGACTCGGTGGCTGAAACTGGTCGCGGTGGTGTTGCTGGTGACGATGTCGCGGGTTCCGTGGTTTGGTTGTTTGGACGACATGAGTATGAAGCGTCTCGACCGGAATATACTGACCTCCTGCGGGCGACGGCTTGGCTTCCTCTTCTTCCCCTGCCTGATCGATACGTCCAGTCTGCACCGTTTCAGGAGACAAGGCTGGCGGTAGCAGCTTCCGCTGCCGCATTCGCGTGAGCATTGTGGTCTCACCAGACGAAGGCGTCTGCGGAATATGATTCCAGCTGGGCATGTCACTGTACAGCTCGGGAAACCTTTTGAAGATGTCCGGGCCCATCGTCCAGCACCTAATATCCGACAGCCGCTGATCAAACATCGGTGAGACCTTGTACAAGCCCGTCTCGATCTCTCGGGTGTAGCAGTCGCGAAACTCGTACGGCCATAGGAGCTTGAAGGACGTGGTGAACAAAGTCCAAAATTCATTGCCACAATAGTCATGCTCGTTGAAGATGAATCGTTCCCGAACGCCGGGCCAGGCGAAATAATCAATGGCATAAGAATGAGCAATCTTCTGTGATGGGCGGCGCATGTACCACGGGGGGAGCCGCACGTAACGTTCTGAGGTTGATTCAGTGTGGAACTGTAGTAAAGTGTGCATCGCCCGTAGGATGGCGAGACGCTCGACATTGGGGCACATCGCGAACAACGTCTCGTCGATCCGACGCAAGATCTGCCACGATGGGTGTAGGGGCGCCCGACTTGCCACTGCATCCCATCCCTCGAGCAGGGCACGAATGGGCACGTCGTCGCACAAGACATCCGATTCTGGGGCCACGTCCTCTGTCCAGTCAAAGCGTTCGCTCAGAACCTCGTTTGCATATCGCCAATAGTTTCCTCGCCAGACAGAACGTCGACCGGGTTGATGTTGGTGGCAGCTGACGCAGGAGCATGAGCTGAGAGGAGCTGTCCAGTTCTCCGCATAATTGCAAGGCATAGGATTCGGCTCCTTGGAGCACTTGGCCTGAACCAGGACTTCGGACGGAGATTGCCCGTCCCCAGGTAGCGGGACAACCTCTGGAGCGAAAAGCTGATCTTGTGACCGCAAGGGCAAGCTGGGAGCAGGCGAGAATACCGCCAGATCAAAGTTTCGTGAAGGGCTCGTCCTCTTGTGCAACTCTGCGTGATCCTCTTGCAAGGCTATCGGTGGATCGTCCGCCAGTGGAGAGACGCTGCTAGAATTCCGGTCGCGTCGAGTGCCTTCATGGCCTAACCCTCTCTTGCCCTCCATCTCCTCCTCGGTCGTCAGATTGAACGACTTGTGTGTTTCCATTGCCTTTTGTATATCCTTGAGTGTCTTTGCCATCATGTCCCTCTCGGATTCCATCTCCTTCAACTGCTTCAGCAACGTCGCGAGTTGCCCGCTGGAGTCCTGGCGTCGAAAATCCTCTACCAGCCCTTCGAGGTAGGCGATGCGAGTCTTCGTCCGCTCACGAGCCTGGCGTTGACATCGTCGGTCGATTTCCCGCTTCTTCAACCTGCGGGAGGAAACGCCTTCGGTGGGTTCGATTGACTGAAGAGTACTGGCACAAGCTTGCTGGCCGGCAGCGGGGGTGCGCATGGCCATGTTGGATACTATCGCCGCTGCAAGCGGTGCTGCCGCGTGAAAGGATAATGAGGCCGTTCAGGTTTGATGAGAGTACGGAGTGGTTGAGAGCACTCTCTCATGGCCGCGATCTCGGGCTTTACTCAGGGACAGCCACCTTGAGCCAAGGACATGACCGCCGGTTTGAGGGTCCAGGTAACAAATAGTCGACAGCGCCACTGTCACTCGATTGAAGACAAGCTTCAGATCTGCGGGGTATATACGGAGTACGGAGTACTGCCTCAATCATTGCAAATTGTGTCCTCGGCCCCGGGGCCCTGGCACAAGACTAGGGGCCACGACCCAGGCGTGTTCCAAGTTCTAGGCGTAGCCCAATCCGAGTTTAGGTAATGCTCCAGGCATAATTTGTGCCTCGTAGCATTGCGCGGCGCTCGGCTCCCATTTCCCCAGACTTCCAGGTTGCATCCGCAGTTTAGACTCGATAATACGAGGTTCTGGGTACGAGCATGGCCTCGTAAGGTTCCTCTCCACCGCAGCTGATCGATCAAATGCCCCCAATCCGGTCTCAAGAGGCGCGACAGATCGCTCTTTGCTATTGGTGATCGGTTCCGCGACAGCGACCTGCCCACCCAATCCTCCGATCTGTTTTCGATGATGCCTTCTGTGAGCCGAGGATGAGCACAGTACCTGTCACGTATCGACGGAGTGCACGCTGTCAGGCTTGCCACTGACACTTTGTCGGTCTTTTTGCATGGCACGGCTCGCCGTCGCCGAAGAGAGATCTCTGCGGGCACTAAAAGCTCGCCCATCAGACATGCTGCACATAATACGTACCCAGTACTGCCAACTAGGTGACAAGTCATATCTTCTCAGTCGTTGCCCGTATTCCCCTTGGTCACGTCGGCCATTCACTCGTCGTAGATCATGGTCGGCTTTTGACTTCCCCGGAGCGCAGGCTTGTTCGATACTTCGGCCACGCGCACAATGACAAGGAGACCTCGCTCACACAGTCGAAGTACTTGTAGTGATGTCACTATGGTCTAGAGCTGGTGGAGCGAGAAATCCAGTTGATTCCCTCATTTCGGAGTAGTAGCAAAGCACAAAATGAGCATGTTCACAAGAGCTGCCTTACTCAGCTGCTTCTTGCTCGCTTGCTAGCACATCTCCGTGTCTGCCCAAAGGCCCAGTCTCTTGTCCCTCCACACGGAGAATGTGCTGAGGAGAATCAGGATCAAGCATACATAGTATTCAGCCAATAAGTGGCCGCACCGGCAACTGGTGTCTGTAAGATTACACTGAGTAGACGTCGCAACACCATGGCTGCTGGGCTGAATCTCCAATACATATCACCCACCATTCGCGACTTTCTCGTCCTTTGTCCTTCCGGCATCCTCATATCCCTCTACGTCGTAACCTTCCCCTCTGAAGCTCGAATTGGTATTCCTGGAATCCATCGTGGTGCCGCATCAGAATGTCCCTCTCTTCATGCTGCGCTACCGGCTTCCGCTGGGACGGCACCCCCAAGGGCAAGGAGACCACGCTTTCCAGCAACAAGGCCTACGTGACGGGCACGAACAAGGAGGCCGCGGTGCTCATCGTGCACGATATCTTCGGCTGGACTCTGACGAATGCGAGGATGTTGGCCGATCACTATGCTGAGGAGGCGGATGTCACGGTGTATCTGCCGGATTTGTGAGTCTTCTACGCCCCCGCGGCTGTTTCATTATTGTCATTGGGCGCTTTGATTCGATCTGATATGGATGTGATTATGTGCGTGGCGGGGTACTGTAGGGGGGGTGTGTGGATTGTAGGCGCCCGAGAGGGAAATCTCCGGTGTCTCGATCGACCCACGCCGTCCGGTTCTCCACGGGTCCCATTGATCGGATCAGAACCAGAGAGCCCTTGCGCTGTACTCAGTACGCACATACTAACCTCTCGCTGCGCGGCAGCTTCGCCGGCGAAATCGTCGCGCCAAACCGTCTCGATCCTGCATACGCGGGCGAGCCATTCGACATTAACGACTTCATAACCCGAAATAACAAAGATACCCGATGGCCCGAGATCTCGAGCTGCGCCAAAGCACTCAAGACTGAACTTGGGTACAAGAAGGTCGGCGCAATCGGATTCTGTTATGGCGGCTGGGCTGTGTTGAAACTCGGTGCCAAAGGTAGTTCATCCCGTTCGCTCCTTCTCACTGTCCTCTTCTGCCCGATTTATCTGATTTGGCATCCCCAGAAAATGCCTTCGTCGACTGCGTCTCGACCGCTCACCCGGCTCTGATGGAGAACGCCGACATCGACGCCGTCGGATGCCCGGTCCAGTTCCTCGCACCCGAAGAGGACAACACCTTTACCCCCGAGATGAAGGAATACACCTTAAAGACACTGCCGACGCTCGGCATTGACTTTGATTATCAATACTTCGCGGGCTTGAAGCACGGGTTCGCCACAAGGGGCGATTTGAACGATCCGAAGCAGAAACATGGTCTTGAACGAGCGAAGAATGCGGCGGTGAGTTGGTTCAGAGAGTATTTGCACTGACGTGGAGAGAACTCAAGATGGTCTTCTTAAAATGTTGCCCAAGGGTTTTCCTAACACAAGAACTCCGAGGAGACAGCAAAGTCAGCGCAGGTCATGTGTTTTGGGTCCCCTGAGACCGCGCTCCGCCGATTCACATCAATATCCTATTGCAGGAGCGTTTGTCCACGTTGCTCTCACTTCGTCGCTACTTTTCTCTTCTTGCCAGGTGGTCCGTCTTCATGATGCCCATTCTCCGCCTCCTTCTCAAACACCTTCTTCATCTCGTGAAAGAACTCCGGCGGCTCCAGTGGATGCTGACCCGTCACATCGTGAAACGCCGTTGTGGAGATGTAGTTCGTCTTGCCGTCGCGGACAAGGGAGTAGTACTCGAGCAGGTACTGTATTTCAGACGGGTCGAGGGACGATTGTTCCTGGAGGACGGAGCGGGCTTCGTTTCTAGTTAAGAAGGGGTCAACATGTGCACATAGTCGACGGAAGAAATGAGCATGGGGCAAGGGAGGCCGTGAATCGTGTCGATACGTACTCGGAAATGTCCTCAAACTCGAACTCCATGTCCAGAGCTTTTGACGCGGCTGTCGCGAGCTCCTCTCCCGCACAGAGCAGAGGTCCTGTGCCAGGTCTGTCAGTTTTGCCCCAACCACGCCGTAGACATGCTAGGGTCTCACCGGTAAGCACCATCAACTGCCCACGATGCTTGTCGCTGAACCCATGCTTCCCTTTCCCCGTCAAGACATGAGCCGCAACATGCGCGAGATCCTGCCACAACCCCGTCAGTTTCCTAGAGCCATCGTCCCCCGACCAGCGCTAGGTAGTTGTACGAGTCACTCACCTTGATACCCATCGGCGCAAATTTATGCTTGTCCCCGATCGGCAACGGAATGCTCTTCTCCTGCTCCATCTGCGGCGCATACAAGAGGAGGTTCTCGGCGTAGAACCCGGGCCGAATCACCACGGGCGAATGACCCGTCTCGGTACTGGGATCGCCCTTTGCAGCCAACACCAGAGCCTCCAGCTCAATGAACTCTCTCAGCCGGGGCTGCTTCTGCGGATCCGCCAAGTCGCAGCCCGCGGAGCTGATGAAGCAGACATTCGGGATCCCCGCCTTCTTCGTCGCGTCGACCAGTTCGCGGGTGATGTCCATCTTCTGCTCCGCAGCTGGAGGGATGAGACAGATTGTGTCCGCGCCCGTCGACTTCAACAGTTCAACCATCTGCTTGACGCGGCCAGGCTTGTGCTGCACGATCTTGACTCCCAGCTTTTGGACCTCTTTGGCAAGTGGTGCGTTCTGGTTGAGGGCCAGGCCCGTGATCGTGCCGACCTTCTTTTTGAAGTTCTCGTGCTCGAGGACATATTTGGCGATGCTGGAGCCAGTGTTGCCGTCGATGGCGGTAATGCAGATATTGCGGTGAGACATGTTGGACCTGGGCAATAGAGTAGGATAGAAGTATGTCGTAAGATGTGATGAAGGCAACGGAATCAGGTCAGGAAAAGCAAGGGCTGTGTGTAATGTGCAGAGCGTAGTACAGGATGGTAAAGGAAGAGTGCAGCCAGTCTATAACCTCACCCTTCCTCTCCGCCTCTGCCTGTCATTTTTGGGAGTTGAAGCATCTTGCAGCGTCATCGGCCGAGCAAGTGAAGCACAGCAAGGTGGCAGACGGCCGGGTAGCTGTGCCGCAGCAAGGTATCAGGCTGCCGGCTGGCTACATCATGACATCGTGCCGGCCTTTTGGTCGCTGGTTCCGGTGACGGTGACGGTGACGGTGACAGTGAGACAAATGTGAAGCGGGGCTTACATCACGAACAACCTGAAAGAAAAGAGACATGTCCGGCCTGACGCACATCACAGGGGAAAGGAAGAGTCACGAGAGAGCGATCCGATGGAGTCCGATCCATTCGATTTTCTGACCTCGGAATCTCCTCCCTGCTATCCATCATGCACGGAGCTTGCACTCTCGAGACTCTCGTGCGGTACCTTGCATTAGCCCCGACAGACGGAACGACCAGACAGCCAACCTGATGAGAGTATCCAATCCTGAAGTCCATGCGCCCCTGGGGAAATGCGCGCTTGCGGGGAAAGACTTGTGCAAGCCTCCGGATGAGTATTCCAGGACGACTCAGTACTACCTCAGTATATCTTATGGAGTCCTCAGCACACTGCACACAGTACGCAACTCCGCAGGCACAGTACCTGAAAGTCTTGAATCCTCTGATCTTAGTCATTGGTCGGAATTGGCATCCATGACCATGACCAGCCAGCCTTGTCAGAGTTGGTTGACGGGTGGCCGAATGCTTTCTTACATCATGCTGCCGTTTGTGTCGTGAGCAATCGAGGCCGAATGTCTCGGTCTAAGCCTGAACGGTCATGGCGGGATCGGTGTATGCTCTGCAACGCTGCCAGGGTTGATCACGTACAAGTACTCCTACAATACTCGATCTCGGCGAGTCGTTCGTAATGGAACAACTTCATCTGCCATACATACGGAAGAGTCCGCAAGGTACATTTCAAGGCCAACGGTGTAGAAACATGACAAGTGTCTGTATTCTTCTGGAGTCTAGGTTATGTACGATATAAGCCCAGCTCTCACAAGCAACGTGTCCAATCCCTATGGTGGAGGAGCAGGACTCTCGCCAGTGGCAATCTCGCCGTTCGCTTCTTTGCTCGCAGATGAAGTAGACGCCGTAGACTCGACCTGTCCCTCAAGATCGCCGGTCCTTCGCCGCCGCATTCCACTCCGGCCGAGCGGCTGCACCAACGGCTTGGTCGCCTCGAAAGTGACAAACAGATCGTCCAGCGGCGACGAGCTGGTGAAGAACGCCCACGGACTCGTTAGCGGCGTTGGACCCGTCCTAGCGACCTCGTCGATCGTCTCGGCCCCCTCGCTCTCATCCACCACCACTTTGCCCTCTGCAGGATCTCTGGCGGGCGAGATTTTGGCACCAAGATAGCTGACCACGCGCCTCGTCATCCAGAATGTGCGCGCCCAAGGCCAGAAATCGGTCATCCCGCTGGCCTTCCAGCACGCCAGCACAACCGCCGCGTACACGACAAACACCCAGAAGGCGAGAGACACCGCCGTAGCCAGGAGGACAATCAGCCTCCCAACACGCGGCATCAAGACATCAGCGACTAGGGACCATGACGGGAGCAGAATGCGGAGGATCGCGCGTCTGGCCATGAATGTGCTGGAGGGGGACGAATTCGGCGCGACATCCCCGGACGGCCAGATTGCGTGTTGTAGCTCGCGCTCTGGGTCTGTCGGATCAACCACCAGACTCAGCAGCGGGACAGTACTTTGCTGCCGCGAAGCGAATTCCGCGTGTTCCTGGTCGAGGTGTCAGCTCGTGATTCCTCCGTTGGGGGACTCATGTAAAGTAGAGCGCCAGCACCGGCGCCAGTAAATGCACCCGTACAAGCACAAGTTAACCGTACTCACCCAAACTTCACTGTCAGGAAGGACTTGGATATTTCTGTCCCCATGCGCCCGCAAACGCAACGGAACCGGAACTACCTCCTCGTGAATCTCCCAGAACAGCAGCGTGGCGTCCGCGGGCGTAAACCACGGCAAGTTGATACCATCGTGGTCCCCCGTCTTGACATCCACACCGAAACTCTCCGTGAGATATACATTGTCGTCTTGGTACGACGCAACCTCCAGCAACATGCTGACATTCCACACCTGCGTATCGTAATACCCGCTGATCGCCAGCCGGCGCGAGCTGGCATTGTACGCGAAGTCCAAGGCGAAGGACAAGCGCTGGGAGCGCCGCGCCGTCTGCACATAAGGCGATGAGTCCGCGTGGGGGAAGAAGTCGTCGACACTGGAATGCGTGGGTGCGTGTGTTAGCTGTGATTGCGCTTGGATTGCGTGTGAGGATACCGAGGCGGGCCTTTTCATCGTGGCCCACCTCTCAAAAGAAGGGGAGGAGGAAACACATACTCATATACCCGGGTGATGGTGCCGCCGCGCCATAGATGCTCCGCGGCCTTGCCTACGATGTCTGTCCCCCACGGCACTTCGGGCGATGGCAGAGCCGCCCATAGCAGGACGAGAACGGCGTAGAAGACCGGTATGAGAAGGAGGATCCGTAGAGGTGTGATTCTAGGCATTGCCGCGGGTGGGCGAAGGGGCAGCTGTTGTTCAGGAACCAAGATTGCACTCGAGGCCCATCTTGAGGGCGACGGGTTCAGATCCCAGTCGCAGAGAAGGCAGAATCATGGTGCGAGGAGTCATCGTAGCCGAGCTGCGGTTTCAGGTTTCATGTCTAAGGTCGAAGACGTGCACAGCCTCGTTTCCTCGGTCGGATGAAGCATGGCCAATAGGGGCGTCCTCGCGGGCTTACTTCGTACAAAGTTCATGCAGCCTTGACATACTTCGTGAGATTACACGACTACATATGTAATTACTCGTAGAGTGAACTCGCGCGAGAGGAGTTCAATCCATTCGCGAACGTAGACCCAAATGCAAGCTCTGCTTGCTAACGCAGGCAGGGTCTGATACTTATTTTCGAATTGCTCGATCGTTCCTCATTGCCTACTCATCAAACACGTGGTGCGAAGGATGTGATGGAATGACTGCCCTACGTGAGCACGACAAGAATGTCCAGGAACAGAGCCCAAACAACTCTGACTGTTGTTCAATCCTGTTCGAGGCTGACCGCTGAAACAGTTTCGGAGCAGCCAGAATTGGTCTGTACTGACGCCGGGTTCTATTTCCAACCGAGGGTGTTCGCGAAGCACAATCAGAAGGCGGCAAAGCCGACGGTAAGTATCGAGCAGCTCTTACTTTCTTAAGAGCCGGAGCATGTTCCGGTTTGCATTCTCTCAAGGGCCTGGTCGGATTTGGTCGATCGCCTGGACGCCATCACTCTGGCTTGCTCGAGCGGCAACTGAAGCCAGGAAGCCAGGAAGCCGGGAAGCCAGGAAGCCATAAATACATGTATATCTTACATGCGAGATGTTTCCGCCTGATGTATCGGGACTCATGCTACTTGCTCATTGCACTGCATCATATGAGGTTCGGCGGAACGCGGCGTTCGCGAAACGTTAGGGCACACTCGATTGAAGGGTACTTCAGGACCGTCGAGCCGTGTGAGAGCAATATGCGAGATCGTTCGGGTCGAGATTCTTCTTTACTTCCCTCATTCAGTTTCCAAACATCATCATATCTGTGCGATGATGATTGGTCAACAATCAACGTTGAGGCGGTTTGGTGTAGTGGCCCAGCACGTCCTCACAATACAAGTTCGTTTAGCCTCTGTGAAGCCCACATTCAGCTATCCCCTGACGGCGGAACCTCCTGCAAAGTCTCGCGGTAGACTTGTGATGTCGCGTCGAACAGAGCTAATATGTCCCAGATGGTACTGGCAGAGAAAGACCTTGGTTCGAGTCCAAGTACCGTCATCAATTTCTTTTTCTTAAAATGATGGATCGATCGATCCGGTCCCTCATACTCTCTTGAGCCTCTGCGCGCGCGTGTGTAGGTGATGCGTTCGCTCGTTCGTCACTCCCATCTTCTGCCTGTCGAATCACTCGGTTCCTTACCATAGACTTGCTAGATCAAATCGCGCCGATGGTATAAAAGCTCCCCCGTGCGGATCTGGCGACGTCTCTTTAGATAACAGGGGATGTGAATAGGTAGTGTTTACTTTTGCTCTGCAGTTTGAGTCCTGTCCACCACCCATGCTCATACTTCGTTCATGACACCAAGCTAGGTGCCACACCTGCTTTGCTCCTTTTGTAGCGAGGGCCCAGACATTCCTTACCGGTGACACACCAGAGATTCTCCTCCCCGGTTTTCATTCGTACCTCTCGAACCAGCAGCAAAGTCATCACTTGATTTACGGATCTAAGGTGTATCGTTTGGCCTTTCGGCCGAATAAATACCACAGTTGATGGGCCTGTAGGTATTGGAATGTGACGAGCCTGATTCGATAATGGTTGGATCCAATTTGCTGCATCTTTGTGCTTGAAAGACTTTGCGTATGAGGTTCTGTTGGACTTGATGCTGTTTGTCTCACCTTACAAGATCAGGTAGGCTAGGTCTTACTGCTCGACGTTATTCCGGTTTGAATTTCTGTACCAGTCCGTTGTGACTTCAGCGAGTCTTGACTTCCAGAGGTCGTACCGCAGCATTGACCGTATAAATTCCCAACTAAGCGGGACATGCATCCTGTACCTGGACGGGAGAGCTTGGTTCGTATCGAAGTCGCCAGCATGATCAGTCTTCTCTTGTTGCAAGGGACGATGGTGGCAGACGGCCATATTTTCGCACGGTTGTTGCTTGTGTTCAGATGGCGCGCTATGCCATTAGTTGGAGCTGGCAGGGCTTGCGGGTAGCCAGCACATCCTGTTTCGACTGCCAATTGCGATAAAAGTTGTCAAAGCAGGGTGATGATTCCTACGGCTAGGAGGTAGTGCAATAATTTGAACAGTAGGGATAGGCATGGTCAATTGATGGGTCGACCTCACGATCGAGGGAGAGACATCGAGGAAAGGAACTGAGTAAGATGAGGATGAGGAGACAGCTCTAGCGCCACCTCATCAACCATGGCACCTTCCGCATAAGGCATGGAAGGACACCTGGCAAGCGCAAACAGCTCTCCATCCCTCATTCAATGCTTGCTCATAGTCCCCAGTTGTGTCTGCATCTCCATCAATGCGCTGGTATCAATGCTATCAATTCCCACTATGGACACATCGACCTGCCATCGAATGCGTCCGCTTCGCCTCCAACGCCCCGCTTGGCTACCTTGGACACGGTGTGATATACGGAGTGCTGGATGAGTGCGATGAGTGCAATGAGTGCTCTCGGCCACAGTGTGTACAGAAATATCTTTTATGTCGGAGCTCTGCCGACAAGGTTCCTCCCCAGTTCATCGCTTTCGCTGGACAGTCTGCCAGCCATCGGGATCGGTACCTTTCCTGGCACGAAGGGCCGCACCTGGTATAAACTTGGCGGCGTTCGGATTGTAGGGACGTCCGCTTGATGCTGATTTGTTGCTATCGCTACGGTCTCTGGACGCGCACCCTGGGTAGGGAATTTGAGTTATCAAATTCATGGGACGCTCGCAAGGATCGTGAGAGAAGCCAACCTGGACCTCCTGGTAGGGTCCCGCCCTCCTGGATCGGCGGATAAATTCATCCCGGACGATGCGGGCGACAACAGTAGAAGAGAAGACGGCAGTGGCTGGAAACCCATGTCAGTCGCGAAGAAGGTAGAGCAGAGCTGACTTACCATTGCCGGTATTGAACAGCCAGACCAGCTCAAGATTGTGGCGTCCGACAATCTCGATCAGGTCCCTTCTAAATCTCTCCTCACTCATGCCATTGGTGAAGAGTTGCTGACGAGCAAAGGTCAAGCGGCGTCGCTCATTGAGAGGAGGTTGCATCCGGAGCAGGTCTTCATTGTCCGGATAGGCTTCGCCAAATTTGACTTCATGGCCTTTACCGAACAAGCCGACGCCGTACTCGCGGATCAATTGACTGTCTTCCTCACAGAAGAGCATGGCCCCGCCAGCGTACTGGAAGATGACACACACCGCACCATATTGTTCCACGTAGGCCATGGAGAAAATGGCACCCGTGCTGATTCGCTCTGTGACCATGCTCATGGGCTTGTCTTTGGTCCAGCCATAAATCCAGACGCAACGGAAGTCCTCATCTCGTGGTTGCACCTTGTTCGGCTCTTCCTCTGTGATATGTCGCTTCAACCCATCAGATGGTCTGAACTTGACCAACCGGTTGTTACCCGCGATATCGGTGGCGGCGACTGCTGCCCAAGAGGAGGCGTGAGGTCTCACGACAGGACGACTTTTGGTGCCATTTTGAGCCATAAACTCAGTGTTCGACGCCGGCGCAGGCTTCATGTGGAATTTTTCGATGGACCAGGGCGCTGTGGTCTGATTGAACGTGTCCAGCATCGAGTGGACATCGCGTGCTATGCCATTCGCTGCCTCATTTTCACCCTCGTCTCTGAGCTGCCCTATGATTAGTCCAGCGAACCTGCAGCTCGGGGGGAAGTCGCTCTTACATGTTCCACCACGCGATTCAAGTGGCTAAGGGCATCCGCCATCACGTCGCTGACATGGAGAGGGTCGTTTCCAATAGCCATCATGTCCTGCGTTGGTGCCCGATCAGTATGGACTTCACCTCGCGAGGATCGGGATTCTACTGAGAAGGGTCAACGTACCTCTAGATCTTCACTGCTGGCATCACTGTAGTACGAGGGTGGAGTAAACGGATCAGTGGGAGAATTGGTGAGAGTGCGTTGGGTCGGTGAGGAGGTCATCGATGAAGATGAGGAAAAGTATCTGGGCACCATGGCGCCGAAAAGCGGGTGTGAACAGGAGGGTCTGGCAGAAAAGACCGAGTGGAGAGCATGAAATGAGCGATGGTCCCAGGCAGTCAGTCAGCCTTTGCTGCCCCTTCACTCCCCCCTCGGAAAGCTGTGTCTGGGAACAAAGGACGTGAAGGAGCGTTCCCGCCACAAGACAGAAACAGGAGCCCGGGTTGTCTGGGAAAATCTTGCAGGGCAGCAGCAGCTACCCGCGTGTGCAGATGACAACTTCTCAAACGGCAAGATCGATGGACTGGGTTCCTAGCTTTGAGAAAGACGCAGTGTTTGCTCTCCCAGTCCATGTGGGAATCTCTCCCATTTTTATGCCCGATCAAACACCCGTTGCTCGCTTCAGGGACGCCAAAGACCACGCAGACCTCGCCGCATCGATAAGGGCAACCTGCAGATGGGGCAAAGCAATAAACCTCCCAGATCATGCACCTACAAAGCATTTGATGTCCTTTGATCGTTCGTTCATTCCGCATCCAATCGTAGCAGTGCACTCCCGTCAAATCGAGCGCCAGAAAGCAGCCCTGATGCCCAACTCCCGACCCAATGCGCGCCTTGCCTCAACTGTCCTGCTCACAGCGTCTTTGTTCTCATGTGCTCGTCGGAGGAGATATTTCATGCATTCCCCCATCCTGCCCCACACCAGATACTTATATGCCTTGGGAACCTCCACGTCAGGGTTACTGCTGTGTGACTCTAGGCGGGTCCTTGCTGTCTGAACCACCTCACAGCTAACGTTGTCTGCCATCCCCATCAACTGGCC